GAGATCGAGGTTCCAAAGACTGTAAATATGTTTATCTTTTCCTTTTAATGTATTTTTAGTAAATTAAATTCACCCTTTTTTTCTTTATAAGCTAATTAGCTTTTGGTCATTGTAAACTCAGGAACGGCTCTGATTAGAGCCTATATAATATAGTTATAGTTTGAATATCTGGAGATTTGAAAAGACAAGAAAGGTCGAAGAAAAGATAAGAAAGACAAAAGTATAATTTTCGATTAATAATTGGTGATCAATAATATTAAGAAGAATGGAAATTTGGAGAATAAGAGAAGGAACAACAATGGCTTGGAGATTGGGAAATCTATTATTCTCTTGTGGAGGTATACGACTTCGATTATAAAACGAAAAGATTTGTTTACATGCATGCAATTCATTCAGTTCCATGTTTGAACAAAGGGAAAACTAAATCACATAAATCGGATATATTATTATTTTAAAATAGTGTTATAATGATAATACAATCAACTGAAACCATTAAATAATTTGAAAGTTACAACTTTTAACCAGAAAATGGTGACATAGCTTCGGTTTCTGTAGAACACCTGTTCCACATTTCATTAGTCTTGATCATATATTTAGAACTTAAGGCTTTGAGTTGATAGAACTCGAAGAACAACTTCATCCATTCCGCGTGACATTTCTTGCCAGTGTTCACTATCATCCGACAACAATCCGTCGAAATATCTTTGTTCTGAAGAAATTCTTCTCTCACTTCAACGTTACATTTAACACTGTCAGGTCCCATCTTTACTGCGCAGCGAAGAAGATAGTCGCGATGTTGCTTTGAATGTCTGTAAATAACTTTGAGATTATAATAATTCGGACTAGGCCAGCTTTCAATCACTGAATCAAAATTATAGTCACCAATGTCTTCTATGGCCAAAGTTTGATAAGATAACGATAGCAAAATCATGATTGAAACAAATGCCATGAAAATGGTTTTGTTCTCCATTTTTTATTTTGTTTTAAGCTATTCTTTGTTGTTTTAATTTTGTTTTATGACACTAATTGGGAATTCTGTGTGTGTATATATAGTGACCGATTGTTTATTGATGTTATAGTAACATTTTATTCATAAAGAGTTACTATGATCATCAAGTTACATTTATTTATCAACAGAATTAATATGTATAACGTCATTCATAAATACGTTTCAGTTTATGAAACTAAAAATAGTTAGAACTTCTTCAAAAAGATGTTGAAAAGAGTTTAATTATAAAGTCAATCTCAAACCTCACAATTCAAATAAACTTGTTTCCTTTTCTCTCTTTTCACTTGTGTTTTTATTACATACATTGTGATGTGAATATATCGTTTAAATTCCTTTCAATATCTATCAATTGATTTTTGGTGTAACAAAAGTTTTCAACCATTTCCAAATGATTACATGTTTTAATCTGCTTGGTAACTAATAAAGTAAAATTATTCAACCTTTTCCTTTCGATGCTTTGGCATTTGGGACTCCACACTTGAGAATACGGTCAAAGGTTGTATGAAACTATGAACAAGACGCACAACTCAATATGATTCATTGTCTCCACTTTAAGGGTTCATAATATGGAGAATCTGGCCCATCTTAATTATTAAATCAAGATTAGTCCTCAAATAATAACAATAGCGACAACGAATACTCATAATAATGAGAGAATTTTACACACAAAGGCATTTTAACACTTATAAATATCAAGCAAAGGTACTTTACACTCTAGAGGGACTTTGGCCAAAAAAAGGACTAACGAAATTCCAAAGCTATCCCTCCAATAAATTTTCTTTGTTTCCACTTTTATGTTTGAAGAAGTTTTTTACCGTAGACACTACAGTAAATCTGTGCTTCGTTTCCGATGAACTCGTCAGAGTAATTCAAGAACAGTTGTTGGATCTGAGAGAGATTTATTATAACTGTAGGCAAGAGATAATGTATCGATAATCGATTTGGAAAATTTCGTTTTTGAATTCATCGGAAAAATTTCTGCTGGCTATGAGATTTCGTCGTCGAATTGAAAGATTTCGCCGTCAAATTCATCAGAGTTTGGAGAAGATGAATCTAGGTTAACTCCAATCATGTCCACATCTACATGTCCACATCTAATCGCAATCGTGAACAGCATAATATATACATATTTAGTGATGCATCCATCTGGACGTCGTTGTTTGGTTAATTAAATTATGAGAATTTGCATAAGATGTATGTGTGGACATGTTTGTGAACACAAAGATAATTAATAATTGAGTGTGTTTGTTGAGTTATTGTTTATCAACTAAACTGTTTCATAGAACCATATCCATATGATTGTATCCATATGCTTATGTCAATTGCAAAGACGCTGCTATCAATTTTTCACGGTTCAGTTTCATCTTTTTCTGGGTTTCTTTTCTTGAAGTGAGGAGAAGATGAATATAGCTGAATTCGGATTCGCTGAAATTTGGAGTAGATAAATTTGAGTTATCTCGCAATCGTGTTCACATCTAAATATCCACGCAGTTGTGTCCACTTGTGATATAGTTTCCGTAGCTTGTTTGTTTTGGAGATTATTATATGTGAACAAAGAAACCAGACTCCATATTAATTATTGGATAAGTAAACATGGACAAATAGTAGTTTGTAACCAGAAACACTATAGATATAAGATGTGGACAAAAAGAACTCTTCAAAACTGTCTACAAATATGTTTGTATTGACAAATAACTTGTCTATGATATTTGATAAATGGATGTTAATCCATATGGATGCAGTTTCGTGGACGATACTAGCATGGACATATATTTTTATTAAATAATAAATAGATGATAGTTATGACATAGAATATATGAATATCCAAACGGATGCATCCATATGGTTATGTCCAATTGTTGTGTATGTACTTCTTTGGTCATCTGGGTTGTCCAATATCCACTCACTCATATTCAACAATCCATATCATCTCTCATGAAGGGATAAAAATCTAGAAATGTTTGCGCTGTATCTATATTGAGCAGTTTATGAAATTAAATCTAAATGTAACTAGTACATTATTTGTTTGTGGATTTTTACTCATGGACGGGTTTGTATAGGTTTGTATGGATATGATTTTTAATTATTCGATTTTCATTAGTTAAGAGTATGTAATATAAAGGGATTTGTTGTTTTTATCTTTATTGTTAAACACAATGCATTTATGCATTCAATGAAACGTATACGTTGGTGAAAGAAAATTTTGTCCACGATTTGTTGTTCTTAATTGTATCCATGGTTTAATGTTCATATGAGGCCTAATAAATTTTGCTAAAAAGACCAAGATAACGAGAGAGCTAAATATGTATATGTTATTCTGTCCACGAATTCATATCCACAATATCATGTCCACGATTTTATGTGGCTATTGGTCCCTCCTGTAAAAATTGTATGTTAAATTTTAGATAGATTGAGAACCAATTTCAGAACCATGTTTATATATCCATATGGATACGAAGTATAGAAACAAGCATATGGATATAGTTCTATGAAACAGTTTAGGCGATAAACAATAACTCAACAAACACTTACTCAGTTGTCAATTATCTTTGTGTTCATAAATCATGTACACGGAAACATGTCCACACATACATCTTATATAAATTCTCAAAATTTAATTAACCAAACAAAGATGTCCAGATGGGCGCATCACTAAATATGTATATGTATTATGTCCATCATTGCGTTTAGATGTGGACATATAGATGTGGACATGATTGTGAGTTAACTCAGATTCATCTTCTCTAAAATCTGACGAGACTGAAAATTTCCCAGATCCAAGAGTCATAAGAGTTTTTTTCCACGAATTCGACGGCGAAATCTTTCAAATCGATTATCAATACAGAATTCGACGATGGAATGAGAGGCGAAATCTAGAATCAAGGACGGAGAGAAAAACGGCGGCGATAAACGACAGAGTGAGAGACGGAATTGTTAATTTCTGGTGAAAGGTAAAACTAAGAAATAAAGAGTAAAGTAAAAGATAAAATCGTAATTAAAGAAAAAAAAGAGTGATTGTCTTTCCAATACACCAAAGTCCATTAAGAGTAAAAACTGCCTATAAGTATTAAAAAAAAAGACAAAAATGCCTATAACTGTAAATCACTCTAATAATTACTCCTTTTCCCACTTTATTTTAATCCCACTCGTATCATATCGTATCCACAAAAATAAATCGCTGGCCAGATTCTTCTCCTCTACCACATTCATTGAACAACTCCACATTCATTTTTTTGTATGGACCACAAACAAAACGTAATTTTAAAGTCAAACTCACGTTTCCACATACAATTCAGCTGTCCCATAAAAAGGTTTAAAGGCTGTAAATAAAAGAAATGCAAACTTTGTATTATACAACGAAGCGATAATTTTATTCAATACTCATATTAAACCATCCCAAAAGAGGCATTACATGACTTAAGTACAATGTTCATACAGATTTGTAGTACAACGCCTGGAGAAAAAAAAACGAGGGCTCTGGCAAAAAAACAACAAAAAAAAAACTCTAAACCGAGTTTTGTTGCAACAAAAGCCAGAGCAAACCTCTAAAATCAGAACCCCAAAGCCTGAAACAAATCTTGGAACATGTACAAAATCACACAAAAGACCCTGTTCTGAGGAAAACCAAACTTAAACAAACGACGCAAAGAAACAAGAACGATTAGGCTCGTAAAAGACACCAAACAGGAGATGATAAACCCTAAAACCTCAGTATCACCCGGTAAAGGTATATTCTCAAGCAACCACACGACGTTTCCGGTTTCACAGTAAAGCTAGAGTCGAGAAAACTCTAGCAAAAACAACATTGACTGGAAAAAAGAAACCGGAAACGTCGAACCACTTGGAAAAAAAAAGAGAGGTAAACCGAGTAAATACCGAGGCCTAGAGAGAGCGAGACGCATAGATCACAGAGCCTGAAAAAGAGCTGACACTTAAAACCTTGGACCAGACTACAATACCTTCAATCATCATAAAGTGGAATCATCATCGATCAGGAGAGGATGTCGCATTTGTAAAGCCGCTCGACTAAGAAGTCGACAGTCGAGTTCGAAATGGACCGACAATGCTGGAGGTTCAACCCCAACAAAGTCGAACCTAACCTGACAATGGACGGCAAGCTCTTGTCTGTAACCATAGAGCAACCAGCCATGGATAGGATCTGTAGTTTCAGCTTCTCAGAGGAAGCCAAAGCTTGAACACCAGAATCAGAGATCGAACATTTCGAAAGATCCAAATCACTGAGAATGTTGCAGTTCTCCGCAATGGAGACAAGGCTGGCATCAGAGATCTTGCTACATCCATCAACGGTTAACACTTCAAGAGTCCAGCCGTTACGAGCAGAGATGGTAGAGATCACTCCGTCTGTCAAGTTGGTACAGCCACTGAAGTTAACCTTCACAAGAGTGTTCTGAAGCAAATGTAGAAACCCAGACTCTGTTACTCCCTTGAGCCCCAACAGCTCAATATCCTCAAGCTGAGGGCAAAGCTTCCCAATGGCTGCAAGATTTGCATCACCAAAGCCAGGGCAGTTACGAACAGACAGAGAACGAAGACCGCTGCAAAGAGTCGAAGCAGGCAAACCAGAGGTGAGATCTCTAATGCCCAAACAGTTCACCACAGAGAAAGACTTCAACTTTGCACCACAGTTCAAAAGGGAACCAAAAAACCCAAATTGGGTGACCCTGTGGCACTCTTCAAGCTGAAGACTCTCCAATGACAAAGAAGCTTTCGCAAACGAGACCAAACCGTTATCGGACAACAACGGGGATTTGGCAATCATCGCCTTCTTCATGTTAGGGCAACCTTTTCCCACAGATTGAAGCCCCATGTCAGTCACTCCCTGGCAAGCTGTGATGGTTAAAGAGTTCAACTTTTGCAGCCCAACGCCATTTCCCATCACCCAAAACCCCTTCTCGGTCACGTGAGACAGTCCAGAGAGCACAAGATCGGTAACCGACAAGCCGTAATGACCCACAACAGCAAGAGACACATCAGTAACATTCAGCAACTGAAGCTTAAGCTTGGCCAAGGAATAGGTAGTGTTAGACAGTAGTGCAGCGATTCCTTGATCCCTGACAAGAGGACAGTTCTTGATCGAAACAGACTTCAGCTTTGAGCAAGATCTTGCAATGGCTTGGAGACCTTCGTCTCCGATTCTTGAACAAGCCTCCAAAGTCAGCTCAGTCAAGTTAGGGCAGCTCTTAGCAATCGCTACCAAACCTTTATCTGTGATAGTCGAGCAGCGGTTAAGCTCAAGCTTCTCGAGCTGAGAACAACCTTCAGCAATCTCCAAGAGGCCATTGTCAGTAACAGTAGAGAGGTTCCACAGGGAAAGAGATCCAAGAGCAGGGCAGCTCCGACCAATAGACCTAAGACCAAGATCCGAAACTTTGCTAGCAGAGTCGCTTCCACGAATCGAAAGCTTTCCAAGTCCTCCACGAGCAGCTGTTCCAACGGCGATGGAAGCTAGTCTAACATCAGTCGCCTTCTTCCCATCTAAGCTTCTAGATAAGCATCCTTCACAATCATCACCATCTTCATTAACGTTGGGAGCAGCAACAACAACATCAATCTCCTTTTGCCTGATGCTAGTTACAAGCATAAGCCATTGTTTCGATACAGAAGCGCAAGCGCTCCTCTCTTGCGGTCCAGATAAACGCCTGAAGATCTCAAAGAGACACTCCTCTGGAAGCACATCAATGGAGGCACTCCTCTTTTCCTCGAAAGCACTGAAGGACAATGGTGCGACGACACGGGATCTCTTGCAAGGAGGGTAATAGCAATCAACGAGACTACCGAGAGATAGCAAAAGATTAGCTTCTTTCGGATTTGGGTATACTGTGGCACGACGGTAAAAATCATTTTCACCTGAAAATCAACAAAAAGGAGAGATTTTTATGAGCTAAAACAGAGCATTGATAACAAATCAACAAAAAGGAGAGATTTTTATGAGCTAAAACAGAGCACTGGTATTAGCTAAGATAAACCAACAAAAAGGAGAGATTTTTATGAGCTAAACAGAGGATTGATCTTAGCTTAGACAGAGAGCAAACGAATTCGAAAACTATAAGATCTATGGATGATAATTTTGCTAATAGGATCTATAACTAGTCAAATCGCAGAAGCTAAAATCCAGATCTATCTATTTCTAACTCAGAAGCCTAAATCTAATCGAAAAATCAAAAGGGATCAAGCTCAAGCGTGAAAAAAACATTTTGATAATTCGAATTCCAGGATCGGAGGAGACTTACCAGCAAAACTAAAGATTTGAGACATGATTTGAGCTCAAAATTCCCAGGAAAAACGAAAACGCTTGATTTCTCAAGCGAAAAACTTTGGGAGAGAGCAAAAACGAAAGATCCGAAGACGATGAAGAAGAAAACGATCAAATCAGCTACGATTGTATTGAAGAAAGTGATGAACATGAAGATCAGAAGATCAACAACGAGGTAGGAGAAAGGAGAGAGAGAGAGAGAGAGAGAGAGAGAGAGAAGAAACCCTATTGAAAGGGAAAAAAAAACTAGAGAGAGAAAGTGGAAATGAAAAAAAAAGGGAAAGGAAATGATCGGTCAGTGTGAGGTCAAGATATGGCTTTTATATACTCAGGTTGAAATTTACATGCAATGTATCTGTTCCGAGAAGTCGGATCTTTTTGTTAATTTAATTTCTGTTTTTATTTTATTGCCACAAATATAAAAAGAAAGTTTCTCATTCAGACAAGACCAAATTCTTCTCCCTTCAGAGCGCGTTAAGGCAAGTAATTTGGCTTGTTTGGTTATTGGGTGTTATATTAGCTTGTGTTGTTTGGTTATTGGAATAACTTTGCTCTCCATTGGTTTTGTGACCGACGCAGTCACGTAATCAACAAATTTTCCATGGAGTTTGGGTCAAATTTGTTGTGTTAAGATAATATCCACATGGATGTTCAAAAAAAAAAAGATAATATCCACATGTTCCTTGCACACAACTTCATATCAAACATATATTTTCATTTGATTATAATTTCTTACCAAACATAGATTTGAGACATGATTTGAGTTTAGTGTGCATTAGCATTTAACTAAACTCTTGAAGTTTGAATGCATAATGAGTTAACGATCTGTTTTAAATCTTTGAGGGATAATGTGTCGTCTGCTATCTCCAGAAATGACTAGTCTGATATGTTATTATGCCTAAAAGCAACAAACATTGGCCGATTTACAAACATAAATATGAGAAATTGGTCTATTCTTGAAATTAGTGTTCCTTCGTCTTTGCTACTAGCAACATTCCCGGTACGTTCCAGTGAACCAAGTTGGGTTTTAAACTAATTCAAATTTCTTTTGGTTCCGTAATGAAATCACATTTGCCATCACATTTCTTTTCATCCTTTGTTTTTCCAACTCATACACCATGGAACTCCCACGTTGAGAGATCCTACTAAGATCCAGCTAATTACAAACTTCATTAAGTGATTTAGTTTAATCCGTTTAACTATAATCAACTCGCTGAAAATAAAAGAAAACTAAATCAACTTAATTGACCTGATGAAACGAAAAGAATTTTACTTCTTAGTTTTTTGGGAAATAGCATTGAATAACCATAAAAAAAGTATAATTAAGGAAATGATCATATCAATAATGGCTATAATATTCTGTGCATAATATGTAGTATGTCAAAATTGCCCTCGAAAAACAAAAAGAAACCATTTTTTTCTTTACACTTTATTTTTTCTTTTTTTCTTTTTTTTTCTCCTTGAGTATCCCACTTTTTTCACGACGGCGACCATCTCTTCCTCCGCATTGATTTTCTTCCATCTCTTCCTCCCCTTTGATTTTATTTATTTCAATTATTGTATTGATTTTTCTATAGCTCTAATCAAACTGGGTTATCCTATCCGTGGTGCTCTACATTTTTTTTTAATTTTCTGGGTTATCTTAGAAATTGAGTTCTAGGGTTCTATAAAGATTAGAGAGGAAGAGCGAAGCAGAATCCGAGATCTTTACGATTCTGGTGGTTATCGACATTGGTTCACCTATTGGTTTAGACCTCTCTTTCTATTCTTCATCCTCAATGACGATGCGTTTGAACCAAAAATCTAGGTTAGAAAACTCCACAATTGCTCTGTCATGTGGCTTCAGATCGGATCAGTACAATTAACCACCGCCTCAGAATTCTCCACCTCCATCCACCTATATTTTTATTTTTCTTCAACTTCAAGTGTCTCTGTAATTTTTGGATTTCAACAATATTAGATCAATAATTGATGATTAGATGAATTCGATTTTTAAATCTGAAATTTTTCATTTTGAAGACAACAACCTTGACAGCCTCAACGGAAGCAAAGGAAGTGATGATTCAATCTTAGAATAATAACTAAATTCTCTCTCCTAAACTAAATCAGTTCGTATTGTGTGTATACGATGATCATTACTAATTTAAAATCATCATAATTGTTATTACAACTAATTTTGGAAGCTTGAGATTGATGGAAATCGTTGATTCCCTTTGATTGATATCTTTAGACTATTTTTTTTATTACGACGAGAACTATACTATTTTTCAGGCAGGGGTAATTTTGTCAAAAAAAAAGGCATTGGTTACTTACCTTATTTTAGTTTTGATATGGCTATATGCTTAATATTGTGGTCCAATATGGTTATTCAGCAAATTTTCCCTTTTTTTATATTACATGTCATTTACGGTTTTTCATATATATTACCAAAAAAAAAAAGTTGCTTTACAAAAATTATAGACAAGTAATATATTTTCTTTGAAACAAATTTAATGAACTAATAACCAAAAAGAGTACACCTGAGTTTATGCGTGTATCATACTATCATAGATTCATATCCACATCCCACGAACAACATATATAGTTCATGCATTTTCGGATTTGTTGGACTGATTCTTTAATGAAATAAATATATAAAATATTATGATCTATGATTCAAAATTTAGACTAATTTTGATATTGGATATGAATTTATTATGCGAATACAACAGTCCATATTCAGTTTTTTACCGGCTGGCGGCTGGTGACATGTATGCATATTCAAATCAGCTGAAAACTGATAAATTATGTGATATCTCCATATAATTTTCTTGAACTGCGATATCTTAAAGATCTACAGAGCCCATGTGTGGAAAAGGATCGAGATAAAGAGAATCAGATTTGATGAACTTGCAAATCCTTTTTACGATTGAATCAACAGTTCAATAATCTCCAATACCATCAGGACTTAGAAGGTTCTATGTTTATGTAAAACGATTTTCATATAATTGTCGAATATAAATGATTATGTATTTGGAATATAAACTAGTAGAGTACCCGCACGTTTGTGCGGTGTGACGTTGTTGTTTTGTGTAGAAAATTTAAACCCTAAATCCGAACCCGACAAAAAACCCTAATCAAAAAATTTAAAAACCCAAACTTTTTTAATAGGTCTAAACATGAAAATCCGAAATCAAAAAAATCCCGAAAACCCTGACTGAACAAAAAAAATCTGGAAACTTTTTCACCCGGAACCCGACCCCAATACCTAATCAAAATTTTAAAATACTCAATTTTTTTAATATATCTAAACCCGAAAACCAGAAATCTAAAAAATCCGGAAAACCCTAAACTGAAAAAAAAAATTGAACCTAACCCGAACAGAAATTTTCAAAGAAACCCGAACAATTTCTATATCTCTATATATATCTCTATAAAATTATGTCTCAGATTTTCACCCAAACCCGAACTTGTCTATAAAAACCCGAAAATCCAAAAAGCATATTCTATTGATTTGGAATTATCGTTAGATTATGTTAAGTTTTTTTTTTGCAGATTTTTAAGAGATGGAAAACGGAAGTTTTCTAAACCATCGGTTTATTTTAAGTTATTATTCTTGTATCCAAACAATTTTTTCCATTTATTCTTCTATCCAAATAGATTTTTCTCTTATTCTTATATCCAAACAACTTTTGTTTCCATTTATTCTTCTATCCAAATAGATGTTTCTCTAATTCTTGTATCCAAACATTAGAATGTACTTCTCAATTAATAATATAATGATGTATCTGTGGAGGTGGACCCATAACCCATTATAATCATATGTTATAAAAAGAGAAAGTGAACAAAAGACACACAAGTGGTCGTGGAAGCATTATCCTTTTTATTGCTTAAACAGCCCATGTACTTATTATTGCAATTCTTCATGTCTCAACATCAACTAGGACATTTTTTATTATTAAAACTTAAAAAATCACATTGAAATCGTTTGGATTTTAAGATACACGACTCCTTTTATACATCGTTAAAATTCAAAATTGAATATCAAGACTTATAGTTAGAAGCTACCCTATAAACTAATAAACGAAACTGTCTAAGACCCTCCCATAGAGTGCCAATATAAGAGGCATCTGGCCACCACATTATCACATATGGACCATGAACATGTATCCATATGGGGGATCTACAAATCGGAGTTTGTTCCTGACATTGAACACCATTCAAACATATTTCCAAGTGTTGTAGAGAAAATGTAGATTATCTTATTGATCCATACTTTGTCAAGCAGAATCCTGAATCAGAGGAACTGAAAAGATTGAGTTGAAGTAGCGGTCGATACCATTTCTATATATGATGAAGTATATTAGGGGGAAAATAGTGAAATGAGAACGAACAACAAATTAAAACGATTATAGTTCTTAATCAAGCTATAAAGTCTTGATCAAAAGCAGCGAAAACTTAAACTAATCAGAAACCTCCAACATCCAAAAATAGGTTCATGCATAGCGAGTTACATCCATATGAAGGGGTTATGAAAAAAATTCAAAGAAAAGAAATATTCAATGATCCAAATTAGTATGAGTCAGTGGGCCGGTTCCGCAAAAACATGCCTAAAGTATGTGAATCTACTTATCTACATATATTTTGTTAAAATCATATATTTATACACAATTCGTGGACATAATCAAATAATTTATTCAGACAAATGTTAACGGGAAATGTTGTATGTCACTAATCACATACATATATAATTGGTTTTGGTCATAATAGTAGACTGGATCAACGCGTACGGGCTGATTTGCTCTTTGGTTTGGACTCAATATATCGAAAAAGTCCAAGTCAAGATGTCGTTTTGAGACTGTCTATTGACCAACTCCTTTCTCGTAATGTATAAGTCAGAAATATAATGAGATGGGCCAGATGGGTTATGACCAAATAATCAACATCAGATTACATTTGGTGCTCCTGGTTTTTTTTTTGTTAAAGTGGTGCTCCTGGTTAATACATCAGATGTTTGCCATAATACCATACACACATAGGTTAACACGTCTTTGAGTTTATGGATACTGTGATGGGTTTTTTTTTAAGCTTCTTAATTTGCTAATGTGATGGGTGTTGGAGGGTTTCTTATCCAAAACCCACAAGTAACTTCTTAATTTGCTAATTAATAGACAAGATTTATCACCAACAATCGTCGTTTACTGGTATTAGTCTATTACAAAGACGTTACCAGATTCAGAAAAAAAAAAGTTTATTGTCCTAAAACACATTGAAGTATAGGCATAGTCAATGTGAGATTCACGACATGATAGATACATAATTTCTTACAGTTACATCTAAATAAAAATATTAGTTAACTTTTAATAAACATATTTTATTTAGGCATGCAGAACATGGGAAGCTAGCAACTTTATACATGGCCACATGACTACCTAGCACGTCACGGAATCGGGCAAATCCTTTCCACGTGACAGTCACCCTCTCCCTAAATCAAACTTTGCCAAATTAACTATTGTTTCTGCCGACGTTATCGTTGTTTTTTTCTTTAATGTTTCTTTTGTATTTGGTTGGATCGGAATCGTTTCTCAAAAGTATTTTTCAGCTAAAATTGTTCGGGCCGCGCGGGCCAATCTTATAAAAGAAACAAACACCATTTACTGATAAAAGTCACCTTAATATGGATTCTTGACATGGTCACGTTACCTGCCTGATACAATGGTGTTTGTTTCTTTAGCGGATATATCAACATACACGATTTTCTCACAACGGTGAAATTTTACATTTGAGGATACAAGATTTGAAAGTAAGTTTCGAAGTTTTTATTTTTCCTTAACCAGGATTATCGTACATTAGTAGACGAAAAAATTATTATACTGACGTCGGTGAACGTCGTTTTAGGTGATGAATACAACATTATTAGAAGTACTTTTGTTTGTTTCCGTAGTAGTAGTTGAAAAGATCCTGTCCAATAACCTATAAGCAACAGAACCCTTCAGTTAATGAATTACCCACATATAGATAATCATATTTACGTGAACGTGATGTACACAATGACCGACAATTCTGTAGAAAATTTCACAGAACGTTCTTTATAGGTTAACCTCTTTCGTTTCTTTTCTTTTTCTTATAAAACTCTAATTTAGAAACTGTAATTTTTTGTTTTTTTAGACCAAAGCGTTAAACAGAATAAATGCTCGAATCAATAAAAACAAAACTGTAGTCGAAAGACAAGATTCTATTACAAGTCGACAAACTCGGTCTGGTCCTGAAGTTATTAACCCACCAAACGTTACGACAACTACAATAGCTCCAAGCACAACGTAAAATAAACGCAGCGAAGATATGAGTGACTGTGAGATTCACGCGCTCTTATTTAATCGTTGACTTTGTTTCTTCTTTACTTCTCCCCTTTATTTACTTCGCATTTCTTCGTTACAAGTTCCATTTAATTAGCTTCTTTTTTTTTTTTTCTGTCGGCACCATTTAATTAGTCTAAGTAATAGCTTTAGGGATTGGTAATCTCTTTAAAGCAACGTAAAATTAAATGAGTTTCGAAAACAGGGTCAATTGTCAACTTTTTTCAGGTTACAACATAAGAATATAGTATAGAAACACTATTATGCGAATTTAAGTTGTGAATGGGTCAATGTAAATATTTTAAATATAAAATTATCTAATTATTCATAAATTTTGAGGATTAAATATAATTTAGGTTCGTCATCCCTCGGTTATTTAAAAAAAACGAAAATAATGATCACAAAAATACTATCTAGTAATATATAATTTTGACTAAACAAGTTAAATAAAAAATTCGTGTTCCTTTCTGTGAGCTTTCCGCAACATTAACAAAAAATGGAAAAAATTTGACCATTTCTTAATTCGTCTAACAAAACGTAGTTGACTAAAAAGAGCTTAAAACAAAAACATTCACATTATTTCCTAATCTTAAGACTAAGTAAAAAAAAAATAAAAATTAAAACACCGGTCCCACCACAAAGCCAATCGTCAAATCACAAAGCACCTTTCCACCACGTAGCATTTACCATAGTCACACGTCAGCCCTTTCTTCTACATTTACTCATTTAGACCAAACTAAAAGTCTCTCCACACATAAAGAGAGGGAGAAGAGAGAGAGGTAGACTCCTCTATCTTGCGCACCTCTCTGCTTATCCTGCGCACCACCAATCTCCTCCGGCGAAAAAAAAATCCAACCATGGGGAAAGGTCGCGCCCTAAGCGACGGCGTAATCAAGAAAATCATCCTCTCCTACACCTACGTAGCAATCTGGATCTTCCTCAGCTTCACCGTCATCGTCTACAACAAATACATCCTCGACAAGAAGCTCTACAATTGGCCATACCCAATCACTCTCACCATGATCCACATGGCCTTCTGCTCCTCCTTGGCCGTAATCCTCATCAAGGTCTTCAAAATCGTCGAGCCGGTCTCAATGTCCCGCGAGACTTACCTCAGATCCGTCGTCCCCATCGGCGCGCTCTACTCGCTCTCCCTCTGGCTATCGAACTCGGCCTACATCTACCTCTCCGTCTCCTTCATCCAGATGCTCAAAGCTCTGATGCCGGTCGCCGTCTACTCGATCGGAGTCCTGTTAAAGAAGGAGACTTTCAAGTCCCAGACGATGACGAACATGCTCTCGATCTCGTTCGGCGTCGCGATCGCCGCGTACGGCGAGGCGAAATTCGACGTCTGGGGAGTCGTGCTTCAGCTCGGAGCCGTCGCGTTCGAGGCCACGAGGTTGGTTCTGATTCAGATCTTGCTTACTTCTAAAGGAATCAATCTGAATCCGATTACGTCTCTGTATTACGTTGCGCCTTGCTGCTTTGCCTTCCTCTCTGTTCCGTGGATCTTCGTTGAGTTTCCGATTCTGAGAGAGACTTCGAGTTTCCATTTTGATTTCGTCGTGTTCGGGACGAATTCGGTTTGCGCGTTCGCGTTGAACCTCGCTGTGTTTCTTCTCGTTGGGAAGACTTCGGCTTTGACTATGAATGTTGCTGGTGTGGTGAAAGATTGGCTCTTGATCGCTTTCTCTTGGTCTGTGATTAAAGATACGGTGACTCCGTTGAATCTGTTTGGGTACGGGCTTGCGTTTTTGGGTGTTGGGTATTACAACCACTGCAAGTTGCAGGCGTTGAAGGCGAAAGATGCTCAGAAGAAGATTCAGGAGAGTGATGAAGAAGCTGGGAAGCTTTTGGAAGAGAGGAGGGACAGTGAAGTTTCTGGAAAAGAGACTCAAGATTGAGATTCTGATCTTGATCTTGAGGGTTTTGGAAGAGTTTCTTGGTCTTGGTTCATCGTTGTTGTTCGTTTACGTTTTAAGTTATTGGCTAATTATTATGATACATAGTGAATTGATGGTACAAAAGGGTTTTGATTTGGAGGTTTCATGGAATCTTTTTTTGAAGCTCTTTTGTATCTTCTTTTGAGTTTGTATTTGGTTTCTTACTTTTACTCATTATGATGAATCTATCTTTGTTGTTGTAGTAACTTCTTTATATTTTGTTCATTGAGATTTTTACAATGTCAAATTCAAATTCCTATTTTCTCTCTTTATCCAATGATGAAACCGTCCTATGTTGAATTTTTAGGAGTATATAGTACATTATGACTATTTTAATATTTTATTATCGGTTGTGTTGGATCATTTGGAAGCAATTTTCCATAATCTTCGGGAAAGAAATACTAATACAGTAACATGTTACAACAACATCTGAAGGGAATGGTCTCATTTAACCTTTTCCTAAGATTCATATACTTCAGAGTCTAGTGGCTAATTGTGAATTTTCACTTCAACACGTTATTGGGTAAAGGGACGAGGCAAAATCTTGGAAGCAAGTTTCCATAATCCTGGGTAATAAATCAGTCATACAGATGATATGATAACATGTTACAGCATCATATGAACACAATGGTCTCATTTAACCTTTCCCAAAGATTCATACTCCTTTAGACTGTAGTGGCCAAATGTGAATTTATATTTCAACAAGTTATTGTCTTATCTAAAGGGGAGAGGCAAATTTGGTGTTACATACCAAAAAAAAAAAAAAAAACATTTAGACAACTCACGGATTATGTCTTTCTCAACAACGAACATTTGGGAACTTTAACACTCGCTTCGCATAAAGCTGTTTTGGTTCCAGAATAAAATGTATATGCATGCATTGGTTTGTTGCTTTGTGACTTCTGACACAAGGCATATTTTTTTTCTATATAATTTGTTTTTTGCTTTGGTTTACAGAATGTATCGAGAAACACAACACAAACTCGTAATATAGCCGATTAAAATGAGATCAAGCATCCAAAAGCATGCTTTTTTCTAAGACACATTGCTTTTGGTGGTCTAAATTTTGGAGTTGCGTAAAGAAAGACATGTGAAAAGAATGCTCTTTTCGAAGACACGTTGCTTTGTTAGCTGCTTAATTAATGGGCCTTTCAATGCCCGAGTTCATGATATTGCGTGAAATGAGAAATGACCGTTGGATAGGACTAGAAAGTCCAGTCGTTTGATCTGGGATTAATTCAGTTGACGTCATCCCAAAGAAGAAAGCATCGCTAAGCATGCTTCTCTAAGCACATCTTTTCATTACTGATCAACTTGTAGCCGAAGGTGTATTAATTTACCACAGTTGACTCCGCTACAATTATAAAACTACAACGAATAAATAAAAGAATAGTTTCGTTAGGCAAATACGAATATAGAAATACTTAAGTGGCTTACTTGATACCACGAACAAAGCATATACACATAGACAATTTCTACACACGTTACTTATTTCTAAAAACTAAGATCGTAGGCAACAAAGCCTACTCTTACATTTGATTTTAAACTATATTACCAAACCGTCAAAATAAGAATTCGCAATATACTTTTATCTTGATCAGTCCTGAGTTTCGTGGCATGTTCCTCAGAAACTCGCTGAGTATAAAATAGTGATTAAGAGGCATGGAGGAATAAACCAAAATCAGAGCACACTTGCCAAGTCTCTTAAGAGAGAAAAACAGACACAAATTGTTTTCGTGTAACACAAGCAACACAAAAGAGATGCTTGGAGCCGGAGCAATATGGGGATTAACGGGCACAACGGTGACAAGCCTTATGTTCATTTGGGCGTTATACTCACAATACGTCCCTCTCAATATCCAAGACTACGTTAAGAGCTACGCTCACAGATACGCTCACAAGATGATTGGATGGATCTCTTCCGACGTTGCAATAAAATTCAACGAGTACACAGAAGAAGGTCTCAAGAGAAGCGAGAACTACGACGCCATCCGCAACTATCTATCAACCAATTCCGCTGCTCGTGCAAAGAGGTTAAAGGCCGACGAATCTAAAAACAGCAGATCGTTGGTGTATAGCATGGACGATCACCAGGAAGTTGAAGATGTGTTTAGAGGTGTGAAGGTGAAGTGGTATTCTAATGTGAAAGAGACTCGGACTCAGTCTAATGATGGTCGAAGCAGCTCGGACGAGAGAAGGTTTTACACGCTTACTTCCCATACACGACACAGAGAAATGGTCCAAACGACTTACGTGGAGCATGTTTTGAGAGAAGGGAGAGAGATTGGGTTGAGGAACAGAGAGAGGAAGCTTTACACTAACAACTCGAGTCAAGAATGGATGCCTTGGAGGTCAGGAAAGTGGAGCAACGTTCCTTTTCATCATCCGGCTACGTTCGAGACTTTGGCTATGGAACTTGAGAAGAAAGAAGCGATCCAGAAGGATCTGACAAAGTTTAGAAATGGGAAAGATTATTACAAGAAGGTCGGGAAGCCGTGGAAGAGAGGTTATCTCTTGTTTGGACCGCCCGGGACAGGGAAGTCGACGATGATATCAGCAATAGCGAATTTCTTGGAGTACGATGTGTATGATCTTGAGCTAACGACGGTGAAGGATAATTCAGAGCTTAAGAAGTTGTTGCTTGAGACACAAGGCAAGTCGATCATTGTTGTTGAAGACATTGATTGCTCGCTTGACCTAACGGGGCAGAGAAAGACGAAAAAGGAAGAAGACGACGATGAGGAGAAGAAGAAGGAAGCTGAGAAGAAGGAGAGAAGGGAAGGAGAGAAGCAGAGTAAAGTGACATTGTCAGGGCTGTTAAACTCCATTGATGGTTTATGGTCAGCTTGTAGCGATGAGAAGATTATTATATTCACAACGAACTACGTTGATAAGCTTGATCCGGCGTTGATAAGAAGAGGAAGAATGGACAACCATATTGAGATGTCTTATTGCAGGTTTGAAGCGTTCAAGGTTTTGGCTAAGAACTACTTGGATATTGACTCACACAGTTTGTTTGGAGAAATCAAGAGATTGCTCGAGGAAAATGACATGTCCCCTGCGGATGTTGCGGAGACTTTGATGCCGAAATCTGATGAAGAAGATGCGGACATTTGCGTCGAGCGTTTGGTCAGGATTTTGGAGGAAGATAAGGAGAAGGCGAGGAAGTTGGCTCTAGAAGAAGAGAAGAAGAAAGCAGAGAAGGAAGAGAAGATGAAGAAGAAAGAAGCAGATGAAGAAGAGAAGATGAAAGCAGAGAAGGAAGAGAAGATGAAAAAGAAGAAAGCAGATGAAGAAGAGAATAAGGCAGAGGAAGAATAGAATGTGAAATGGAATATTTGAACAAAAGAAGTGAGTAAGTGATGAAACATGATGAATGTGTGTGTGAATGTGTAAGGTTTTACTTTGGCCGGTGTTGCAAAAACTGCGAAATAATGCAATTTAGTAAAACCTCTATATTAATAATGTATTGTTCATCAAGAGTGTAAAATATTGTTTTTGAAACCTTAAAATTTAATAAATCATATTCAAAATATTATTATTTTATCATTTTGTTGTTTTTTTGCTATTTTTTACACTTTCTAACTAGAGAAAATTATTATTTTATAGCAATTATTAATTTTAATATATGAATATTAATTTATAAATCGTAAAAATTATTATTTGGGATATTTATGGATTTTTTTTAATGGGAAAATTGTACCAAACATTTAGATATATGTCACGGACCGGACCACATCCGGTTTGGCAGATTGGGATCCAATGTACACACGGACAATAACAAGCCAAATCAGCAATCCAACAAACGGTCCATATCCCATCACGTGGCGCTCATACAAATAGTCACGTCGACACCTATTTATAACATTCTCTTCTCCTCCATTTCCACAACAGTAGCTAAAACCGTGATCGGAAGAAGCTACGAAATCCAAAATATGCCAAAAGTTTCACAGATCTCTACTGTTATACTGCGTTTAAGGTATTCTTCATCACGAAGACTCTCCAATGGCGGCTTCAACTTCGTTGCTCGTTCCTATTGCACCTCTGATCCTCCCAAAACATCAGGTACACATTGTCTCATAATCCTCAATTCGGTTTCAAAATCTTTGTCTTGTAAATAATCTCGCAATTGAGATATTGGGAATTGTTTCTTGTCAGGTCCATTGACGAGTTACAGTAAGTTAGTGGAACAAGGGAGGCTTCAACATGATCCGTACCAAGAGAAAGTTGCTTCGGCATTCGAAAATTTGTTTGGAAGATTGGAGAATTTCGAGAAGGAAATGGAAGATTATCATGTAAAATCAGTCTCAGGCTCTCCTTAATCTGGGAATTTTGGGTTCAAATTATTCGCATTTATGTTTATAAAGTTTGTTTTTTTTTTGAATTCAGGTGAGATTAGCAGAGTGGGAGAAGAAGAGAGAAGAAGAGCGGAGAAGACTAATGGTGGAAGAAGCAGAGAAGAAGGAAGAAGAAGGAATGTGGGCTTCTATGAATAAACATGGCCAAAAGCTTTTAGGAAGATGGGTTTTAGGGTAAGCTTGTTGTCACTATGAAAGGCATCTCCTTTAGGTGAAAGTTTGTTTCTTTTCATCTTGAAAAGGTTTAGTTCTTGTTTAGGCGAAGACAGATGAATGTAGAACCTGGAGTTGGTAAATGGGTATCATACCTTAACCGAGAGAGGAAACTGGATTCGATTGTCGGTTCTCGTCCTGTGATACCTCAGGCTCCTAAAGGATTGTATATCTATGGAAATGTAGGATGTGGTATGTTAATGGTTTGCTTTCATATGATTTCTCTACTGTATAGTCATGAAGGTTAAGCTTAGTTGAGACTGAGGTTTTGTGTTTTCGTTGTAGGCAAGACTATGCTTATGGATATGTTTTATGGTTCTACTGATGGGATGATTAGGCAACGGCAAAGGTTTCATTTTCATGAGGTGAGTCTTTTAAAGGTTTTTTCTTTTGTTTGATTTCAAACTTTTGATTGATTTTTTTGAATTTGTTTCTTCTGTAAGGCTATGCTGAAGATAAATGAGCAAATGCACAAGTATTGGAAGGAGAATGGAGAAGAGAAGTCCACGCAATATCGCATTTCGAGCTGGATTATGAATCTTCCTGTTGATGAGAAAGTCAAAGAATGGCTAGCTGGAGAAGAGTTTTATAAGCAGCAACTTCAGATGAAACACATTCTTCCGGCTGTGGCTGATAAGTTTCTCGTTGATCAGAAATCTAGTAAAAAAGGAGCTAGCATCCTCTGCTTTGATGAGATTCAGGTAACTTTAAACATGAAAAGTAACAAGAACCAATTCAGTGTCTACAATGGCTTTAGATGTTAATGGATTTGCTATCGTTTGGCCTTAGATGAAGTTGTAAACAGTGTTTATTCTTTCGGTAACTTGGGACTTCGTTGCATCTTCTGTTACAGACAGTTGATGTATTTGCTATTGTGGCCTTATCTGGAATTATGAGCAGATTGTTGACTACTGGAACTGTTCTTGTGGCCACCAGTAACCGAGCTCCGCGGGAGTTGAATCAGGTTCCCCTCTCTTCTTCTCTTTAAAGCCCTCTTCTTATGAATTCATGGAGAGCATGTGTCTTGATTACAAGGATTGTTGTTGTGCTGGTACAGGATGGAATGCAGAAGGAGATATTTGATAAGTTCATCTCTAAACTGGAGAAACATTGTGAGATAATCTCGATTGGAAGCGAAGTAGATTACCGCAGAGTTGCAGCCAAAAACTCTGTTGAAAATGTGTGAATCACAAACTCTTTACATTGTTTATTGTTGGTTTTTCTTTTCTTCTGTTTGATGAAATTGTAAATGTGCATTTGCCATTTACAGGTTCACTACTTATGGCCTTTGAACAATGCTGTTCTTGAAGAGTTTGAGAAAATGTGGCGTCAAGTCACTGACCAGTACGGTGGAGAAATAACTTCCGCTACGCTCCCAGTGATGTTCGGAAGGTAACTAATGAGAGAAATGATCTTCCATCTTTGTTATGGATCATATGGAATCAAAATGGTTTTCTTTTTCTTTTGTGTGTGTGTGTGTATCATCAGAACAGTGGATGTTCCTGAAAGCTGTAACGGAGTAGCAAGATTCACATTCGAGTATCTATGTGGTCGACCGGTAGGTGCAGCAGATTATATCGCCGTGGCGAAAAACTACCATACGATCTTTATCTCCGAGATACCAGCAATGAGCATGGAAATACGTGACAAGGTATTATAAACCATAAACCAAAATCAAGATTCAAGGTTTTTGAGGTTCTGTGTATTCCTCCTTTCTCTTAGTGACATTTTGTTTGATGTTCTTAGGCACGTAGGTTTATAACACTTGTGGATGAGCTATACAACCACCATTGTTGTCTTGTCTCTTCCGCGGAAACGCCTATTGATGAGTTGTTTCAAGGAACTGCAGAGGGTACTCTGTTCGACCTCGAAAGGTATGTTATAATTTATAAACAAACCAAGCAGAATTCCGGCATTGAACAGTCTCTAGTTAATCTTATGTGTTGTGATTATGTGGAAACTTGCAGCTTCCAGTTTGAGACGGAGACGGAAGATTCAAGATTAAGAAGAGATGTGCTTGCAGAAGGTAGCATAAGTGCTACTGGTTCACCTTCTTCGATCGTTAAAATGCTTTCCGGTGAAGAGGAAATGTTTGCATTTGCTCGAGCGGTACGTATATAAGTTTCTCATTTTTCTGATAATATGCTCATTTAAAAAAAATGGTTTTTAGAGAATTTGGTTAAATTATGTTTTGAACGGTGCAGGCGTCAAGGTTGATCGAGATGCAGACTCCATTGTACCTCGAAGGAGTTCGTTTCTTGCATCCTTATTTCCATCAGCCCAAGTAAATTGGAAAAAATAACAAATTGATTTATTGATTAGCAGAAGTAACCAAACAAAAGGTTTGGTGTTTTGCCTTTATACTACAGAAGATTGATTCATTAATAAAAAAAAAAAAAAAATTGTCCATCACTAAACACGTAGGCAACGTAAGCAACTTTTTTCGTTTCATTTTTATGATTAGAGTACAGTAATTTACGATAAAGGCACGTGATTACTTTATATTCACCTACCAACGAGACCATTGGAGAGACATTTGGTGACGCATGCATCTGTCTTTTATCACACGATCTTTTGACTGAAGAGTTTGTTCGTTTTTGGTAGTCTTGAAAATCTCTTCATACGGACGGCTCTGTTTTTTTCTTCTTCTACATCTTGATTTCAAAAGTTCACAAAATAATTGACTTGTACAACCCCTTGTTAGTTTCAGTTTTTAAGTCCAAAATACTAACCTAGCAAAACAATTGCAACCTATTATTCTCTTTCTTTTTTGACGTCAAAAGTATTTGAAACTTGTTTATCTCTTGGGAATTTAACAAAAAAACATAAATACTTCTACACTGGCACTGTTTGACTAATTAGATTCTTTCCTAAATAAAATAAAGTACAAAGATAGAGAGGAATTATGAATAAATAAAAAAATAAGTACCTAAAACGAAATATATCATAGAAAAATATAAATACCTACACACCACACCGCAGCCTCCGCCCCTTACCACTCACCCATTCAAAAGGGCCAAAAACTCATCACCTCCAAGCAGAATCAGTAAAACCCTAAAGAGAGACTCAACGAAAGAGACAACCCAAAATCCGTCGTCGGCAAACGATATCTGTCGAACCCTTTCTGCCAAAAATCTTCACTTTCTTATCCTTTCACGAAACTATGATGAGGCTGTGAATCGAGTGTCACACTACCTACCTACCACTAACTCCAGAAAGCTTCAGAATCAGGAACTGTATTCATGGGCAAGACTGGAATCAATCTGTTCGACGATACGAGGAATGGGTTTTTCTCAGTTTCCGATTTGGGATCCGATTTGAGCCTACAGAGCCAAAGCTACCGTCCAATTGGCGGATTGTTCGCGAGTGTTAATCAATTAGGAGCTGGATTCGGGTCAGGACTCGGGTCCGGATCTATTTCGGATCCTCCAAACAGAGCCAACAATAGCTTCGCTGCTCAGCTCAACGATCTATGCACAAAGTACTTACCTTTCAGAGAGGAAGTGGAGGAACTGGAAGAAGTGATTGGTGAGACGAAGCTGAAGAAGAAGAAGAAAGGAGGGTTGAAATTGAAGCTTAAGATCGCCAATCCTTCGTTACGGCGGCTGTTGAGCGGAGCTGTGGCCGGAGCTATTTCGAGGACGGCGGTTGCTCCTTTGGAGACCATTAGGACTCATCTAATGGTCGGAAGCGGTGGAGATTCCACCACTGAAGTCTTCCGTGACATCATGAAGCATGAAGGATGGAAAGGTCTCTTTAGGGGTAATTTGGTCAATGTCATTCGTGTTGCACCTGCTCGTGCCGTTGAGGTACTAAAATGATTCAAAAACATTCTTCATAATCTTCAAAATGTTTGATTGTTTGTTGGTATGGAACTTTTAGATAATTAGTGAATTGGTTCGGCTTTGAAACTTTTGTGTTGGTGGCTCAAGCTCTAGTTTAAGGACTTTGTGGTGTATGTAACCATTTGTTTGATTTCTTAACTTCTCTTTCAACTATGTTCAGCTTTTTGTATTCGAGACGGTTAACAAAAAGTTGACTCCAAAGCTCGGAGAAGATTCAAAGATTCCCATACCGGCTTCATTGCTCGCCGGAGCCTGTGCTGGTGTTAGCCAGACCCTCTTGACATACCCTCTCGAACTAGTCAAGACCCGCCTTACAATTCAGGTATGCTCCCTAAAGTTTCCGACTTTACGTAGTAGAATGGTGGTATGATGTCAACATGAATGTAAACCAACTCAAGCTGTGGAAGGAAATTTGAGGGCTTTAGAACATTTTACTAATGCCTCTTCTTTTGACGCAAAGCGGATTGTATAGAGTTTAGACATTGGCCATTGATGTGTCTTGGGACCGTTTTGCAGAGAGGTGTGTACAAGGGAATATTGGATGCGTTTGTCAAGATAATAAAGGAGGAAGGCCCTACAGAGCTTTACAGGGGTCTTGCACCGAGTCTTATAGGAGTGGTTCCATACGCGGCGACAAACTACTTCGCCTATGACTCTTTAAGAAAAGCATACCGAAAGGTTGCAAAGAAGGAGAACATCGGGAACATCGAGACTCTGTTGATAGGTTCTTTAGCTGGTGCGTTATCGAGTACCGCGACTTTCCCCTTGGAGGTAGCTCGGAAGCATATGCAGGTGGGAGCAGTTGGTGGGAGGGTGGTTTACAAGAACATGTTGCACGCTTTGATTCAAATACTTGAGAAAGAAGGTCTTGCAGGTTGGTACAGAGGGCTTGGACCGAGTTGCTTGAAGCTGGTTCCTGCTGCTGGAATCTCCTTCATGTGTTACGAGGCGTGCAAGAAGATACTCGTTGAGAACAACATCAACAGCGAGGAAGCTTGAGCTCTCTGTTTGTACTTCAGGGTTTGATCAGGACTAACACGATGGCTCTGGTGAACCAAATCAGGATGATTCTGCAACTATAGGAGAAAGGCGTTGTACCAATTGAGACTTGCACATTCACACAGTTGAGGAGATTTGAGTTTTTAAAATTTTGGGGCACATTATTGATTCTTGTGGAACAAAACATCCAAAAGATTCATTTTTTTGTTTTGTTTTAGTTTTTGCTTTGTGTTCTTGATCTTACATAGCTTTTCTATATTTTTTGTTGGCTCAAACAAGTTGGAATTAATACATGTGTGTGTTCCAACTTCTTGATCGAGAATCTCACATCAAGACACTTATGAAAGGCATAATACATGAGTGTATTACACTATGAGTGACTTTTCTCACTTATCTTACGTAAAGAGTGACATTTTGATTGTAGTGCACTTTTTTTTGTTTTGTTGTGAGTTGAAATACCAAGTATAACCTTAATGAAAATGGAAGTGAGAAGTTTTACCATCCACGCAAAAAGCTATCTGTCTCCTATTTGTTTGTACGACTTGTTTGCAATTTGGTGATTGATTTATGTTTGGATGATTTATGTTTGATGATTGATTTTTCTTTCTTTTGCTTTTTTATTAAATCTTATATATTATTATTAGTTAGTATTGATTTCTCTGATGGTATAGCAAAATTCACTTTAAGATCAGAATTTGGTATAAGAAGCATACAAAGAAATCGAGAAAAATTCTGCAAACAAATCGAGAACAGACCTGAACTTGTATTCGTCACTCAATCACCCACATAAACATCTCCATAACTCAAATCAAAACCACCGGTGAGGTAACGCATGTTTGATTCGGACATATATTATTGGACATACAGAGAGTTGGATTTGTAGTGCATGAGTTGGAGTGAGAGTGTGGATAATTTGATATTGTTTATCTTATTTACGATTTTTTTTTTTTTTTTTTTTTTTTCTGAAAAAAGGTTCATTGATCTTGTATCTGGGTTTAGTTGGACGAAATTGTGTTTTTGGACGATTAAAAATTGGTGTACACCTATACGTGGACACTTTTGTGGTGGATACATGAATGTGGACAATATTTATGCGGATATGATTATGTCATTTGTATAAACTATAAACACAATACAATAAAACCTCTATAAAACAATAATGTTGGGACTTTGAAATTTTATTATCTTATAGAGTTATTATTTTATAGAAATATTCTATCAAAAACAAAAAACTTTATAGAAATATATTTTTTTAGATTTTTTATTCAAATTTTCCTTATACTTTGTTATTTACATATTTCATGCTCAGAAGTTCAAAGTCTATAAGAAATTATGTCTACTGTTCTTAATGGTGAAGATGAAGTTGAAGATGATGAGGAAGGACATGTGCAAGTAGTTACACGTAAGGATGCAATTGTGGCTTCGAGAACTCTTCACAACTTTTGGCTGCATGTTGAGAATACACCTCCAGAAATTGTAGATGCAATAAGAAAAATTCGAGATGAGCTCAACGGGAATCCAATTTTCAGAAAAGACAAACTACATTGGAGTCATATTTTACTAAATTGTCTTAGATATATATGCATTAGTTTTATAATTATTATCTTAGCTTATTGTTGGGACTATATTTTTACATAGGAGTTTCAAAAATATTATTGTCTTATCATCTTATCGCATTATGCTATTTTTTACACTGGCCCGAGTTGGGACCGGAGAAAAATATTATCTTATAGTGTTTATTGTTTTATCGAGTATTGTTTTATAGAGGTTCTACTGTACTCGATTTTATGGCATGGAGATAATAGAATTGAATATTAGTCTGGGTCTCGTTCTTTTTATTTAGAATATGAGTATTGAGATTTGTGCTTGGGTATCTCAATTTCATTTCATTTGAAGTAAAAAACTTTTGGTCAGTTAATAAGACATCAATGGAAACAAATAGTTGCTGATGTTTCAATTAAAAACAATATGACAGACAAAGATAATAAGATCAATGCATATACATAATAGTTTCCCTCAAATATTCTTTAATTGTTGCACCTCGCCATAGTGCTTTCGTACTAGTTACCTTGGATGTCTCGTTTGAATTGTCTGCATTGAGAACATGAATTATAGCTTGTTTAAAGAGAAAGAATAATTTCATGAGTGCCTTTTACCATAAGAAAACTCATTAAAACCATCCACGCTAGTAAATACAACTATCCCGGAAAGTTCAAGTGAAGAGCACAAAGAGAGAGAGAAACAAAATTCAGGTGAAATGTGAAAAATAAGGAATTACAGAAACAAGGTAAGTGAAAAAAGGGCAACACTGTCAACTCACTTTGTGAAAGTCCACCACTTTCACAAAGTCCCTCAAAATGTAAAGCCACACCCAAAAAGTACATGTAAAGCCAAACCCAAAAAGTACACCTAAGTGTAATTTTCTCCATAATACATGCATTTATAACATCAGAGAGGCAAAACTCATTGTTGTAGCATAATACTATTGGGGTTTTGGTAACTTCCCACTACAGAGCTTTATAAACCAGCACATCAGAGAGCAACAGCCTCTTGGATTAAAGGGTTTGAGAGATTTCCTACAATATATATACATACTTATTTATAAATTATGGCTAAAACTGGCCATTACCAGGCTTAATGGTGGGAACAAAGGGGTTGATGCGGACCCAAAGCAGCGAGAAGATGGATGCAAGAAGCACAGACCAGACAATGACAATGGTGGGAGTCCGGTTCTGTCTTCCCAAAAGACCTTTCAAGAAAGGGTAAAGATGAGCAACCACCCACAGTGCAAACAAGAGCTTTCCCATGAGCGGTCCCCAGGATTGGTACCCACTGTTCACCGCGTAGGAGACACCAAGCACAATGCCGACAAGGTTCATCAGTAAGATGGTGGTTGGTGGGATGAGAAGAGATGTCCATTTGAAGACGTAGAGCTCTGCAAAGTCTCCGTCTTCATCAGTGGCTTTCGATGTGACCGTGAAGTTTGTGTCTATCCCTGCAAGAACTTTGAGCAGACCTTGGAAGACCGCGAAAAGATGAGCTGAGGTTCCACCGATTACCCAAAACTGCTCGTTCCTCCACCAGTCCTCAAGGCCCACACCACTCCATTTGAGCTCCAAGAGTGACGTCGCATAGATGGACATAAAGAGCAGTAGGAAACACGAGCTCGCAGCGTTGCTTATCTGCAAATTAAGGACAAAATGTAAAAACACAAGTTCGAAAATGTAGGATGCAGTAAATGGATAAAGACCAGGACTGACCTGAGGTATAATGAACTTGTTTGTGATGAGGCAAAAAGCTGGAAGCGTACAATAGGCGAGGAGCGGGATAGATGTAATAGGGTAGACAATGGTATTGACATAAGCAAGTCTCTCCAAGAGTTTCAACTTTCCATTATAGCCATACCATATAGGGCAATGCCTGCTCAGAAGAATCTCAATAGATCCCAAAGCCCATCTTAGAACTTGGTTCAAACGATCAGAGAGATTGATGGGTGCGGATCCCTTGAACGCAGGGCGTGGAGGCACACAGTAGACTGATATCCAACCTCTTGCATGCATCTTGAAGCCAGTAAGAATGTCTTCTGTCACAGAACCGTAGATCCACCCAATCTAAAAATCAAGAAGATGAACAAGTTATGAGATACAGATGAACATAAGAGAATGGCTTTGTTGTTTAGACGTAAGAAGTCTGACCTCTTTGCCCCATTCAGTCTTGGCTTCATAACCACAGCTTATGACATGAATCGCCTCCTTGAGAAGAGTCGCAGGGTTGGTTGTTGGTGGAAGACCTCCTTGTTCCATGAAAGTAGCTGCTATAAACACCGGTGACTGACCAAAACGCTTCTCCAGACTTTTCTGGGACGCAAGAAGAGACATCTCATCCTCATAGCCTGCAAGAACAAGAATTTTCAGTCAAGAATCAGAAAGAATTTCTTTCGCGTGCGTAAGAACGTTGTCACATAGTAGTCATGACAGACCTTCAACACCCTCGTCAATATCTTCCAATTCCATATTGAAAAGCGGAGCGTTGGAGTCACTTCTCTTGATGTTTCTGTTTTGTTCGTCGTTATGTTTCTTGCTGCTCTTTCGTTTCTTCCTTGAGCCAAAACAGCTCTTTACAATAATATTAGGCTCAAGATCTTCCTCTGTTAGAACAGGATCATATCCATACAAGGCCTGCCTGTTGAAACAGCAACCAGTACCAACATACACAGGACCTTGTATACCATCCAACCCCTTCAAGTTAATCTGCACAGCATAAAACACATCTTGAGTCAGCTCAAAATGGACAAGATATGATCAAGAACTGGAAATAAAAGACATTGGTTGTGAAAAGTGGAGCTAAACTCACGTCAAAAAAGACAATGTTCCTGTTGGCGTATCGATCATGCAAGTCAATACCGTCGAAACGTTGTGGGAACTGCACATAGCAGCACTTCTTTCCGATAGCAGGGTCCATCATGAAACACATGGCTTCTTTGACCGCCTTGCTGTTGTTGAAGTAATGATCACAGTCCACGTTCAAAAGATATGCCCCATTGGTTAGCACAGCAGAAACACGGATCTGTCAAATGTAAGAAAGGCTCAATCAGGAGAAAAATAAAAGTCAGGTTCAACTACTTGGTATAATGAAGCTGAAAATCAATTCAAAACTAAAGAGAGCATATTTAACAAACCAGGGCATTCATAGCTCCAGCCTTCTTGTGGTGCTGAAATCCAGGACGCTTTTCACGGGACACATAGATGAGCCTAGGTAGCTCGTTTCCATCGGTATCCAGACCTCCACTATGGCCTAAGAAAACCTGTGTTGAAAAACAAAATACTAAGCATCAACAAACATCCTGCAATGAGAAGTAACAGGAAAAGAAGGGATTGTACAAGTGTACCTGAATCATCCCAGGATGGTCTCTAGGGTTGTTACCAGGCCAGGGAGTACCATCCTGCATTGTCCAGCCATCTTCAGGCATCTTCTGTGCTTTTGCAACAAGGATATTGATCCTCACTTTAAACTCCTCATACTCTCTCTGTAAGACATAAGAAAGTGTGACATTTCACTCTTAGATATGTGCAATGGAGAAAACAAGGAGAAGCTATTTCACTCTTAGATATGTGCAATAGTAGTTCAAGAAACACCTTCATTGCTCGTCTCTCTTTGACAAAAGAAGGTTGGATCTTGTCTTTCAAGTAGTCTATCTTCTGTGAAAAATAGAACTCGGGAGCTCTGGGTTCAATGCTGAATTTCTTGCAAAACGGTACCCATTTTCTTGCAAACTCAGCCGTTTCAGAAAGGGATTCAAAAGTTAGCATAGCAGAGCCATCGTCTGAAACATAACACGCAACTTTATCCACTGGGTAGTCCACAGCAAGAATTGAGAGAACCGTGTTTGCTGTTACAAGAGGAGGCTCTTTCATTGGATCCACCGTGCTAACAAACACATCCACCGGAGCTAGCTGTGATGGTTCACCATCTCGATCATATCTACCATGAAAGAAAAGTAGAAAACCAAAACCAAAATATCAAATGCAAATAAACAACTTCACACTAAGTAAAAATTGATTATCAAAAGATGGAGAGGAGCATAAAGTTGTAAGAACCAAACTTAAAGCAAGCCTGTCAAGAAAAGTTTCCCTGTTAATGGGACACCATTTTGGAAACTGATCAAGAAGCCAAGAAAAGGCAAACCAGATCTCACAAATAACTGAGGTCAACCACAGGGGATATGCATCTTTCACGGGATGAGTTACACGATAATGCAAGAACACTCCCAAAATGAGGAGCCGGAAAACTATCACAATACGATAAGGTGTCATGCGAGAGGATGGAATAGTAATCACACAGCTCATAGGAAGCCGAGCATCACCATCCCTGTAAGTACAAGATCCATCAATAACCAAGATCGGTTCTTAGTGTCACTACAAATAAAATGCAGACTTTTAACTTACATTTGGAGTTCTTCACCATTGGAACCAGTCCCTTCAATCTCTCCTCCCTTCCCTTCATGAATTTTACCACTCATCTGTAACATATTCTTCTCCTGTTTCAGCTTCCAACCTTGGATCCTTTCTTTCCAGTCAACATTCCCAAGCCCGTAAGAGTTCAAGTCTTTCGATGAATCCACGATTCTTACAGGCACTGCATATTTGTACCAAACATTTGCAAGATTACAATATGATGAGAGCCAAACACACAAAAGCAAAGGTTGATACATACCAGGTAGCTGCGGGTCGATACAAGGAGACAGAGCAGCATTCCTATCAGGAGGTCCCAATTGTCCTGAAGTAGTTTGTACAGATTGTGTGTCCGGTGTAAGAATCTCTCCAGAAACCTATGCATAGAAATGATCAGGGAAAAAAGTCATTATATAAAAGTTAGAAGACAAATGAATATGTTGTAGTCTCCTTACTGGATGGCCATGAGTGAGAAGAGAGATTGGTTGAGATTCATGTCGAGATGAGGAAGAGAACTCTTCAACGCGTTGTGGGAGTCTTCTTGCCTTGTTGTTGTTTCTCTGTGTATAATCAAACTCGTTCTCGATTTCATCAACATCATCTTCTTCTTTATCTCCTTCAACACGAGGACTCCCTTATACCAATCAAATGTGTGAGAAAATGAAAAATTTAACTCATAGAGATAACATGAAGACAATATCACAGCATAGTACTACTGACCATTGTGCCTTCTGAATCTAGTCTTGCACTGAGGACAACACTGAGTTCCATCTCTCCTCTCGTACTCGTAACAAGGACGGCACAAAGGGAAGGCACATTCATTACAAGCAACAAAGACATTGCTAGTATCAGTGAGTCCGAGTCCAACATCATCACCACAGATTTGACATATATGACCACTCAGATTTTTCAGGGGTTTTGGCTGCACAATGAACACAAAAGAATGTTAAGAAGAAGAATCAAGAACAGATCTTTATAGATCTAAAACCAAATTATCCACATGAACCTTTTAAAAACCATCAGTTACAATGAGGTACAGAGTAAAGGTTTAGACATTGAGAATCAACGATTAAGGAAAACAAAAATTAAAATCCATAGATTAAGATATAACTGAAATTCACCAACATTGTCACCTTTTAAGATAAAGGAGTTAAATTCAAAGCCAGAATCGGACATATATTCATAGATCTAAACATGCATCAAAAGATATACAACCCTTTACGAACAAAGAACATAACTTTATTCATAACGATAGATAAAATCACAGAAAAAGGCTTAGACTTTGGCCGATTTTAGGTCCAAAAACCAACAAAACAGAGAGATATATGGATTAAATCTACCCATCAAAACCTAAAGCAAAAAAACAGAAAATTTTGTCAAATGAACACGAAAATGCAGACATAACCAACCTCTTCATCGGAGTCGTGTCGTCGGATCCGAACAAGCTCGTTTCTCCGGTAAGATCCGGCAACCATGCCGGCGCTCGGCTCCATCGCTTTAAAAACGTCGTCGTTGTGAAAGAGGAGAATGCACACACTTTAAAGGAGAGCTCTCTCTACTACCCAATACAAATCAATGTACACTCCACTCTCTCTCACTCCCTCTCTTCACCTTCCACTTCTGTCCAAATATTTATGTTTACGTTTCTGTCTTTATTTTTCTATTTTCTTATTTTAGTTAATCTGAGTATCCAATATGCGACACGTGGAGTCGTAGACCGTTCTAAAGTGGATATTCGTGGGCCCACCATTACCTTAAAATCGAACAAACTAATAATAGTATAAAATGCCGAGAAAAGAAAAACTATATAATAAAAGGGAAATTATAAAGTTACACACGTAACAATTAGTTTTAAATTAATACATTAATGCGATGCTGATGGTCCATCCTAAAACAGCTACCATCTTAATTAACCTGTCCCTTTATACAGTTTATTATTGAACTGTCTCACTACTTGGTAAAATAAATTATTTATATATACACCGTTTGAATATTGAGGCTTTCACACTGAAAATTAATTACAACTTTGCAATTCTTGAACAATCAGAAACATCCATAAAGATTCTTGACACCAAACCTACTCTACAAAAGGCCCATAAAACAATTTACATATGCAAACACAAAATCAGACAGGGTTTGTTACTAGTCACAGAGTTTTACGTTGTGGTGAAACTTTGTTACGACAAAGCGGGCAAGAACGATGCAACTGCAGCCACGTATCGATGCATGTGATGTGAAAACAATGCTCACATCTGGACAAGCACCCAACGGTTTCATTGCTCGCATATTCCGATAGACAAATTGGACATATAATATCATTTCTCTTCCAGAGATTCAGATTTTCCTCTAACGCCACTTTCTTGTACAATTCTAGGATCATAGACTCAGCATGACAACCACGCGGCCTGCCACTAGCAAGCCGTGCTACGGATCGTCGCATCTCGGTAGGGAGCCTATCGGAGCTGAACATTATATACGCGACATAACTGGTTATCGCCATAAGTAATCCGATTAGAGAGAGGTAGATTAACTTTAGGACGACTAAGAGAAAGTCCTGCTTTCAAAAGATTAAAAGGTCTTGATGATTAGTTTAGTTTAATAGAATGAAAAGTTGTTCAAGTCAAGTCAATGAAGTTTATAAATTAAAAGTCAATGACTTGATTGTCATTAGTTAATGCCCACTAGGTTTTATTTTGTTATAAAATGAGTAGAGAATTACCATTTTCCAAGAAAAAAAACCAAAGACGATATCTTCGTTTTGAAGCTTGATGAAGCCAAAGAGCATTTCGGTTTCGTTACCGAACGATTTCTCTCACAATCTGGTGAGTACCGTTTAGGCCAGAGGTCTTGATCGTTGAGGTCAACGGTGACTGGTGAGAGGTGAAGAAAACAGAAAAAAGTGACGTCTTGAAGATTTGAAAAAGTGTAGCAACGTTTTGTTTTCTAGCGTTTAAGAGAGGGAAGAAATAGAGGAAGGCGAAGAAGAGAGGGAAGTGTTTTGAGGTGGTCGTGATAATGTGGTTTGGCACTAGCTAAGAGAATTGTAAGTAGTTTGAGATAATGGAAAAAGTCAGAGAACACAATATATAATTTGGAATAGAACGGTGGTGGACATATATAAATCGTCTGTTCATATTAGGGAAAACTAGTTCAATTATCTCTCTGATTATTTTTTGACACATAATATAAGGTACCTTCTATGAAAGAGGAGGAGAATTTGCAAACCTTTTGTCTCATAGAAATTTAGAAGACCTAGCTAATTGTGGGAATATATGTTTATATCAAGGGGGTGATTGGCAAGGGCTGTAGATGTTCTACACAACCAAAAATATATTATATACCCTCTATTAACAAATCAATCATGCTTTAGTTTTAAAAAACAAAACTACAGAAGAAAAAAGTTAAAAAGTGAAATATATTAGCTTTGAAAATCGTGTGTTTTCTTGTTTTTCCGTCATCAAGTCTTTCTATCTCACTATCAAAGATGGTGTCACTGCCATGTCACTGTCAAGGCAGAAGAACAAGTTGGAAAATATAAACAACACGGGTACATGTCCAAAGCCTAAGCCATGTAAGGGTTGCTTGGGGAGGAAGTTACAAAGATCTTTCCGGTTTTTGAGTATGGATGAGGTCAAACTGACGTAAAGACCTAGCTATTCATTTCAAGAAACCAAAGCCAAATCATAAATCATAATTGACCAAGTCTCACGACCAAGTCCCATCTCTTTTCTTCAAATTTTTATTTAAGAAACTTACACATTTTAATATATAATTCTTTTAAATAAAACCGTTCAAGAAATACTATTACCACTTAGTGTGACCAAGTCCACGGTGGTGATGACAGCACAAACCGACAGTGTTGAAAATTAAACTGTCATCGTAAAACGTATAAATCAAAGTTCCAATCTCGTTTCGTACGGCAATGATTAGTTTGTGGCATTAGATCAGTAATCAATTCAAATTAGCAACATAATCATCCCTCTTCGAAATAAAACACCACCACATAAATAGTGAAGTTTCTGAACGAAAATTTGATAGCTTTCTCACACCTTCTCCAATCGCCACCAAGCCCACAGTCTTCGACGATGCTGAGGTTACGACGGTCTCTATGTCTAGTCTTGACGTTCTGGTTCGTGTGTATTTCCGGTTCGGTTCAATTTGTTCGAGCCCAAAATCAAACCGGAACCACTACTCATCCTGGAGACGGTTTGTTCTCCATCTTTGAACATTTTGCAGAAATTTGATTACCATATTGGTCTTAAGCTAGTTTTCAATCCTAATTGCTAAAACCAACTTAAGAGAGAGGAGCTAATAAATAACATTGATTTTTATTTTTTTTTTATTTTTTCATGTAGGAGAAACCTTTTTTAATCTATTTTTAAGGTTTTTTTTTTCTAATTGCCGTTTCCTATAAATATCAATATGTAACGTTTTAAATTTGAAAGCAGCGCGCGCGCTAAACACGATTTTCAAAGCGTGGAATATAACGGCGATGCCTTCGTGGAACATAAGCGGCGAGCTTTGCAGCGGAGACGCCGTCAACGACGCCGTTACTCTGGAAAGCATTGATCATAACCCTTTCATCAAATGCAACTGTTATTTCGAAAACGGCACCGTTTGTCGCATCGTCGCATTGTACGTTTTCTTCTAATCCTCACTCTCTGGCCTTCCATGTGTTCGACGAATTGTCCCAAAGAAAACGAAAAATATCATTTTTTTTCTCTGGTTTGATCAGAATGGCTTATTGTGAATTTGTGATGCAATTTTGCTTGTGGGATTTTGAAAATATGCTGTAAAGGTGTAAACTTTGGTGAATGTAGCCTAGAAAGTTTCATCTCAGTCTTTTGTGGTGTTCTTGTGTGTGTCACAGGAAGGTTCAAGCAATGGATATCAAAGGATCAATTCCTGAAGAGCTTTGGACTCTGGTTTACATGACAAGTTTGTATGATATTCTTATTAGCAAGTGTATATATACATAAGTGCTTCACTTTAGCTACGCATTCCAAGTCATGGGATTTGATGTTTGCAAGTGTTTTTGCAGGAACTTGAATAAGAATTTCTTGACTGGTCCCCTGTCTCCTAGCATTGGAAATCTCAACCTTATGCAGTGGATGTAAATCAACGATTTTTCTAGCGTTTTCTTAGCTAATAATGTATGCATGTATGAGCATATTTCTTATCTGTGTGTGGATGTTCCTTGTGATGTAGGACTTTTGGAGTCAATGCATTGTCTGGACCAGTTCCTAAAGAAATCGGACTGCTTACTGATTTAAGATCACTGTAAGGACTTGTTAATATGACCACATTCTCAGCTTGATCATAATCCTTTTGGCAGGTTTTAACGATCTGTTTCTTCTGACCTGTTTCTACAGTGCGCTTGATATGAATAGTTTCTCTGGCTCTCTACCGGCAGAGATTGGAAAATGCACTAGGCTACGGAAAATGCAAGTCCCTGCAATGCATTTGCTAAATTACTGACCTTTACCTGCACTAATATTCCTTCACCAGAGTCTTGCTTTTCAATTTTCTGTCCACTTCAGTGTTTTTCGAGATGTACAAAGATTGATGAGACTCATGTTTATGACAGTTACATCGCAAGTTCAGGACTTACCGGTGAAATCCCTTCATCATTTGCTAATCTTGTCGAGTTGGAAGAGGCGTAAGCTATCTCTTCGCATTGATATTAGTTGAGTTATTTTTGAGTTTTTGCTACTCAACTCATAACTTTTGTGTTGATTTCCTTCTTTATGTTGTGTCAGTTGGATTAATGATATCCAACTCACAGGTCAGATACCAGAATTCATAGGAAAGTGGACAAAGCTTTCTGCATTGTAAGAGTTTAATTTGAAATTTTAGCTCTATGGGGTTGATGCTTGATGGCCATACTCAACATTTGACACAAGCTTCACTGGCAGGAGACTTCTAGGGACTAATTTGAGTGGTCCAATTCCATCGTCATTCGCCAACTTAATTTCTTTGACAGAATTGTAAGTGTTGGATAGTATGCTCTTTTCTCTTTCACTTCTCCACTTGTTCTTGATTTTTGACGACATTCCAAATTACAGGAGACTAGGTGATATATCCAATAGCAACTCCTCTCTTGAATTCATCAGGGACATGAAATCTCTTGGTGTCTTGTAAGACTTCTGTTTCACATTTTTTTTTGCAAAATCTTGCTGAGCTCTGAAACTCCTCTCATTCCTCTGTATCATGCAGAGTATTAAGGAACAATCATCTTATAGGCTCAATACCTTCAAATTTCGGAGAATATGTGCATCTGCGACAACTGTAAGTATGAGACAAGAGAACACAAATGTCTTCTTTGTTAGTAAAATGAGATGACTTCATATGACTACAAACAATATGCATTATTTTTCCTCCAGTGATTTGAGTTTCAACAACCTAACTGGGGAAATTCCAGCGTCTCTTTTCAGCTCAAGCCAACTTACTCACTTGTAAGTGTAGTTTTCCTTTTCCTCATCACATGCCTTTATTCAGACTTCGTGTAGTTTTCCTTTTCCTCATCACATGCCTTCATTTAGGTTTCTTGGAAATAACAAGTTGAGCGGTTCCTTGCCCACTCAAAAGAGTTCCTCTCTTGTCAACATGTGAGTAACAACTATAAGTCCGGTAGTGTGCAGCTTCCTTTTAGGTACCATTTACAGAGTACTTTGATAATTCAAAGTGCTTAAGCGCAGAGACGTCTCATACAATGATTTAGCAGGGAGGCTTCCTTCTTGGGTTAGCCTACCTAACTTGCAACTGTAAGTTGGTGAATTATGTGGTTAAATTATCCAGAACATGCATTATTTTGCTATAACCAAGTTTGTATGTTTTTCTCCAGTAATCTAATTGCCAACCACTTTACATTGGGAGGTTCTGACAGAAGGTAACTATCCAGTTTTTGTGTTATCTTAGGTGCTTGAATTATTTATTTCAAAAGCATACAAATGCATATATTCCTCATTATTGTACTTTTTGGTCTTTGCTAAAAGGGTTTTCCCGGGACTGAACTGCCTCCAGAAGAATTTCCGCTGCAATCGAGGCAAAGGAGTATGTAAGTGCAAGAAAAAAAAGGGAATGCTTTGAGACTTATTACATTTTTAGCTCTAAGTCTCTAACTTTAAGTTAATGGGCTAATGCATAGACAATGTTAAGAAGCCATATCTTGGTCAATCTGTTGGTAATATGCTTCTCTATTTATTGGTGTCCAGATTTCAACTTTTCTGTCAATTGTGGAGGTCCAGAAATGAGATCTAGGAGTGGAGCGTTGTATGAGAAAGATGAAGAAGCGCTTGGACCAGCTTCATTTTTCGTAAGTAAAGCGCTGAGATGGGCAGTTAGCCATGTAGGACTGTCTATTGGGAGTAACAGTAATCAGTCAATCGCTTTTTCTACTACACAATTTGCAAACACTTCGGACTCGGAGCTTTTTCAGTCAGCGAGACTGTCTCCATCATCTCTAAAGTATTATGGACTGGGGCTAGAAAATGGTGGCTATACTGTAACAGTTCAGTTTTCTGAAATACAAATACAAAGTTCTAGGACCTGGAGAAGTCTTGGAAGCAGAGTTTTCGACATATATGTCCAAGTAGGTCTCTTGTTCTGTGAGATTAAAACTTATCATATTGTCATCTACCAAGTAAAGAACATATGAAAGTATAACTCTACTTTTTGATTTATGATGTCTGACCTCTGAGTTTCTTTTGTTTTTCAGGGAGAACTTGTTGAAAAGGATTTCAATATACGTAGAACACCTAACCGAGTGGTTCAAAGAGCATATAAAGCAAATGTATCTGAGAATTACCTAGAAATACATCTTTTCTGGGCAGGAAAAGGGACATGCTGTGTTCCTTTACAAGGGACTTATGGGCCGTTAGTCTCAGCAATCAGTGCAACTCCAGGTAGAATCTGTGACTTTTAAGATCGTCTGGTCAGAGTCAAATGTCTCTTTTCTTCTCTGCAGATTTCAGACCTACTGTAGATAATAAGTTGCCATCCAAGAACAAGAAAAAAGTTGGTATTATTGTGGGGGCTATTCTAGGAGCAGGGATGATAATAAGTATCTTGGTGTTCGCTCTCATTCTAGTCATCCGTAGGAAAAGAAAAAGAGCGGCGAATGAAGAAGGTAAAAGCCGTGGCATTATTAATAAACTCTAATCTTGAAACAATAGTAAATTACAGACTAGTATTCTCTTTTTGCAGTGCTACTTAGTTTGGACGTAAAGCCCTACACATTTAGTTGCTCGGAGCTCAAAACTGCAACACAAGATTTTGATCCTTCGAACAAGCTTGGAGAGGGAGGATTTGGACCTGTTTATAAGGTAAGACTGAACACGGAGGTTATGTGAATTTTCCCCTTTGACGTATTCTGAGAACATAAAGTGTTACAGGGGAAACTCAACGGTGGAAGAGAGATAGCCGTGAAGCAATTATCAGTTGCATCCAGGCAAGGAAAAGACCAATTTCTTGCGGAGATTGCTACTATATCAGCTGTTCAGCATCGCAACCTTGTAAAACTGTATGGATGTTGCATTGAAGACGATCAACGTTCGCTTGTATATGAATATCTCTCAAACAAAAGTCTAGATCAAGCTTTATTCAGTAAGCTCATGAACATCTCAACATATGATGTTTTTCTAGATGCCACAGTTTCACTTACTCGTTTCATGATGATTGTCGTCACAGAGGAAAATAGTTTGCAACTTAATTGGTCAGACCGTTTTGGGATATGCTTGGGAGTAGCCAAAGGTTTAGCATATTTGCATGAAGAGTCAAGGCTACGTATAGTGCACCGAGATGTAAAAGCAAGCAATATCCTTCTCGACTCAGATCTGATCCCGAAAATCTCTGATTTCGGGTTGGCAAAACTGTATGATGACAAGAAGACACACATAAGTAGCAGAGTTGCAGGAACAATGTAAATTTCCTTTTGTTTTTGCAGAACGTTTCTCTCTTCTTTTAATTTCTTTGTTTACTTGATCGTTTCTTGATGTTACAAATGCAGTGGATATCTTTCACCAGAGTACGCAATGCTTGGACACTTAACTGAGAAAACCGATGTGTTTGCCTTCGGTATCTTGGCTCTGGAAATTGTCAGTGGGAGGCCAAACTCTTCACAAGACTTGAATGATGATGAAAAGTACCTTCTCGAATCGGTACACTATCCTCTTATAGTGAAATGTTTTGGAAAATCTTATTTTGGTGAAAGTGTAATTAGTCTGTTCTTTTTTTACTAACGTTGCAGGCATGGAGCCTACACCAAAGGAATAGTGATGTAGAACTAGTAGATCCGGATCTAACACTATTTGATGAGGAAGAAGTTAAACGTGTGATGGGTGTGGCTTTCTTATGCACACAAACGGAACATACAATACGACCAACGATGTCACGAGTGGTGGGAATGTTGATAGGTAATGTGGAGGTAAATGAAGCTAATGCAGAGCCAGGCTATTATGCCTCTGAGAGAACGTTTGAGAATGCCATGAGCTTTGTAGAAACAAGAAACCACTCAACCACAATCCCACTCAAAATCAATGATGCTAACGGTGCATTTTAGTTACTTAGTAAATGAAAAAATATGCAAGATAAGGTCATCCTAAACAAAATCTTATACGGATCATCGAGACTATAAAAATCTCCATATTTTTGTTGTCTCACTATTTAGTTATTTTTGTTATAATGATTTAGCCACTTTAGGGAATTGTTCGCCATTGTTAGATTCTCGATAACGTGGACACAAATAGAGTGCTAGTCGAATATATGGGAGGATATCATTCATATAAGATATGATCGAATCTACTCATATGAATGATATCTTATTTTTGTTCAAAGTTATTTCAATTTGGGAATCTATTCATAATCCTTTAGTTAGACTTTGAACTTGCTAAGTTGGTAGCAACACCACAAGCTAAACAAAATTAGCATGTAACTTAGTGGAAGATGTGTCAAATTAGATTTGTAACCGCAAGATAAATCTATATATAGCTGTGTTGTCCCAAAAAAAAAAAAAATCCATTAGTGAAAAATAACTACATTATAAAAACAGAGCAAAACAGTAACAAACAAAAAATAACATGAGTGTAAGAGCTATGAGGATTTTATGATGAGACCTACCTCTAATCTTTCTCTTTTTTTTCTTGATGAAAAAATATTCCATAAATGATTCGGTTATTGAAACTCCATCGTAAAGGAATTTACCTATATAAAAAGGCATTCATACCACTTTCTTCTCACTCAAAATCCAAACCATAGAACAGCAATTGAAAAAAACCCTAGCTATACGATATTTCAGCCGACCAAATGGATCCAACAGCTGAAGGTTTGTTTTACTTGTGCATCCATGCATACATAAATAAGTTTCATCCATGTCTGTCTATATATGTTTGCTCATCTGCATATAATCTATCTAGAAACAATAAAACATCAGCTAAAGGACCGCAAAAATGCTCACTTCATGTTAGTTGATGGAATGTCTAAGCTAATCACTAACGATGTTAACATGGCTCAGTCATCGGAATTCCATGTTTCTGGTCACAAATGGTGAGTCATTCGATATGGCACCACCTAATTAGACTCCGCAGTTTTAAAGTAACTTATGTGTGTTCTTTGGCTTTACATTGGCAATATAGGAGGTTGGTGATTTATCCATCTAAGAAAGACCGCACAGAGACAAAGGACCATTTGTGTTTTTACCTTAGGATCTCAGATAGAAATTCTCTACCTTCTAACTGGGAAGTCAAATGCAGTTTCAAACTCAGCATAGTCTCTCAGACTAAACATGTTCAGGATATATCCAAATGTATGTTTTTCGTGTACATATGAGTATGAATTGGTGTAGATATTGTGATATTGAAAATATATGTTTAATTAATTATCAGCGTTTGTGGAGTGTTATAATGCAACAGAAGCAATTAAGGGTGAATACAGCTTCATATTACACTCGGTATTGGAGAGGTATATTGTGAACGACAAAGTTGTTTTCTGTGCCGAGATCACCGAGTTCAAGGTCGAACCAAAGTTGCTTGTTACCTCTATCCCTCGAACCATGGGGACAGCGAACCGCCTTAACATAATGGAGATGCCTCGGGTAAACTCTAGATTTACTTGGAATATCACTCAGTTTTCCTCCTTCGATGGTGAACAACATTCGTCCTACAAGTTCACGGTTGGACCACGGCAATGGTATGCGAATCATATCTATATACTTGTTCCATTTCAATTTATAATATTAGACAAATGTGCATAAATTATCATTTATATTTAACAATGTAGGGATAAAACTAGAAAATGAAACAACAAAAAAATGCCAGAAAGTTTTATAAACCGCAACGTAGAGAATATAAATCATTAGATTGTGTAATATTGTAGAATTTTATCTTAACATTTTATATTTGTTTTCAATTTCAACCAGGAACCTAGTGATGTACCCAAAAGGAAAAGGAGAGGGGAAAGGAAAATGGTTGTCTTTGTTTTTGCATGCGTCCGATTACGTGACCAATGGTCCAAAGGACAGTACATTTGCCATTTATAAAATGCGAGTTTTTGACCAACTCCAGCGCAAACACTATGAAGGTGTATTTACTCAACTAAAAAAAAAATCTCAATTATACTTTCCATTACTTCATATATAAGCTGTTTGCTAATTTTAATCGATACTTTATTTGACAAAAGTCCCCGGACGAGATTGGTTTGGCTATAATGCAAGCAGAGGGAAAACCAAGTTCTTGCCGCTAGAGGAACTCTACGATCAACGAAGGGGACTTCTTGTGAACGATCAGATATACATCAGTATTGAGTTTTTACTTGTCCCCACTACTGAGTATCTCTGATGCGCATCAAAGGATTCGATCAAGACCACAAGAATATATGTGTGTTTAAATAATATCATGCAATTTATACAAAAATAAAATAAAGAGTAACGGATCAAATCGGCCGATTGTATTATATTACAATTTGTATTGTATGCCACGATGACATTTAATCGAATTCGTTGCTACACAGTCTCTGATAGAGAAAGCAGTTTCTGTATGTGTAGTTGGTGAAGTTGCTAGGGATCACTAAAGAAACTCAACGCAATTACTATAACGTAAAAAGAAGTGAATGAAAACAGAACATAAACCATAAAAAGAGATATATCTCATTTATTTGAAGAAATTTATTCATCATAGGAGCAGAAACAAAGAAGTGTTTATGCTTTATTAACTACTAAAACACATTTTCACTTATTTGCCTTCTCATTGGCATGGAGATTGTCAAAATAGGCCTTAGTGTTGGCCTCAAAGGCATCTCTAGAGATATTAGCAGAACCACCAGAACCGGGAGCAACCATATTCACTGGAGTAGAAGTAGTGCCACTGCTTGAACCGGTGCTCTGTGTCACAGAGCCAGCTTTAGCATTAACATCTTTCTTGTCCATTTTCTTTGGTATTTCGTGAAATGTGAGTGATTAGTATGAGGAGTAAAATGAGATTTTTGTTTTTGTAGTGAGAACAAATCAGTTGGAGAGGTGGGAGATTTTATAAATGGGGTTTGTCCAAATTAGTCAAATTAACACTTCCCAAGGTGATCACCATTTTGGTGCAAAAGCTTATCGTGAATAACATTTTTTTTTGTTAATTGCAAAAGAAATTAAATTGGAATTGGAAAAGGGCAAGAGACTGTCTTGGAAAGCAACAAGGTTTTTCGTAAATTGCATGTACGTACTTCAACATATATTCCTTTTTGTTGTTGTTGTTGAACATACTGTATATGCCTCTTATTTTCGCCTCTCTTTTATCATGCGAGAAACATAAAAGACCATTAACCTTCAAATGCCAGCAGCCGTTTGGTAACAGTTTCATGTTTTGCATGAATCCACTTGTCACTTCCTTAACGGCTGCTGCTTGATGTGGTGTTCTTTATTATCTGAAAATACGCAAACACCATACATACATAAACATTCAATTCTTACATCTTGTTCAGTTTGGATGAAAATTTGCTTAAATGCTAAAAAAAGCAAAAATTACTTTTTAGTTAATGTCATATACTTTATTAATTTATATTTTAGTACACGTAAATGTCAATCTTGATTTGACAATGTTAATCTCAACCATTTGATTTTATTTTATTTACTTCGGTTTGATCTATTGGTTATGAAAGAAAAAGAAGACATACATGTCTAAGCATGTGATTCTCTTTCTGTAAATTGGAGAGCTTCTCTTCAAGCTCAGTGTTCTTCGCCTCCAAATCTTTCGTTCTCTTCTCTAACTCGTTCACGTAAACTTTCTTCCTCTCCCTCGCTTGTTGTGCAGACACTCTGTTCCTAAGCAACCTTTTAAATTCCCCATAATACCCTTCAAGTCACCTGCTCTAGTCTAAATCCTGTAGGGACTTTTTCGTCAAAAACAGAGTTTTGTTATGGGCACGTACCTTTTTAGCCTAGTGCTCTCTCTCTCCGCTGGATCTTTCCTTCTGCTTCTCTGTCCTTCTCCTGAGGATTTAACAGCCTCCGATCTAGCAAGTGACTGGTCTCCGGTGGATTCTCCGGCGTGGAAATCCTGTATTTCTCCGATCTCGTTATCGCTATCTAAAAACAGAAAACAAAAATGTGTCATTTTTCTCTGCATTGTGGAAAACAGAGGAAAAATGTTTTTTTTTTTTTTTTTGGTAAAAGAAGAAAAATGTTACTATGGAGTTGAGAGAAAATCGAAAAATGCCAAAAACCCAAGACGAAAAATCTACTTTACGACAAAAGAGACGAACTTTACGAACACATTGGACAAAGAGTTAAAGAAAGTATTGAAATTTCCATGAATGACAAGACCTTCTTTGACATTTACTCGAAGAAAAGATCTCTCAGTAGTCATCAAATCTGTTTCTTGATCCTGTTCCTGTATATGAGTTTGATATGTGTACACGCTTCTACATTGGAAATGCATCTGCTTATATATAGTATGTAGTAATGTAGTATTGATTGCTTAAGAAGAAACATAAGTGAAAGTTTACTTTAGGTAGAAGAGGAGATGAATCTATGTTGGCTCGGTGAGAGTTGCAGACAGATATCAGAACCGATGAGCATCGTCGGATATGGTTCTGATCGGACAGCTATAAAAAGCTATACGTGGAGAGAATCTTAGCCATGGGTTTGAACGAGGTGAATGAGATATAGCCGTTAGATGAGAACTGGATCACGGATCCTACGGTTGAAAAACGAAGCTACAAAGACTTGAGATTTGAAAAAGAATTTAATTATAGACCGCCGCAAAATTATTTTTGATGGGATGTATCTTCAACTTTATTGTGTGCTGCTGCGGTTTTGCACCTCTTTTTTATTTTTAACAAAGTTTCAATCTACAAACGAAAACAATCTGTAAAGATGTCAACTTGCAGTTTAAAATGGTAATGAAAAAGTAGTTAGTTAATAACATTATGGTGAGTTTGTACAAATAATACAAATTTAAACATAGATGAATGGCTAAGAACTACAGAAACCAACAATATAAATAAATAAATTTAGTGTCTTTCACTTGGGAACCAAGCAAAATATGTGGTGCTTTCCTCTTTGGAAATTAGCAAAACATGGTGTCTTCCTCTTGAAAAAAATAACTAAAACGTGTATTAGAGTATGGTTTCTAATTAGAGTAAACCGGGATATTATCATGTTGGATAAACCGGAAACAGACTCGAGTATAAGAGTAACGTTGAAACCTCTTTTGTTTGGGATGATCAAAATACGGCGTCTTTTGTTTCTATTTCGTTTAAGGTCATTTAAGTCTCATTTAGTGTCTCTCATATGTTGTGTCTTTGGAGTTTATTACAAAACATAATAGAGCTGTGAAGTGTTTTTTGGAAGCTAGCTTGAAGTTAGTGGAGAAGGAGAACCAAGAAAATGAAGCAAACGAAAGAGAAGATGTTGTCATCGGCCAATGTACCGAACGAAATGAAAAAGGCGAAAAATGTGAGGTATCTCTGGAAATGGTTCTCAACGACCAAACGGCAGATCGAGAAATGCAATAACTAGGCAAAACAGAAGAAGCCTCATCAGCCAAACACCTGATAACATATAATGATAAAGACACTAAACGAAGTGAAGTCATGTCTTGAATTCATCATGATCAACCATAACACGCTTTGAACATGGACGTCAAAAGCAGTAGAATCACAAAATATTGTATCACTCGTATTTGTACGTTACAGGTCTTCCTCACTGTATGCATCACTTGCAAGACACGGTACGAGTATCATCGTATTTACCTTAACCAGAACCTCCTGTGTCCTCCTGTCGTAAGCCGTTTATTGGTATGGAAACAGATCCTCCAGGTCCTGATTCCGATCCGGAAGACCTTTAACGAGCACAACGTAACTCTTGGATCCAATCATGAGATTAAAGTAGGGAAATTTGGCAAAATACTCCACATTTACAGAATAGTTGTCCATCTACTCTTTTTTTGCCTAAACTTGTCCACTTACTCTTTATAAAAATTTAAACCCAATTTTAACCCTCAAATCATGTTTTAATAGAATTGGGATTAAATAATTAATTAAAAAATAAATAAATTAATTAATAAATAATAAAAAGTAAAGAGAAGTTTTAGTGTCGTCGACTCTTCTCTCCTTCAAACTTCTTCTTTACTACTTTTCTCCTTGTTGTATTATCTCATCTGCTTGTTTTTTCAATTAAGTAAAACTGCAAGTTTCTTAAGTGTCTCTAACCCTTGATTGTACTCGATTTCCATGTGCCACATGTTACATAGATTTGCAACATAGCAACTTAGAAGAAAAAACTGAAACAGATAATGGAAGAAAAAACTAGATAAAAGATAAGAAAAAATGGAGAGGAGGAAGAAGAACAATATGGAAGAAATGTATTTTTTTTCATTTTTCTGAGAAAAAAAATTAAAGGAAATGTTGTTTTTTCAAAAGATTTTAAAATATTCAGTTACCATTTTTACTATATTTTCTCAGATTTCCGTAGAAGATGCATTCTACCATTTCGTAGAAAACTGTGTTTAAGGTAGATTACAATTTCTACAAACGGTAGAAGGCAATGTTTTTCAGAGAACACACAATCTACAAATAGTAGAAGATAGTATTTTTAGTTGAACACGAATTCTTCATATAGTGGAAGAGAATGTTTATGGTAGAATATAAATTCTACCGGTGGTAGACAACCATGTATATCGTAGAACAAATGTTTTACAGTTCTACCAAGTCGTAGAACATTGAATATTTAGTAGAAATCAAATTCTACGATGGTAGAAACTATAACAGTCGGTAGATTTTACGCTCTACGGTGGATAGATGTGAGAGCATACAGTAGAAGACATATTCTACTTTGAATATTGAATTTGGTAGAAGGAAACTTTATTTATTTTTCTGAGGTTCAAATTTCAACAAAAAGCTTTAAAAATATTTTCTAAAATCTTAGAATCACTTTACTGAATTTATTTAATTTTTTGAAATTTTAAAAATATTTATTTCATATTGTTAGCATATACAAGGATATTATAGTCAAAAATTGGTAAATTTCAAAAAAGGTGTAAAGAGACAAGAGTTCTCTTTTTTTAGGGTATATTCACAAATTTCCCATTAAAGTATACATATGAGATAATATATTTTCTACAAAGTTCCTTATAAAACTTAACTCTTGTATGTTATATTATAGCTCGCTAAAGCTAGTTCGGGCAATAAGGTATTTCAAAATCTCTTGTGGGTTTGGGTTTATTAAGCTTAGATTAATGATCACTAAATGGCCAGAAAAGCAATACAAAAACGAGCTAGAGAGAAGAATTTTCTAAGAGGGATAACCACTAAAAATGATCATAGGCGCATATCTATATAACCTGACCATTGATGTATGTTCAAATACCTAATTACTTGCGAAAATGGAGTAGTTAAGTCGTCTAGATATAAGTAGTAAGTAATTAGCGTTGCGTAACTAGATTAACTATAGTATAATGATTCGAGTTTTAGAATTATCTAATTGATGTTCCAAGTCAATAACTTATACTTCTTTATGAATCAATCTATTGGAAAATTCTCTAACATCCAAGACTGAATTGTTTATTGATAGTTTACGGTTTAGTATTTGCTATAATTTTTAATTCGTTTAGCTAAAAATAAAACCATATAATAATTCTTGTCTTAGTTTAATGGGTTGAGTTTAATGTTTATTAATCTCGTAATTGCAAATGTGAGTTTAGGATAATCAGGTAACTAATGAAAAGATAAGGGTAAGTGCAACGAAAATGATATAGGCTTTCAAATGTGATCCATGTAATCGAATGGAGCTTAATTGTGTGTTTAAGTTGATATGCCCTAATCAAATGTCTTTGTCGGAATACACACCAAACTAATTTAACAAACAAAAATTTTCCATTTCCATATTTTTTATGGGCAGTAAATAATCTTTGTTTTCACAGTAAAAAATTGGGTACTCTTAAAAGGGATGTACTAAACGAAATGAGTGGAATGAAAAAAAAATGGGATAGTGAATTCTATTCATCTCATAATTCTCATTCATTCATCAACATTTTGGAAGTGGAACAGAAGGATTTGTGTTTTTTTCCCATCCAAAAATGGAATACATGAGATTATTTTACCTTTTAATTATTCATGATAACTGGTCATTTTTTTGGGATCTAACCTTAATGATTTACTTAAACTTTTTTTTTTCATTGACCAGAGAGTCCTTATCTTAAATTGTAGTCATAAACTGGTTTTTAACCACACAATTAATGATTTACTTTAACTTTATTTTCTTTTAGTTGACCATAATACTTGTCTTAAAGTTTTCCAACTGTATATATAAATAAATAAACAAACCCTTAAACAAAAACCAGATAATTGTTAAAGCGCCGCTTCTCTCGCCCCAAAAATAAAACGGCCCTCCCCCCCTCGGTAAGATTTCATCTATTACTTTTTGATAGAACAAAATCATGAGCTTTTCTGTGTAAATTAAGCTCCGATCTTTTGTAAAAATCTGGTGAATTGTGAATGGTTTAATTTGAGTTACAATCAATGTTCTTTGCGGATATTTATAGGTTTTGAAAAGTTGTCTGTGTAAAGATTTGATATTTTGTTACCAGTGTGTGTTAATATCTCATCGGTTATTATACTCTTTACTGAAGAATAGCTTTGGAAAATAACCACTTGGATTATACTTTGTTGAAGAACACATTGGAGAAAATCTGGTGACTTTTGTTTGATTGTTCTGAGTGATATATGTCCAGAACTACAAGCTATGTTCTTTGCGGATTTATATAGGATAAAGAAAACTTATGGTTGTCTGGTGAATTTTTGATTGTTTTGACTTGGAATTGTTCAGAATTACAAGGAGTGTTCCTTGCGGATATATTTAGGTTTTAGGGTTTTAAAATTTTCATGATATCTAGAAGCATTTTACCTTTTTCTGGTCATTTAAAGATGAGGGTTACAGTTTATTTCAGTAGATTCTGTAATGCAGCATGTTTGTGAGTCAAAGGATAAACATTTTGATGGTATTAATAAATTAACTTAAGATTCCATTTCGTTTCTTCTATGTGTGTACATCTCCGTTATCACCTTATCCTTCCAGTTTGTACATTTCCGTTACTAATGTATTTGCACTGTGATTTTGCTGTTGGTACAATTGAATTTGTGAAGGTTTTTTCAATGAAACTTTATATCAATCTTATTATTGAGCTGTATATTCGTTTTTTTTTCAAGCAGGTGGTCACTCCATAGAGCAGCTTCTCTCAGTCATAACATCTCTTCTCCGTTCTTGAAGAGGAGAGTAATTGATAAGGATTCTCCAAAATGGAATTTAACAAAGATGAGGCGGCTATGGCTAGAGAGATCGCAAAGTCAAAAATTTTAGTGAATGATTTAATGGGGGCGATGAGGTTCGCCATGAAGGCTCAGCGTATGTATCCCGAACTGGAGGGAATCGCTCAGATGGTGGCCACATTCAATGTTCTTCTATCTGCCAAGAACATAAAGCATGGAGAGCCAGATTACTATGGGGTTCTTGGGGTGAGTCCTAAAGCTGACGACGAGACAGTTAGGACAAGTTACGAGAAGTTGTCTGTTTTGATTCATCCTGACGGGAACCAGACGGTAGGTGCAGAGGAAGCCTTTCAGTTTCTCGCTCAGGCTTGGGTTGTGTTCTCTGACAAGGGAAAGAGAGCTGAGTATGACTTGAAGAGGCTCAAAAGAAGAGGTGCTTCGTCTTCATCATCACCAAAGCCTCCAAACAAGGCTGCTCAGAGAGTTGTGGACACAAGTGTTAACACAACAAGTGTTAACACAACAAGTATTATACGGGCGAGTGAAGCGTATACATCTGCATCTGCTGCTGCTTCTGTGGCTCGTAATACAACTGCTGGTGGTCGTGCAACGTTTTGGACTGGTTGCGTCACTTGCAAGACACAATACGAGTACCATCGTATTTACATTACGCAGACCCTCATGTGTCCCTACTGTAGTAAGCCTTTCAAAGCTGCGGAAACGGATCCTCCAGGTTCAAGCTCCATCCGCAAGGCCTTTAATGAGCTCGAGTTTGACTCTTTCCGTCGTGGCACGAGCACTCCTACTCATGCTCCTCCACAGACCGGGGCACCAAAAGACGAGGTTGTGCCTAGAATGTTTAACAAAAGAGCGGTTAGTGTTTCGTTGAGTAATGCTTCCAAGAGAACAAAGGCTACGTCCAACACTGTCAAAGACTTATCAAAGGAGGATATAAAGACTCTTCTGGTGAAGAAAGTTAAACCACTAATCAGCACAAAGCTTCAAGAACTAGTAATTGAAGCTGAAGTTGACGCAATGCTGGCTTGACAGTAAATACCCAGTCTATTCGCAATCAGGCAAGCAAGTTGCTCGTACAAATCCTTCAATCCCAAGAAGATTGAAGCCCTATGTAACTCTCCGGTGATTAGTAAACTTACATAGCTTTATTTGCTTTAGCTTTTTTTGATTCGTTTAGCTAAACATAAAACCATTAAAACCAAATGATAATTCTCATCTTAGTTTTAGCGGCTTGAGTTTAATGTTTATTAATCTCGTAATCGCAAATGTAAGTTTAGGATGATCAGGTAATTAATGAAAAGATAAGTGCAATGAAAATGAGATAGGCTTTCGAATGTGATCCATGTCGTCGAATGGAGCTTAACTGTGTGTTTAAGATGATCTGCCCCAGTCAACAAACAAATTAATATCTTCCATATCTTTTTTTCTTTAATTTGGAGTTTCAACCACAGTTAATGGTTTACTAAATTTTATTTTATTTTAGTTGACCACAATCATTTTCTTAATTATTAATTATAAACCGGTGGTTTTTATCTTGTTTCCAAATCCAGATGTATATATATAGTTTATAAACAAACCCTTACACAGCAAAAAAAAAAAAACAAAACAAAAATCAGATAATTGTGAAAGCGCCGCCTTCCTTTACATTCGGCTTGTCGGGTCTCTCTTTGTAAGATTTTCTATCTCATTGCTGTTTTTTTAAATAAAATATCTGGTTGTGTCTGTAAAGCTCTGAATTCTGGTTCCTTCTATGTGTTAATAACCACTCGAGTTATACTTTGTTGAAGAAAACATAAAAATCTAGTGAATTTTGAAGATTGTTTTGAGGGTATGTCTTTGCGGATATATTTTAGGTTTTAGGGTGTTTTTGAGGACATAATTGCTGACTTAATAACTAGAATTTTCATGAAGATTTTTGCAATTTTGGTACGAGGGTTACAGTTTCTTTCACTGGATTCTGTAATGCAGCTGTTTGTGAATCAAATGATAAATGTGTTGGGAGGATATTAATAAGTGCACTTCTCTCATCAAGATCACAGTTTATAGATTTCCGTTTTTTAATTAGTTAACTGACTAATGTATTTAAATTTGTGATATTCTTTGGAATTGTTGTTCAGAATTACAAGCAGTGTTCCTTGCGGATATAATTACGTTTTAGGGTTTTAAAATTTTCATGATATCTAGAAGCATTTTAATTTTTTTGTCCTGGTCATTTAAAGATGAGGTACACAGTTTATTTCAGTAGATTCTGTAATGCAGCATGTTTGTGAGTCAAAAGGATAAAGATTCTGATGGTATTAATAATTAGTCTTAAGATTCCATTTCGTTTCTTCAATGTGTGTACATTTCCGTTATCACCTTATCCTTCCGGTTTGCACATTTCCGTTACTAATGTATTTGCACTGTGATTTTGCTGTTGGTACAATTGAGTTTGTTAAGTTTATTCAATGAAACTTTATATCAGTCTTATTATTGAGCTGTCGATTCGGTTTTTTCGAGCAGGTACTCGTATCTGGTCACTCCATACAGCTTCTCTCAGTCAAAACATCTCTTCTCCGTTCTTGATATTTCAGTAATAAGGATTCTCCAAAATGGAATACACTAAAGATGAGGCGGTTTGGGCTAGAGAGATCGCAGAGATGAAGTTTTTAGCGAATGATTTAATAGGAGCTAAGGAGTTCGCCATGAAGGCTCAGAGTATGTATCCCGAACTGGAGGGAATTGATCAGATGGTGGCCACATTCAATGTACATGTGTCTGCCAAGAAGATAACACACGGAGAGCCAGATTACTATGGAGTTCTCGGTGTGAGTCCTGAGGCTGACGACGAGACACTGAGGAAAACTTACAAGAAGTTGGCTGTTTTGATTCATCCTGACGTGAACAAGACGGTAGGTGCAGAGGAAGCCTTTATGTTTCTCGCCGAGGCTTTGCTTGTGTTCTCTGAGAAGGGAAAGAGAGCTGAGTATGACTTGAAGAGGCACATAGGAAGAGGTGCTTCGTCTTCCTCATCACCAAACGATGCTGCTGAGAGAGTTGTGAACACAGCAACTATTATACGGGTGAGTGAAGCGTCTGCATCTGCTGCTGCTGCTGTGGCTCGTAAGACAACTGCTGGTGGTGGTGCAACGTTTTGGACTGGTTGCGTCACTTGCAAGACACAATACGAGTATCATCGTATTTACATTACGCAGAAGCTCCTGTGCCCTTACTGTAGTGAGCCGTTCAAAGCTGTGCAAACGGATCCTCCAGGTTCAAGCTCCATCCGCAAGGCCTTTAATGAGCTGGAGTTTGACTCTTTCCGTCTTGGCACGAGCACTCCTACTCATGCTCCTCCACAGACCGGGGCACCAAAAGACAAGGTTGTGCCTAGAGTGTTTAACAAAAGAGCGGTTGATGTTTCGTTGAGTAATGCTTCGAAGAGAACAAAGGTTATGGAGAATGGCGTTGCAGGTGTTTTTGCTTCTACCTCAAACACTGTGAGATACGTATCTGAGGAGGATATAAAGACTCTGCTGGCGAAGAGAGTTAAACCACTAATCAGCACAAAGCTTCAGAAAGCTGAAGTTAACGCAATAAAGGCTGAAGTTGACGCAATGTTGGCTTGGCATGCAGTAAATAACCAGCCTATTCGCAATCAGACAAGCAAGATTGAAGCCCTATGTAACTGATGAGATCATTTCTCCAACTTAAACTAGCTTCTCAACTGTTCTGCTCTTCTTGTTTATTTTCGTTTTTGGATATCATAAATCTTCAATCCTCCTGTTCTGATTGTTCTTCTTAGATTTCCAAAACATCATCATGTTGCTTTGTTTGAAGAAGCTTGTGATCCAAGTCTTTGTCAGAAGGTTAAAACTTTTAATGTTGAAGGCACAGAAAAGTGAGTCTTGAATTTAGGATATGTGCTGCTGTATAAGAGCACCCTCATTGGTGACAAAAGAGGGTGTCTTACTCTTTTTTTCTAATGATAATCTTAAGACACTATGGAAGAGAGACAAGTGAAAGTGGCTATGGAAGGACATGCGACAACTTGTAAAGAAGCCTTACCTCGACTCTTAAACAACACCCTAACTCATACGGAGCATCTATATTACCCATGTCTGCAGCCTCCACAAGCAAAGCAGCCTCCACTGTGATGATCAAAACACAATACACGTAAGACATAATATAACTTAAGAATAAAAAGGTTCTTCCAAAACGCACAAGCAAAACTTCCAGATTGTGGAAAAACAATGTCAAATTCAGTGATACTAAACGTAGTTTGTTCTTCTTTTAGTGAAAACGTATTGCATAAGCGCATGCAAAGGCCAATTTAAGTACAGTATCAACAGTATAGTCTGTTCTCAACTTCTCACCAAACCAAATATTTCATTCGTGATTGCAGTTTAACAGAGAATCAAAGAAGTACAAGCTCACTATTGATTTAATTTTTTAATTCGTTTAGCTAAACATTAAAACCAAACTTATTATCTTAGTTTTAGGGGCTTGAGTTTAATGTTTATTAATCTCGTAATCGCAAATGTAAGTTTAGGATAATCAGGTAATTAGTGAAAAGATAAGTGCAATGAAAATGACATAGGCTTTCAAATGTGATTCATATCGTCGAATGGAGCTTAATTGTGTGTTTAAGATGATCTGCCCCAGTCAACAAACAAATTAATATATTCCTTATCCTTTTTTCTTTAATTTGGCTTTTCAACCACAACCACAATGAATGATTTGCTAGATTTTATTTTATTTTGGTTGACCACAATCATTTTCTTAATTTTTAATTATAAACGGGTGGTTTGATCTTATTTCCATATTTCCAGACATATATATATACAAGCCCTAACCCAGTAAATAAATAAAACAAAAATCAGATAATTGTGAATGCGCCGCCTTCTACTTTCTGTCGCCAAAACCAAAGAAACCCCTTCCTTTACCTCTCCGGCTTATCAGGCGTCTCTTTGTAAGATTTTCTATCTCATTGCTGCTTTAAAAAACAAGTGTCTGGTTGTGTCTGTAAAGCTCTGAATTCCGGTTCCTTCTGTGTGGTAATAACCACTCGAGTTATACTTTGTTGAAGAATACATAAGAATCTAATGAATTTTGAACATTGTTTTGAGGGTTATATACACAGAGGCAATGTCTTTGCGGATATATTTAGGTTTTAGGATGTTTTTGAAGACATAATTGACTCAATATCCAAAATTATCATGAAGAGTTTTGCAATTTTGGTATGAGGGTTACAGTTTCTTTCACTGGATTCTGTAATTGCAGCCTGTTTGTGAATCAAATGATAAATGTGTTGATGATATTAATATGTGTAGTTTTAAGCAGTGGCATTGTATTACTTTTGGGAATACATGTACATTAATTGTTTTGCATTGTGGATGAGATTTTACTTGACATTGATTGTTTTACCTGTGACTTTACTCTAGGGCTGTTTCTGCCTTTAGTTATCTCATCATGATCACCTTAATCTTCCGGTTGATAGATTTCTGTTACTCTTATTATAGTAAACTTGCTACTGTGTTAATTACATTGTGATTTTGCTTTCGGTGATCCACAGCTTCTCTTAGTCAAAACATCTCTTCTCCGTTCTTGATATCTTGAAGAGGAGAGTAATAGATAAGGATTCTACAAAATGGAATTTAATAAAGATGAGGCGGCTAGGGCTAGAGATATCGCAAAAACGAAGTTTTTAGCGGATGATTTAATGGGAGCGAGGAGGTTCGCTCTGAAGGCTCAGAGTATGTATCCCGAACTGGAGGGAATCTCTCAGATGGTGGCCACATTCAATGTTCTTGAATCTGCCAAGAAGATAACACATGGAGAGATAGATTACTATGGGGTTATTGGTGTGAGTCCTGAAGCTGACGACGAGACAGTGAGGAAAAGTTACAAGAAGTTGGCTGCTTTGATTCATCCGGACAGGAACAAGACGGTAGGTGCAGAGGAAGCCTTTAAGTTTCTCTCGCAGGCTTGGGTTGTCTTCTCTGACAAGGCAAAGAGAGCTGAGTATGACTTGAAGAGGCACAAAGGAAGAGGTGCTTCGTCTTCATCATCACCAAAGCCTCCAAACAATTCTGCTCAGAGAGTTGTCAACACAAGTGTTAACCCTCCTGCTGCTCTGGCTACTCCTTTAACTGATGGTGGTGGAACGTTTTGGACGGTTTGTCACACTTGCAAGACACAATACGAGTATCCTCGTACTTACATGAAGCGGAACCTCAAGTGTCACAACTGTAATAGGCCGTTCATCGCTGTGGAAACGGATGCTCCAGGTTCAAGCTCGATCCTGAAGCCCTTTAACGAGCACGAGTTAAAGAAAAGCATGAGCACTCCTACTCATGATCCTCCACAGACCGGAGCACCAAAAGACGAGGTTGTGCGTAGAAAGTATAACAAAAGAGCGGCTGGTGGTTCTTTAACTAATGCTCCGAAGAGAAGAAAGGTTAAGGAGAATGGTTTTGCTGCTAACTCCAACACTGTGAAAGACTTGTCTGAGGAGGATGTAAAGAATCTTCTGACGAAGAAAGTTAAACCACTAATCAGCAGAAAGCTTCAAGAGCTATGCAACGCAGTTCCTGAAACTGTTGCAGTTGACTCAAGCGATATACCAATGGAAACTCAAGCTGCATTGGAAGCCCTTGAGTCCATGCTCATGGACTCCATTCCGGACACTTTAGTCACTGATGAGGATGTGATGGTGGATGTCCCTAACCCAGATTTCTGCGACTTTGATAAAGATAGAAGTGAAGAGTCGTTCGCTGATAACGAGATATGGGCTTGTTATGACTCCGTAGATGCGATGCCAAGATCCTATGTCATGGTAAGTAAAGTCATCTCTGCTGATCCATTCAAGGTGAGTATGGTTCGTCTTACTTCAGAGACAAGCAATGAGGTTAGCTTAACAAACTGGCTTGGTTCTGGTATTGAGAAAACTTGTGGAGGTTATAGAGAAAAGAAGACTCAAATCTGCAAGTCTCCTTACGTATTCTCACACAAGGTGAAGCTGGTCCAAGGCAACAATGGAGAGTTTCTTATCTATCCAAGAAAAGGCGACGTGTGGGCTATGTACCGCAACTGGTCTCCTGAGTGGAGCTATGTCAAAGAGAGCGTGGAGTATGATCTTGTTGAAGTCGTTGAAGGATACACAGAGGAGTTTGGTGTATCAGTGGTTCCTTTGATTAAGGTTGCTCGTTTCAGATCTGTGTTTCATCATCATGTGGATGCCAATGAAGTGAGAAGGATCTTCAAGGATGAGATTGCCAGGTTCTCTCATCAGATACCGTCTTACTTGCTCACTGGGAATGAAGCAGCCGATGCACCTAGAGGTTGCACACAGCTTGACCCTGCAGCAACACCGTCAAAGCATCTTCAAGTTATTATTGGTTAGCTTCTTCAAGAAGTTAACCTTTTTGTTTCGGTGTGACTATGGTTGGTCTTATCTCTAATTTTTTTTTACATCTCTTCCTTAAGAGTTTAAACTGATTTCTGCTATATTAGAACAAATTTAATCAGATAAAGAAACAAGAAGAGTCTTGATCGATAATCCATGGACAACAAGAAATGTAACCTTACATATATATATAAAAAAAACAAGATTCTATTTCGATCATATCACAGAGGTTTATTGTCTTGTTGTTTTGGTAACAGTTTTCCACATATTATCAGATTCATCCAATTCTGCTTAGCTTTCGTTTGGATTTTCAACGCTTCAATCTTCTCTTCTAAGCCAACCATAGCTTGAGAGTTAAGTTCCCGCTCCACCTCAATCAGAGAAGCAATTTGGTCGTACAAATCCTTCAATGTCAAGTAGGTTGAAGCCATGACTTCTTCGTTTTCATGGCCGGAACAGATGGAACAGCCGTCCGCGAGATCTACGTACCTCTTCTCCAACTTCACTAGAAACTCGACAATCTTGCTCATCCTCTTTATTGATTTTCGAGTATCATCAATCTTCTTGTCCTGATTGTTCTTCTTCGATTTCCAAAACATGATGTTGCTTTGTTTGAAGAAACTTGTCAATTTGTCATCCAATGTCCAAGGCACAAAATAATATACGATTTAGGATATGTGCTCCTATATATATATATAGACCAAATAAAAGGAACATCTATTTATTATTATTTCCATTTTTTTGTTATAGTTTCCATTTTCCGTTTATTTTTGTGTGCTTATTTTCCTTTTTCTATCCGAACCAATAAGATTTTTGGGTGATTATTTCAATTAACCGAGCATTTACTCGGTTCGATTAAAAATTGCAAGGAACCAAACGATACTGTTGTATAATTATACAGATTTGATGTGAAAGATGCAAGATTGTGCTTAATTATTTCATTTTTCCTATATGAACATGTTTATTTGGTTGATTGATTGTAACGTAGCGAATAGTGATTAGTATAAACTCGGTTTGTTATATGGATTATGATGAGTTTATTCCACGACCAACTTTTTTCTAGAGGAACAAGAAAAAAGAAAAACCTAGAAAATTTTCTGCTATATTCGAATAAAAAATAATAATAATCAAGAAAAGTAGATAAAGAAACAAAAAAGAGTCTTATAGTCGATAATACATGGACAACCAGAGATTTAACATATATATATAAAAAAAACAAGATTCTAATTCGATCATATCACAGAGGTATTGTCTTGTTGTTTTGGTAACAGCTTTCCACATAATATCAGATTCATCCAGTTCTGCTTAGCTTTTGTTTGGATCTCCAACGCTTCAATCTCCTTTTCTAAGCGAACGATAGCTCGACAGTAAACACCCCGCATCTCCGCAGTCGCAGAAGCAAGTTGCTCGTACAAAGCCTTCGTTTCCAAGAATTCTGAAGCCCTAACTTCGTCGTTTTCACGGCCGGAATAGATGAAAGAACGGACAGAGAGCCTTACGTATAGCTTCTCCATCTTCACTAGGTTGTCGACAATCTCGCTCGTCGTCTCTATTGATTCTCGAATATCATCAATCTCCTTCTCCTTCTCTTGATTGTTCTTCTTGGATTTCCTAAACATCATCATGTTGCTTTGTTTGAAGAAACTTGTGATCCCAAGTCTTTGTCAAAAGGGTTAAAACTTGTAACGTTGTTGTAGCTAGCAAATGTCGAAGGCACAAAATAATGAATACGATTTAGGATATGTGCTGCTATATAAAGACCAAGTCAAGTATCGACGTTGGGACTAATTTCCTTTTTTATTATTATTTCCTTTTTTTGTTATAGTTTCCATTTTCCGTTTATTTTTGTGTGCTTAATTTCCTTTTTCTATCCAAACCAATTAGATTTTTGGGTGATTATATCCATTAACCGAGCATTTTCTCGGTTCGATTAAAAAATTGCAAAACCATGACTCTAAAATCTCAATTTTCGTATAATTCTACAAACATATATATCTTTCTAGACGAAATTGCATTATAAGCTGTTTGATGGATTATAGCTCGCTCCACAAGAGCGACATAGGTGTACATATTAACTAACTTTATGTGAAGATGCATCATACATAGGAGGCACATTCGTTATCTTCTTCGTTCATGACAAGTTTCTCTTCCTGCTCCACTCTTTGTAGCCATTTCAGCCCGAGATCACATCCCGCTCTTGCTGCAATTTGGAACTGCTCTTTCGCCATCTCTAACTGATCCATCTCAGCGATTTTTTGCTTCCTTCTTACTCTCTTGGGCGGCGAAACCCCCACGCTATTCAATCTTGTTACAGATTCTGGGACTTGCACACCTGCAGAAGTTGAAATCATTAAGCAAGAAACCAAACGTGATGATGATGTACAAGAAGCATGGTTGGTCTGATGAAAGATGATTTTTACTAACCTCTAAGTAAAAGAGATCCATAGGCTATAGCAGCACCGGCATGTCCCTGAACATATATGTGAGTCAGTTTCCAAAACGTTTTGACATGACACAAAGCTTGTTTCGTCAATATTCCCAAAGTAGCAGATAGATATGATGAGACTTGCCACAGAGGTGCACATGAAGTTTGTTACCTTCTCTGAAGCCCTGTGGAAACACCATATAGCTGAATCCACATCTTGCTTGACACAATCTCCTGTCAGATATACTATTCCTAAAAGGTAGAGAGCACCTGGATGCAGCTGCAAAGTTACCAACTCCAAGTAAGATTTTCTCTGAATCAACATACAACTCTCCAAGATGGACTATACATATTCATTCATACCTGATCAACAGCATTCTCTATATAGTGAAACGCTTGTTGATCTGACTGGACATGATCATTCTGAAAGAAAGATTACAATTAGTATGAAATGATCGTTGGGGGATGAGTGGGAGAATGAAAGATCAACTAAGTAAACTTTCTCATCCGAGGAAACAAGTAGGCGTTTCTCAGCTAAGAGAAGCTCACTAAAGATAAAGATACGCGATAAAGTGACTCGGTTCTCAGTATATAACATTACATTCTCTTAGAGGTGGTTTACAAGCGACGAAATGTAAAGAAGCCTTACCTCGATTCTTAAACGACACCCTAACTCATACTGAGCATCTGCATTACCCATGTCTGCAGCTTCCACAAGCAGAGCAGCTCCACTGTGATGATCAAAACACAATAATAAAAAAAAGTTCTTCCAAAAAGCACAGACAAACTTCCAGATGATGGAAAAACAATGTCAAATTCAGTGATACTAAACCTAGTCTGTTCTTCTTTTAGTGAAAACTTTTTCCATAAGTATAGTATCAACAGTATAGTCTGTTCTCAGCTTCTCATCAAAACCAAATATTTCATTCGTGATTGCAGTTTAACAGAGAATCAAACAAGTACAAGCTTTACTATTCATCTACTTACATAGCTTTACACGCTCCCGGAACATGGTACTTCAAATGCAACTTCGAAAGCCAGAATCTAGCATGAGTGTTCAAATTATCAGCCTCCAGAGCCAGTTCAAAGTTCTCTTTAGCTCCCTGGAACCATAAAAAATCACTACTTTCAAACCAATTTGACTACACTAACACAACTCTATAAACCAAAAAAAGGGTTCGCAATCAAAAATAGAACGAAAGATTGAATTTTGGAACTTTAAGAGAGTACCCTGAGGAGAGGGATAAGTCGTCGATCATTGAGTTCGCAGTAATCGATAACTCTGTCCACTTCCTTAATCGCACTCCATCCTTTAGCTACGTACTCCATTGCCTTCTTGTTCCTGCTGTGTACTCCTCTCTAACCAAACCACAAACGTCAAATCACGGAACCGATACAAGAGTCATTTCCCAATAGAAAATCCACACAAAAGAAAAATGTCATACTCGCTGATCGAATCCGTGAAGACGACGAGCGAATTTCGATTCCGCTACGGCGGCGGAAGCTTCCCGGAGAATCAGGCGACGAAGCATCATCGTCTTCAGAGAAATGATTAGCCGGAGAGAAGAAACGGTGAGGAGGAAGAAGAGAGAAGATGGAAACAAAAGGGCTTAATGGTAAATATAGTTGAGTTTACTTTTGATCCCTCCAAAGCCCAGAGGCCCAATTCAGGCCCAATTAGTCTAATCTCCGGTCGTATCATCGTCATTTCTTCGTTCGCCGCCGTCAAACCAAACACCAACTGAGAATCTCCTCCGTCGAAGCTGAGATTCTCTGTATCACACTCATCGTCTCTGATCTTCTGATGTTTACAAAGAGAGCTTTGTTTCCCAAAGCTAATTCTGCTCTCTCTCTACCCAGCGAATGTCGTTTTTCGTCTGAAACCGTCAATAGAATCCACAAACTTCTGAGGAATCTCTCCACAGCAGTTCAAAGGTTAGATTTCGGTAACCCTAATGGATACCAAATCGAGAATCCATCACATTTCTCCGGCGATATAAGCCCTAGAGCAGGTGGAGAAGTTAGTGAAAGTGCTGTTCACACACAAAGTCATGATTGGAGTTCGAATCATGGAAGATACGAGCAGCCATGGCAGCAGAATTATCAAGGAAACTCCAATTCGATCAGCAGTTGGAGCAGTTATCGAAATGGTGGATCTTCTTGGGATTCAGGTAACAATACGACGTTTGATTACAATAACAAAATTGCGGAATTTGATGATTTTTGCGAGCGAGAGTATCTGAAAATGGCTCTAACGACTATGGAGTCATTGGAGAAGAAAGGTCATGTGATGGATTTAGCTAGGCTTTTAAGGATATCACAGCTTTGTGTAGAAGAAGGTGATTCTCTAGAAGGTAAAGTTTTACAAGAAGCTAAGGTCTCTATTCAAGGAAAGATCAGAGCTTTAGTTCACCTTTCAGATGCGAACTATGTAAAGTATTATACAGATTTCGTGGTTCAAGAGTTTGATGCGTTTTGCAAACACGGTAAAGTGAGAAAGGCCTTGTATACTATTGATACGTTGGAGAGTATGAGTCACGTTGTGGATTTAGCTAGGCTGTTGCGATTAGCGAAGCTGTGTGGTGAAGTAGAGGCTCCACAAGAAGCCAAGGCTGTTCATTGGAAGATTAGCTCTTCGGTTTCGTGTTTAGATGTGAGTTCTCATCATGTTCTGATGGAAATGTACTCAGACTGTGGGTTGGTTGATGAAACGTCGGGTGTATTCGAGGGAATGCCTGAGAAAGATATGGATTCTTGGAACATTATGATTAGAGGTTTAGCTAAGAATGGATTAGGAGAAGAAGCGATCGATATGTTTACTCGGTTTAAGAGCGAAGGAAACAAACCGGATAGTCAGTTGTTCAGAGGGATCTTCTACACTTGTGGTCTGTTAGGTGATGTTGATGAAGGGTTATTGCATTTTGAGTCGATGACTAAAGAGTTTGGTATCGTCCCTACTATAGAGGACTATGTAAGCATCGTTGAGATGTTTGCTTTGCCTGGTTTTTTAGAGGAGGCGTTAGAGTTTGTTGAGAGGATGCCAATGGAGGCAAACGCTGAAGTGTGGGAGACATTGATGAACCTCTCTCGTGTGCATGGAGATTTGGAGCTAGGAGATCGGTGTGCTGAGGCTGTCGAGGAGTTAGATCCTACGCGGTTGAATAAACAGTCGAAGGACGGTTATTTACCGGTTAAGGAATCGGATGTAGAGAGAGTGAGTCTGAAGAAGAAGTCAGGGGTTCATGGTCTTGGAGGATGTACAACTCCGCATCAATACCAAGCAGGGGATGCTAATCTACCGGAGCACGGTGAACTCTTCGAGCTGTTGAGGAATATGAAGATGCATATGGTGGAAGTGGGGTATGTTGTTGCGACGAAAGTGGTTTTGCATGATCTCGATGAAGAGACTAAAGAGAATGCACTTCTTGCTCATAGCGAGAGGGCAGCTTTTGCTCGTGGTCTTCTCAGCTCTGCGCCGCGTTCGACAATCACTGTGTTGAAAAACCTTCGCGTGTGTATTGATTGTCATAACGCGTTTAAGATTATGGCGGAGTTAGTTGGTAGGACAGTGGTCATGCGAGATAATAAGAGATTTCACCATATGAAAGACGGGGGTTGTAGCTGTAAAGACTACTGGTGATTAAACGACAAGGCGCTTGTTGAGGTATGTTCTATATAGTGTCTTGGTTTGAAAAGCTTTTTGGCTATGTTTTGTTCTGGTACATAATCATTTTAGTTTTACGAAACAGATTTGTCTTGTCTCTCTCTCTCCAGGTCTGATTCCTGGAAACACATTTCTCATTATGCATGTGTTGGGAACTTGAGCTGGATTAAAGAAAATGAAGTAACAGAGATACAAATTGTCATAAGCAGTATCTTTCATCCATGTTGTTGTCATAGATAAAAAAATCTCATTTTCTTGCTTGAGTCCGGGTTATGATCAGCTATGTCGTAAATGTTATGTATTGATTTTTCTCATCATATCATCACATGTTTCTGGGTTTTCGTGTTAGCAATGGAAAATGTAACACGAATATCAACACACTCTATATAGCCTGAATTTTAACATTTTCAATTCTTTATAAACTCTTTATAGTTATATTTCAACAGAAGTGTGTTAGTAATTTCTAGTTCGTTGTGTTTGATATTCAGCCACTGTCAACTCTCAACTCTCTCAAGAAAGATGGATTTGAGATGTTCCTCATGTTGAAAAAACACTTATTTAGCAATCACTGAATAGATTATGTAACTAAAAAGTGTGGTCGCAGTCGCTGCCGCAGCAACTTTAAAACGAACAGGGCCTCTATTGTTGTTCACCACAATTCAGCAATGACACTCCATTTCTGTAACTGTGTATGTAACAACATACAACCATCAGGTTAGTTTTTTTGTTTGACGGTTAGAACTTAGGATAGTGATGTGGGCATTTAATGATTCTTATGAAATTGTCGAAAAGACAAACATTCTGATTAGTTTTTGTTATAGCATGACTTATAAAAAAACAGAAAAGGTCAACTGGTTCCATAAGTCTGCTATAATTAAGAGAACTAGGTTTGAAGCCCGGCAAGCGCGGGGTTTTTGCGATAGTTTTCTGTTTAGTTTTATCTATACTTGTTGATTTGAATTATGATGGTTTTGTATTAACTTTCATGTTTTTTGTTTATATTTTGAGTTAACCCAATCACTAACATTAAAAATATGAACAATTTGTCTTTTATTTTATTTTATTAGGATGTTAACACTCCCACTTTATCTCGAGTTTTCTATTTCTAAAATTTTAGCATGTTATAAATATTATGTTTGTTTACTTCTGTTAGACTATAAACATGCATATGCATTGGACTCAACGTTAAAATTTGTAAGCATAATGTAAAATAGCATTTGGACCCGAAATAAGATGAAAAAAATAATATATATACTTTTTTACATATCTACTTTGTTGTGGTAGCATATGAGCCTCATAACCATTGATTATTTTCTATTATGTTAGTTTTGTAAATATTAATTATATTTTGAGACAAACATATCACAATCCTTAAAATTTTCATGTTTTTCACTGCAATTAAATTTACATATAAAAACTCGACTTCTATTTTTTTTAAATAAACTCTAACTCTAATTTCTCATTGGCTTTTTATTATCTTAATTAATTTATATTCAACTTTTTAACTTGTAAACACATTATAACATTTTGAAATAGGATAAATTCTTTTAATAAAAAGGTAAATATATACCATTTCAAGTTACATATATTTTTACTTATATTCAAACTTTTTGATAAATTTTAACATCAAGTTATCACATATTTTATATTAATTAAGTAATTTAGTTGTGTATTTTTCTTAGTTTTATTTATATTTAAAATATAAATATATGCAAAGAAATATGAAAAGTCATGTATTAAATATCTTAAAAACAATTTAATGAATTTTTTGTGCTGATGTGGACACTCTATATGGAGAGAGCAACTCCCTAATTATATATAAAAAATTTGAATCATTTTTATGTTAGAATTTTTTGTTTGACAGCTTTCAGTTTTATCACTTATGTTGAATTTTGTGAAAAAAAGAGTCTACTTTTGGATTTTTATCAAAGCAATTGCCCATTTTGAAAAATAATTTATGTTTTCATATCCTTTTAGCATCGCTGGTTCACCAATCACCATTGCCTGCAAAGACTAATTAAAAATATTATTTATTAATGTGTAGTCGAGACCATGTCTATGAGAAGTTGATTTTTTTAAAATCAACCAATTATCATCAATTGGAATTGGTGTTTATGTAACTAAATAAATTAGAACTCTTTTCAAAAACCAATGAAAACTCTTTGATATTTTCTTCATTTGCTCTTTTCCCCATCTCTCATGGCTTCTTCTTCTACTCACAATAGGAAATACCATGTCTTCCCGAGCTTCCACGGCCAAGACGTCCGTATAACATTTCTCAGTCATTTATTTCAACACTTTGAAAGCAAAGGAATCACGACATTTAATGACCGGGAGATCAAAAGAGGCAAGACAATCAGACCTACACTCGAACAAGCAATAAGAGAATCGAGGATCTCGATTGTGGTGCTCTCAAAGAAGTACGCTTCTTCAAGCTGGTGTTTAGATGAATTGGTTGAAATCTTCAAGTGCAAAGAAGCCTCAGGGCAGTTTGTGATGCCGATATTCTACTACATTGATCCGTCTGATGTAAGGAAACAGAGCGGTGAATTTGGAAAGGCTTTCGAGAGAACTTGTGAAGGAAAAACTGAAGTGGTGAAGCTGAGATGGCGCAAAGCTTTAACTGATGTAGCAAACATAGCCGGAGAACATTCTATAAAGTGGTATGCTTTCGTTTCCTTTTTTTTTATTTCTTGTCGCTCTTTCTTTAGCAATGCTTGGGAGATCGACTATATCGAATTATGAAGAAAGAAAGATTTAGAAGAATATTGATATTGCTAGCTACTCCTTTTAGTTTGCTTTCCATATGGCTATTTTACTTTTATTTGTGCACTTAATATGGCTACACACCTAATTCACCCATGTTTAATTCAGTTGTGTTTTTTTGTTTGTCCCACCAACATGATTTTGTTTCCTTTTGTTAGGAGTAACGAAGCAGATATGATTGAAAATATTGCTACAAATGTTTCAAACAAACTGAATATCACCCCATCAAGGGATTCTGAAGGGATGGTGGGACTTGAAGTGAAACTAAAAAAGTTGAATTCTCTGTTATGCCTAGAAGGTGATGAAGTGAAGATGATTGGAATCTGGGGTCCCGCAGGAGTTGGCAAGACTATCATTGCTAGAGCTTTATTCAACCAACTCTCTACTGATTTTCAATTTAAATGCGTTATGGGGAATCTCAAGGGAAGTTATAAAATCATTGGTGATGACTTTGACTCGAAGTTTTATTTACAAAACCAACTTCTGTCCAAGATTCTGAACCAAAATAATGTGAAAATACATCATTTAGGGGCAGTAAAAGAATGGCTACAAGATAAAAGAGTGCTCATAGTTATTGATGATGTCGATGATCTTGAGCAACTTGTGGCGTTGGCTAAAGAACCTTCTTGGTTTGGTTCTGGAAGTCGGATTATCGTTACAACAAGAGATAGAAATATTATGAGTTCACATTGGGTCAACAACTTTTACCATGTGGGTTATCCATGCAAAAAGGAAGCTCTTGAGATCTTGTGTTTGTCTGCTTTCAAAAAAAGTTCTCCACCTAAAGGTTTTGAAGAGCTTGCAATGAAGGTAGCAAAGCTTTGCGGTAATCTTCCATTATGTCTTTCTGTTGTGGGTTCATCTTTGCGTGGCGAGACCAAGCACGCATGGAAACTACAGTTAAATAGGCTAGAAACTAGTCTTGATAGAAAAGTCGAGGACATATTGAAAGTTGCATATGAAAAATTGTCGAAGAAGGAACAAGTTCTATTTCTTCACATTGCATGCTTTTTCAACAACGCACCCATTGGTAATGTCAAAACCTTTCTTGCTGACAAAAACTTGGACGTCGTAAATGGGTTGAAGACCCTGGGTGATAAATCTCTTGTGCATATATCCACTGTTGGACGAATAGTGATGCATTGTTTAGTTCAACAATTGGGTGCACACATAGTTCTTGAACAGTCCGACGAGCCCGGGAAACGTCAATTTCTAATAGACGCTGAAGAGATTCGTGATGTGCTGGCGAACGAAACAGTAGGTCCTTACCATATATATATATTCCCTATAGAGAAGTCTTGCATGTTGTTGCGATAGAATCTCACCAATCTTGTTTTGTCTTGCTTTTAGGGCACTGGATCTGTCTTATGTATATCATTTAATATGTCCAAGATCAACGAGTGTTCTATTAGTGGGAGAGCATTTGAAGGAATGCGTAATCTCCGATACTTAAAAATCTATCGGGGAAGCTTTAGTAAGGAGGTTACATTAAGAACACTGGAAGACATGAAGTATCTACCTCGTCTTAGGTTACTACACTGGGAATCATTTCCAAGAAAACGTCTTCCTCCAACGTTCCGGCCGGAATGTCTCATCGTACTCTATATGACAGACAGCAAGCTCGAGAAGCTCTGGGGAGGAATCCAGGTTGGTAATTCATAACTGATAAGTATCTTATATATAGTAGCACAAAAAAATAGATGTTTGTTCCAAGTCTATCGATGTCACCAAATTTAAAATTTCAAAAGCAGCACACATTTTTGTGTGATAACACTTGCATGTTTACCATAAATATTGTGTTTGCTTATATTTTTTCCCCATTCAGGTTATAGATTTCTTCCACTAAAAAAAAAAGAGCTTCCAGTCATTTTGATATTGAATATGTGCTATTATTGAAAAACTAAAGTTATGGTGTTATGTTTAGAATTTTAAATATGCTTGTAATGCTTCAACCTTAATATGACATTTCTCATTTGTTGGGTTTGACATGCAGCCCCTTGCAAACCTCAGGGAGATAAATCTGAGTTATTCCCATAAGCTGAAAGAAATCCCTAATCTTTTGAATGCTACTAATCTGGAGACGCTGACACTTAGATGTTGCACAAGTTTGGTGGAGCTTCCTTCTTCCATTTCAAATCTACACAGACTGACAAAGTTGATTATGTTCGGGTGTAAAAGGCTAAAAGTTGTTCCAACCAACATCAACTTAGCTTCTCTTGAGATGGTCAACATGTACGGGTGCCCACAATTGAGGAAGTTTCCAGATATTTCGAAAAACATCAAATATCTATTTTTAGAAAACCCAAAGATAGAAGAAGTTCCTCCATCAGTTGTTGAACAGTGGTCTCGTCTTCAGGATTTTTGCATGGACGGCAGAAACCTCAAGAGATTAACATATCTCCCACAAAGCGTAACTTACCTAGATTTAAGTTTCAACGAAATGGAGAGGATTCCGGATTGCGTCATAGGTCTCCCTCAGTTACGAACTCTTAGAATCCGAAACTGCAGAAAACTCGTGTCAATTCCGGATCTTTCCTCTTCTTCGCTTGAGTACCTCTATGCAAGCAACTGTGGATCACTTGAGAGGGTATGTACTTTCCACGATAAAGTCAAGGTACTTATGTTCCACAACTGTTTGAAACTTGAGGAAGAAGCAAGAAGACAGATCATACAACAAAGTGTTTCCCGGTATGTATGGTTACCAGGTAAAGAAGTCCCTGCGGAGTTCACTTACAAAGCTAAAAGAGCCTCCATAACCATCCCTCTGGCTCCGCGTGGCGAGGGGACTTTCTCTGTGTCGTCAAGATTTAAGGCTTGCCTTCTGTTTGCGCAAACCAAGGACTTCCCAGATGATGATATAATATGTCGTCTAACAATCAAAGGTGTCCAAATCAACAAATTCCGACATCGGGTAGTGATCAGAGAGGAGTCTAAGATTCAAATGGAACATCTGTTTATATTTTCTGATGACTTGTTTCAAGAAAACACACACGTAGATGTGACTCCCAGCAATATTCTGTGGAGTACAGATCGATCTTGATCAAGGAAGCTGAGAGTAACATCATCAGCGAAGATGAGTACTTTGACTGCTTTGAAATATAGGTAACAGCGACCACAACATAGCTGGAGAAGCAGAATATGGAGCAGAAGCTGTTGAGGTAAAGTCTCAAGATGAAAACATTAGGAAGCTTGGTCAGGGAAAGAAGAAGAAGAGGACCGAAGCTGCATTATGATTTGAAACATCTAAGTATTTTTAACTATGTTTGGTTTTGCTACAATCTGTGATTTCAAACATCTAATTATTTTGTGCTGTTGTAATTGTCAAGTTTTAATAAAGGGTATAGCGTGCAAATAGTCTAAATATTAAGTGAAATATAATAAAAATAAAAAGTATATTCGTTTGCATAAATTTGCTAACATCGCTCATTACGCTAAGCATCGTTTGTAAATTTCACATTTAACGTGAAACCCTAAATTCCCCCAAATTTCCCTTACGATATTTTCTGTTCACAATCCCGAGAAATCCAGAGACAAATTCCAAATTTCACGGTGATCGAATCTGCTTCAGGCTTTGTAGAAGGTAAGTTTCTTAAGCAAATCTTCTCCTTTTTGTGCTGTATCAATGCTTCTCTTTACACCTTGACCACCACGAAAGTTTCTGCGATTGATATTCTTAATTGATTTATTGATTCGTTTTTTTTTTTCCAATCTGCAATCGTTTCGGATTCCTCTAATTGTACTATATCGGTCGGATTTCTCCGAACTTAATTTGGACTAATTTTTGGTCAAACTTTTTCTACTGATTTATTGTAGTCGTTCGATGTTTTCTTCGATTTGTGTTATTGTTTTGGATCCCTTTACTGAAGATCCGCATCCATTCGAGTTTATCATACAGAGGAATAGCGATTGAGATTTATCTAAAGATTGTGTGATCAAATTGGTTTTGTTATTGTCACACACTTATTTTGATTGAATGCATCACTCACTTGGCGAAGTTTCGTTTTTTGTGTGTGCAGATATTATCAACCTAATTGAGTAAAAGCTATCATGAGATTCAGGAAAGAAAGCAAAGTTGAGGTTTTTAGCATCAAAGAAGCACCTTACGGTGCGTGGCGATCCGCAGAGATCATATCAGGTAATGGTCACACTTACAGTGTTAGATACTACGCTTTCGGGTCTGCGAACGACGAGACATTGGAGGAGAGAGTTCCGAGGAAGATAATCAGGCCTTGTCCTCCGAGAGTAGATGTAGATAGATGGGAAGCTGGTGAGCTCGTGGAGGTTCTTGATAACGTTTCTTGGAAAACAGCTACGGTCCTCGAGGAGTTACCTGGAAGATACTACGTGGTTCGGTTACTTGGCGCCGCAGCAGAGCTCACTGTTCACAAAGTTAACCTCAGGGCTCGGCAGTCTTGGCAAGATGATAGATGGGTTATGACTGGAAAGGTAAGTTTTTTGCTTAAAAGTCTTTGCCTTTTAAGTGTATGGTTTTTGAAGATAATTGTTTTACTAACTTTCGTGTAATCGTCTTCTCTCAGGTATCTTCGTCTACGCTTACAGGATCAGATGTACACCAGAATATAAAGCCTCAGGAGAGTAGTGTTGTTTCTTTAAGATTGGTGAAGAGACCTTCACCTTGTGATTGGGCTGAGTCTGCGGAGTCGTGCACGAGAAGTCCTAAGAAGATGCGATCGATGGAGGAGGAAGAAGAGCATCAGAGCCGGTTTGCTCCCTCCTCAGTGCAGAAGGTGGATGCTTTTTCTTGCATTCCTAAACGTAGCGGTGGTAAAGTCGGTTTCCGTCGTCAACTGGTCAGGGTAAGTGAATTTGTTGTTGGTACAGGGAGCTCAGTCTTTAATGGTTGTTATGATGATACTGATGCATCCTCCGTTGGTAGTTGTAGCCCTATTAGTGACTTGCTGACTTCTTCTCTAGATGGTTCTTCTAGTCAAGTCGCCGACGACGCTTGTAGTAGTGATGCTGAATCTTCAAAAGAAGCATTTAGCTTCAGAGAGGAAGGAGCAGTGAGATCCTGTAGGTCTGAGCTATACACTTACCGCAATACGCTATGGAAATTATTTGCTTCAGGGCCCTTAAGTTGGGATCAGGAAGCATCACTAACGGATCTCCGGCTTTGTCTGAATATATCAACTGATGAACATTTGATGGAGCTAAGAAATCTAAAGTCTGTTGGTACTTAAATGTACATTTTGTTAGTATCAATATTCTTTTTTGATACCTTAACAGTCTTATCTTCAGGTGTTGGCCGTACCTCACTGCAATGTGGAATCAACAGTCATGTATTGTTCTTTTTCCAGATGATTGTGTATATAGACAGCAGAAGGGAGAAGGGAAAGTTTGTATGGAAACTCCAATCCCCATTGTGATGTTCTCTTCTTATAGTCAGCTTAATTTTCTTTTGTTGTACTTTCTGGATAATGAAAAGTTTAAGTGAAGTTACAGTTTATATGCTCTAAGATAAGTCCTGGTTTGGAGGATTGTGTTGTTCTTAAGTTTGTCTTTTATTCATACACGTCTTGCTACATTTTTCAGGAACAGTGTAGCCATGCCCGGTGCTAGCAGATCTTTGCTTGATTCTAGAGATCTTTCTCTGATGCATTGGGTTTGCTGAATGGTGCAAAACACAGTGCCCTTTCTTCTTCAAATACATAACTGAAATTGTTCTGTGTTTTTTATATTTTTGGCTATACATAACTGATCTATTTCAGGTGTTCTTGGATTGAATCTATGGCACAGGCTTTGAACTGTTCATCTCCAAAGGAGAAACGTTTACAGTCTTGTTGCGGTAAGTGTTAAGTGCACTATACGATCTGGTTGCGTGTAATAATACTTGGAGAGTTGTCTATGCTTGTTAGTTTGTTGCATGTGTGTTTTGGAAATCCTTTGCTGCAATTGCACAGGCCATCAAAGTCTACATCAAAAACCTGTAATTAGTTGTTTGAAAACTTAAAGTTACGGCATTTCAAGCCGGGTTAGAGAGAGAGTTATGTCGATTCAGATGTGAGCATATCGAACTTATCAAGTTAAAGCAGCTCCTCCGCTTGTCAAGTTCAACGTTTGCCTTGTAACTGAAGCTAAGAAATTGGAAAGACGAGGAAGAAGATGAAGAAGCACCCGCTTTGTGAAAATGTATCATTCAGTTAAAGAAACTTTTTCTTTGTAATACACGCATACTTTCGAATTTGAATCGAGGTTATCTACCATATATTATACGAACTAGTAATTGACCCGCGGGATTTGGTGTCGCCTTGATTGGAGCCAATCATAATATTTAATTAAGCATAAAATGAAGCAGCGAAGGCTTCAAACTGCTCGATGGCCCACTGCTCTCAAAATGAGCTTTTCAACAGCACGAAGCATTAGAAATTGCTAAAAGTCATTAATATCCCTAGTTTTTTTACGTGGTTTTTACTTTTTTTTTTTTGACATATCATGTCAATTTTGGTAATTTGGCATGTAAAAGCTCCATTATAGGCTCTTCCAATCAAGGCCAAATTCTATTTCATGTTAGTGAATGACTATTGGAATTTATTTTGTTGGTTATGTTATTATTCTTTGCCACCTTCTTGGTGTTTTTTTATTTTTGATTTTTTTTTTAATTTTTGAATAAAACTATTATTAGAAGTTGTAGAAAATCATATATTTTTTTTTTCATAAATGAAATAATTCCTTAGATATAACTATTTTTTAATATTTATTTTTATAAACTTTTATTTATTATCACTTGATCAAATCGATGACCTTCTCTTCTTGTTTTGTTGTTCAAACTTTTCTTTTCTTTATCCCAAACAAATTTTGTTGCATCATGTTTGTATTTTAGTTTTCCATTCTTTATAAAGGCGGCCATATGTTCTTAGACATTTTTGAGTATTAACAAAAAGCATATAGTTATAACAGTATGTAGAACACAACATTGAAGAAACTAATAAGTTTTAATGGAGAGATAGAGAAGTATAGATATTGGTTTTGTAAATTTTAAAGAGAAATAATTTTGGTTGTTGGATTTATATATTTTTTTTGAGTATTAACTATTAAGCATAACGAATGAACATTATTCATATTTGTTTTTTGAGTTGTTGTTTTTGGTAGATATATCATGGAGAATGGTTGTTAATTATTAAAGTTTGATTTCGACATGTTGTTGGCAATATTTGCTATGAATTTTGTTTAATTTCCAACAGATCGATGTATTGGTTAAATACTTAAATGTAATTGTTTTAGTCCTATGGGCCATATTTTTAAAACCAAAACGACAACGCAATGCTTCACTATCTCGATCTTCTCGGCTCATTTCAACTGTTGTTCGCTAGCTAAAGTTGTACAGTTTCAGAGTTTGATCTTCATATGTATCAATTGCCTGAATAATCTTGTCATTTTGGGAGCAATTATTTCCGCTAATGGTGCTGTTAAAGAATTACGGGAACGGCGGCTATGTATATCGAAGCTCCAACACCAAGCCGGCGACGGAAGCTCTTCCTTGCATCTGACGGGTGTTGATGAAGGAGGAGAGAGATTCAAGGTGGAGGAATCAGAGAAATCCATTTTCATCTTACATCCTTATGTTCCTTCAACCTAATCACTATCCGGAATCATCTTCTAACTGAAGGAATCTCTTTGATTGGTGTTAATAATTGTGAAACAGCATAAACTTGCGTTAAAATACAACAAAGACGACAAAGGCTCTGATAATCTGAACAACTTTTGTGTTCTTTGCCTCTTTTGTGTTCTTCTTCTCGCCATGGACGACCCCTCCCTCTCGATTGAGGTAGATGGAACTTTGAACTCCTTAATTTTTCCAGAGTTGTTTGAGAGATAGATGGAACCTTCACTCAAATGCTATTGATTGAACTCGGCCAAATCCACCGCATCGTTCCTTATAATCTAGCCGACGATTCTCCAGCGGATTTGTATACCTCGAGTTCCTCCTCTGGGCAATTTGTCGCCACTGTTAAGCTTTCTCTATTTTGGTAAGATTGTCTCATTCTATGATCCACTTCACCGAGTTGACTCGCGTCGGATCAACTCCTTCCATCACCTCTGAGTCGTCTCTCGCCGGACAACTTGCTTGGCTGGTTCTCCCCATCGGAAACTGGAGACCGGAAAAGGAGGAATTTTTTTTTCATGTTTCTTTTTTTTCGGAAGGAGAGTGACGACACCCAAGAGACACATCTCCGATGGAAGAAGAAGAAGAAAATGAACGGAATAAACAATGAAATTTCGGTTTACGTTTTCTTAGACTGATTCAAACGTAACCGGTCGGTGGAGAATAAAATCAATAAAGCAAAACCGGGTGATAACGTGGCACCTAAACCAATTAAGTTGACTATATTAATTAGAATGTTTTGATTGGCCAAACCTTATAAATGATGTGTCACTTTTTCCATACTTGAAAAAACTGATGTATCAACTCCTCGAGCAACACAAGGGGGTTTTAGTGTGTTGATTTCATTTGCCATAACTATACTTTGTTTTTACTAATGCTTTGTTTTCAGTTGGTGAGATCTATACTAAGAAACTAAATGACAATTAATCAGTATTAGTTAATAATAAATGCATTGAAAAACTGAGAACATTCATCTTTAAAAAAATAAAAATAAAAGAATATGGGAAAATTATACTTTCATAAACAGGGAAAATTGCACACTAAATAAAAATAGTTTCATAATAATTATAAGTTGTTGAAAATGTGATCCCAAAACAATCGCACATAAAATTGAAAAACATGTACAAGTCTCACCCCCAATATTTTACCATAATTAAATCTTTATTATGTTATAACTCGAGATTGACAATAGTACATATGTGTGGATTAGAAATTCATGTCAAAATTTATTTTATTTTATCATAAGACTTTAATATTATTTAGCATGAATTGAGATTTATTATCAGTCTAAAATCTGCATTTGCACCCCTCGATTCTAAATTCGCACCAGCATGATTGCCCTGTCTTGCTCTTCGCAGCCGGTCTGCAATAGTATTTCATGAGCCTTGGTCCCCACTCCTTCTCACATAAAGTCTTACACTCCCCGTGTAAATCACAACGGTCAAAATTAGGACAACAAAAGCAAGGGTTGTTTCACTTTAGACCCAAAATTGTGGTCAAATGCAAAACTAACCTCCTGTTTTTTCATTTTAAGTTTGTCCAGTTTTTTCCAATTAATTACACGAATGCCATTACTTTTTCGATTGGTAGACCGATATTTAGGTCTACCAGATCTGCTGAAAGACCAAACACCCCTCATCTTCTACACTTAATTGCCAAAATGCCATTTCATCAATGTTGACAACCACCATTTTTACCCAATTTGGAGCTGTTAATGCTCCGAAAACTCACTTTGGAGCTAGCATTTCTCCTTCTTTCATCTCACAAACTCTTATTCTTCCATTTTCTCTCCATTTTCATCCCAAAAACTTAAAAGAAAACTCAAATCTTGGGTCTTGGCATTTCCAATTGTTTAGCTTAGTGATGACCGGAACTCGTAATTGAAGGCCTAAATTGAAGTTATCAGCCCTCGAAGAGCCTTTCTCCAACGGCCAGGTAACTTTTCTTTCAAAATTCTAAGAATTTCAGTTTTGGTCTGCGAAGGTAGACTGAAGTGTAGGTCTACCATTACATAGTAGACCTCAGTTTAGGTCTACTGGTCAACGCAGAGTTGACTGTGCCATTTCCTTTGCAAACAAAAAAAATGAGTGGTAGACCTACACTTAGGTCTACTCCACGTGGAGGGTTAGTTTTGCAATTGATTGAGAAAAATGTTTTTTTTGAGGTCTACCTTGTCGGTCTACTCCACGTGGAGGGTTAGTTTTGCAATTGATAGGAAAATGTTTTTCGGAGGTCTACCTCTTAGGTCTACCTAAAAAAAAAAGTTGGTTTTGCCGTTGACTCAAGTTTGACTTTCCTCAAAAAGGAGAGATTTTGCGTCATTGAGGTCTACCGTGTAGGTCTACCATCCGGTAGACCGCAAGTGAGGTCTACTGGTCAACGCAAAAAACTGAGGTCTACCACGGAAGTCTACCCAAGAAAGTCAAACTTGAGTCAACGGCAAAACAAACTGTTTTCGGTAGGTAGACCTAAGGCGTAGACTAATTCAGAGGTCTACTTTTTTTGGTAGACCGATTGAGAGGTCTACGTTTTCTGGTAGACGTACACGGTAGACCTCGTGTAAAAGTCAACGTTTGGTCAATTGCAAAACTAACCCTCCACGTGTAGTAGACCGACAAGGTAGACCTCCAAAAAAACATTTTTCTCGATCAATTGCAAAACTAACCCTCCACGTGGCCGTCCACGTGGAGTAGACCTAAGTGGAGGTCTACCGTGAACGTCTACTCCGAACGTCTACGTTTTAGGTCTATTATTATGTGTTTTTTAAAATGTCGTCAAATATTTTGAAATTTATCTCGAACAGTTAGTTGTTTTTATTTGTTTACTTGCTTCTGTGTGAGTTTGAAATGTTCTTTCGGCGTAATTAAGGCTATATTCGGTTTTCTTTTGAATTAGGTATCTAGCTTAATTTTCTGGTAGACCAAATTGTGGGTCTACCTGTCGGTCTACGCCTTCTGTCTACTAATCCATTTTGTGGTCTGGTTTGTTTTTGTTGCAGTAATGGTTTGTCTAGCTTCCGTTTATGGAAAATGGGTGGTGATGGAAGACAAGTCATGGCATTTTGAGATGGATAAAGGAAAAGGAGAGAATGTTCTACTTACGGGATGGTTGTACACATGAAGGAGCCTCTTAGAATGGTACAAGCTGACTATATGTTGGATATGGAACCAGACTGGTGGAATTATCTTATCCATTACCAGATGTGATGCTCCATCAAATGCCCTCAGACTTTCCTCATATGTACATCACCAACGATGGACAGTTCATAGCTTGATAGAGTTTATAGTTGTTCGAAGTGCAGCAACCGGGACATCCGCCTTCATTGCGTAAGCTAATGACAACTCACAGTGTGTTCATGGTTTCTGTTTTTTATTATATGAGTTTTAAAAATTGGATTTTGAACTGATGTAGATGAACAACACAGAGATAGACTGAAGATAAGGTCTACTTTGGAAAGGTAGACTGAAGAAAAGGTCTACTTAGAAGTAGACTGATAATAAGATCTACGAATGCAATCTACAACTGAGGATCTACGTAGTAGTCTACTTTGTGCTGTTTTCAAGTTTTTTTACTATGTCTAGTAGACACTTATATGGTATAAACAATTACTAAAGCTATGATATTCATTACCACTATTGAGTTAAGTCTTTATGTGTGTTTATTTTCTCTTTTACTCAAGACAAAATCCAATTTAAGCAAACTTTTTCATTAATAACCTAAAACATATCTTACATCATACCAAAACAAGTGATACAACACACACATACATACACAACAAGAAACTAAACTACAATCTCAAATGTATAATTTTCTTCATCTTTGCTTTTGTTTCCTTCACACCTATATATCCAAGTGCAGACTATATGGTCAAAGCTTCACCCTTTCATTTTACAACATCGTTTTCTCAATAGCTGCATAAATAATTAAAGAACAGACACAATTAGTTTGAATCTTGAGCAGAGATATCACAGATCACAAAAGATGATCATAATGAAACTATGCTGGAAAAATGAAACATCACAGATAACAAAAAAAATGATCATAAACAGCCTCTCAAACTTTCATCAAGATTAATAATGAAACTTTAAGCAAGATTCTGAAACAAGAAGCATTATAATGACAAAAATCACTTCAACAATCAAGCAATTCTAGGATTAAACAAGATTTATATTATGAATACCTTTTCATGGTTTTGAATTGGTTCTCACACTAGTCCTAGTTGACTCTTTCTTCTCCACCAGCTATGCTTCCTTCACCAGAAAGATTAAAGCATTAAACAAAGAGATTAAAAACACAGAAAATTGTCAATCAAAGAGCAAATTCATGGAGGATTTTTCTGGAAAAGGAAACAAAGAATTTCACTAAACTTTCGAGGTGATTTGCGGATGAAATATACCTCTGATTAGACAACTGAAAGAAGATCTGGAAATTTGGGTTCGAGATCTTCAAAACCGTATGTAGATCTACTCCTGACGACTTATATATCATCGGGAAATTGCTTCACAAAAATAAATTCTGAGATCTTAAAACAGATCTGACGTCTCAAGAGGGAATATCCATAACTCTCTGAATATAACTCGGTTTACCGTGATCTCGGATGTTTTGGAAAGCTGAGAAGACGATCTTTCCGATGGTACCAAAATAAGCTTCTGAAACTTTATGACACGGCTGGAAATCGCCCCGTAAGATCCGTTTCGGATTCTGGTTTTCTCCCTTCTTCTCCTTCCTCACTTCTCCACGGGTTTGTGTCTTCTCCAATATCAACCAAACACTATCACAATTTTGATGGATTTGTTCCTGCCACAAAAATAAATAGGTTTTTTTCGAATTGATTTCAATTGAAGCAAGGTAGGATTTTGGAGTGGGGGAGAAAAAAAAGCTTACAGAGGATCTCTGGCGGATTCATCGGTGTTTTGGCAGTTTACTCGGGCTGGAGGAGAGAGCTGGAGGGACAGGAGGATCGTGGGAGTCAAGAGTAGAAGCCTTCGTGAGCAGGTCTGAAGGGGAGAAAGCAAACAGCGTTCTGGATCTGGATCTGGATCTAGAGGACACATATGAAGAAAAAGATGGCGGAGTTTCATGGAGAGAGGAGAGGGAGGCGCTGTTTTAGAGAGAGAGAGTTATTTTATTTCTAACACAATTAGGTTAAATCTTTCTTTATATATGAAGGTTAATTTTCCGGTTTACTTATTCGGTTTAACTCGAAATTACCAAATTTTTTGATAATTTCTGGTTCCCGCCGTTTTGGTTTAAAATTTTGGGATTCCCGCTAGGTTAAAATGGTTGGTAGACCTCCATTGCGGTCTACTGGTTAGGTCTACAGGTTAGGTCTACTGGTGAGGTCAACTTTACCCTAAACCCTAAATCGAATAATTTAGATACAATTTTGCAACGATTTGGTTGCCATATTGGCAATTTACAATGTATATCACAAAGAAACGAACATTGAATCATAAAACCAATCAAAAACAGTTATTCATATAATTTTTTTCAAAACCCTACAACTTACACCATTGAACCCTAAACAATCTACTCAAACTCTTATTCTTATGAACTATATACTCATGATATTTATAGATTCATGAATATTTCTGATTTTTTATTTTTAATAGATATTAAATGTCTACTGTTTCGTTATTTGTGAAACAAATATTGCAAATCTTTTTTTTTTTATTTAAATTTAAGATTTGATGATTTAGTAGACATACTTGGTAAACCTCCAATGGTTTTATAGACTTTTAACCTAATTTATTTTTTTCATAGTTCAGTTGGTTCAAATCTATGAAATTATATTTTAGATAGATGCAAGTTGTCTGTATTGTAATTATGTATAAATAATTTTCATCAAAGTATTCTTTTTTAAATTTTTATAATAAAAATTTAAATTTAATGATAAAGTAGACTTACTCGGTAGACCTCACACATTTTTATAGATATTAACCTATATGTCTTTCCTTATATATAAATCATTCATTTGTATGCATTCATATTTTTTTATATGATAATGTCTATATTAGAATTATTCATACTTGTGTTTGTATAAAAATATTTTTTATTGAATTGTTAATTAAAATTTAAGATGTTATTACGAGGTAGACCTCTAACATTGTCTACCCGGTAGATCTACATGCTCCGGAGGTTATAATCGTAATTGAGGCATGCGTTTTTTTGTTTGGTCATGAGGGATTGTGAGATAAATTTACTACCCAAAGAGGTTAGTTTTGCATTTGATTCAAATTGTGGTCTAGTTGACTAGAAAAAATGAAATTGTGGTCTAGATTTGGCAATTCCCCCACTAAAGCATCTATTTCTAAGACATGCTGCTTCCGCTCCTATAACAATAATAAATTAAAACATAAAATATTAGTTGATAACGAAGAAAAACATAGATATAAAAATATAAAAATAGGTTTTCTTTTTAATTTTTATCATGAAGATATTTTCCTGAAAATGTAACAGAATATATTTAATAAAAAGACATGATATATTAAAATATTTGAATGTATCATATGAATATATTAAAATATCGTATGTAAGAGAGGAGAGTTATTGTACGTGAGAGAATGAAGAGAGAAGTATAGAGTTTCTTTTGTATTGAACTTATGTTTAATAATGTACAAATTTATTTATAGAAGTGATAATGATAAGGGAGGAAGACGGTGAAAGAAACTTACACCATAAGTAAATAATAAAATATGAAGGGATAATTATCCTTTCTAACACTCCCCCTTAATTATCCGTCATGTATTATGTACGGTCTCGTTAAAAAACCTATGTCATAGAAAAACCCAATGGGATAAAAACTATGACTTAGGAAAAAGAGTACCGTAGCATAATCTCCCCTGGAAAAGATAGAATCTTTTCTTTTCACAAGTTTTGTAGACGACGCATTCCAATACTGTGAACATGCTTCTTGAACACTGTAGTAGGAAGCGCCTTTGTAAAAAGATCGGCTGCATTGTCACTTGAACGAATATACTCGATGTCCACTTCTTGATTTTTCTGGAGTTCTTGAGTGTATGAGAAAAATCTTGGAGGAATATGCTTCGTTCTGTCACTCTTGATATAACCTTCTTTGAGTTGTGTGACACATGCAGAATTGTCTTCAAATATTTTTGTTGGCTCTTTCTCTGTGACTATTCCACTTGATTCTTGTATGTGATGAGTCATAGACCGGAGCCACACACATCTCTACATGCTTCATGGAGAGCAATAGTTTCTGCATAATTTGAAGACGTTGCAACCAAAGTTTGCTTTTGCGAACGCCAGGAGACCGCGGTTCCACCAATTGTGAAAACATAACCTGTTTGTGATCTAGCTTTGTGTGGATCTGATAGATATCCTGCATCAGCAAAACCAACTAAAACACATTTTGAGTTTTTAGGATAAAATAATCCTAAATCAATTGATCCTTGAAGATAACGAAAAATATGTTTTATTCCATTCCAATGTCTGCGCGTAGGGGACGAACTATATCTTGCAAGCAGATTAGTAGCGAATGCTATATCTGGTCTAGTGCAATTTGCAAGATACATTAGTCCACCAATAGCGCTCATGTAAGGTACTTCAGGACCTAACACTTCCTCGTTATCCTCACAAGGACGGAATGGATCCTTTTCAACATCAAGAGATCTATTAACCATTGGAGTACTCAAAGGAGTTGCTTTGTCCATATAAAAGCGTTTTAACACTCTTTTAGTGTAATTTGACTGATGCACAAATATACCATCTTGGAAATGCTCTATCTGGAGCCCAAGACAAAACTTTGTCTTTCCAAGATCTTTCATTTCAAACTCTTCTTTCATATGAGTTCTTGCATCATCAATTTCCTTTTGAGTTCCAATCATGTTCAGGTCATCTACATATACAGCAATAATCACAAATCCTAAGGAGGATTTCTTAATGAATACACAAGGGCATATCGCATTGTTGACGTAATTACTCAACAAATATTCACTTAAGCGATTATACCACATGCGTCCGGACTGTTTTAGTCCATAAAGTGATCGCTGTAATCTGACCGAACAGATCTCCTTAGCCTTTGATTTCAAATCCTCAGGCATTTTTAATCCTTCTGGGATTTTCATATATATCTCATTTTCAAGAGATCCATATAGATATGCTGTCACAACATCCATGAGATACATTTCAAGATTTTGAGACGCTGCTAAGCTCATCAAAAATCTGAATGTTATGGCATCCATTACCGGGGAATATGTTTCTTCATAATCAATTCCCGGTCTTTGAGAAAAACCTTGAGCCACAAGTCGGGCTTTATATCTTGTGACCTCATTTTTCTCATTTCTTTTTCTTACAAAAACCCATTTGTGCCCGACGGGTTTTGTATTCTCAGGAGTTGTGACAATAGGTCCAAAAACACTTCTTTTATTGAGGGAGAGTAATTCAGCTTGGATGGCCATTTTCCATTTCTCCCAATCAGGTCTTTTCAGACACTCTGATATTGTTTCTGGATCTGGATCATCACTTTCATGATCAATTCTTTGTATACAGAAAAAGAGAATATTCCATCATCATCTTCTATTTCATTTCTTGTCCATACTTTTCCATTTTGGGCGAAGTTGATGGAAATCTCAAATTTTTCTGTATCATGTTCGTCTTCTGGACGAATCTCTTTCTCTGGTTCTTCAAAAACCATTTTGTTTATGTCTTCTAGGACATATTTCTTTACAAGGTTCTTCTTGAACCTTTTCTCCCAAATTCTTTTTCTTTCGGGGATTTTTATCTTTAGAGCCCATCGGCCTCCCCCTCTTTAATTGGACTTTGGGTGCATTTGCTATGCTTCCATCATTTTGTTCCTTAGAACATCTATCTTTGATGGAACGTTTGCAGCGGGTATATATGATTTCGTCACTCTTTTTGTATCTGTGAACGAATCTGGTAATTGATTTGCCATATTTTGTAAATGTATAATTTTCTGAACTTCCAATTCGCGTTGTTTTGTCGGGGGATCAAAGTGTAACAAATTCGGTGTACACCATGTGAGGTCTTTTGGAACCTCTTTAATTCCTCCCCCTAACGCTGGAAATTCATCTTCATTAAAATGGCAATCGGCAAAACGTGCCGTAAACATATCACCAGTTTGAGGTTCAAGATACCGAATAATACTCGGTGACGTATACCCAACGTATATTCCCAATCTCCTTTGTGGCCCCATTTTTGTTCTTTGTGGCGGTGCTATCGGAACATAAACCGCACAACCAAAAACACGGAGATGGGATACGTTTGGCTCCTGACCAGATGCCAATTGCAATGGGGAATATATATTATAAGCACTTGGTCGTATTTGGAGCAACGCTGCAGCATGCAAAATAGCATGACCCCATATAGAAATTGGGAGTTTTGTTCTCATTATTAACGGTCTTGCAATCAGTTGCAACCGTTTAATCAAAGACTCAGCCATGCCATTTTGTGTATGGACATGTGGAACCGGATGCTCAACATCGATTCCCAATGACATGCAATAGTCATTAAAGGCTGTGAAGTGAATTCACCAGCGTTATCTAATCTCACTTTCTTAATAGTATAATCAGGGAACTGTGCTCTCAACCTGATTATTTGGGCAATGAATCTTGCGAAAGCCGTATTTCGTGTTGTCAAAAGACACACATGTGACCATCTACTTGATGCGTCAATTAATACCATAAAGTATTGAAACGGTCCGCATGGTGGGTGAATAGGCCCACATATATCACCGTGTATTCTCTCTAAGAACACAGGGGATTCATTTCCAACTTTCGCTGGTGAAGGCCGAGTTATGAGTTTTCCTTGAGAACATGCATTACATATGAACTCGCCCGTTTCTAAAATTTTCCCGTATTTCAACGGATGGCCATTTGAGTTTTGCACAATTTTTCTCATCATGACTGAACCTGGATGCCCTAGCCTTTCATGCCAGATTTTGAATGTACTAGTAAACTTCGGGTTTACTGTAACATATGATTCAGTCAGAGTAATATTTGTGCAATATAATCCGGAGGACATCATTTTCAACTCTTCCAATATTTGTCCCTCCGATTTGATGCAAAGGATTTCAATGCCATTCTTATTTATAGTCTCTATGTGATATCCATTTTTACGGATATCTTTGAAACTCAATAAGTTTCTATAAGACTTCGGGGAATATAATGCATCATTTATTTCAAACTTTGTTCCCCTTGGCATTGAAAAATTGGCTCTTCCAGAGCCCAATATTATTTTTGCACCACCAGAAATGGTATTCACGCTTTCAACGGAATCTTTAATTTTGAGACCGGAGAAATATCTTTTATCTTTGAGTATTGTGTGCGTTGTAGCACTGTCTGCAAGACACATATCTCCATCACGAGTCTCAAATTTCGTCATTTCTGGATTTAACAAAGATGCATTAATAAGTATTAAACAATACAAAGCTTATATCACAAGATACAAAATACCACATTAAAAACTATTTTACAACAAAAAGATCAAACTTTTAGGTTATCTTATTCAGGAAGATAACTATGTATATCATGTCCTTTTAGTCGTCTGTTTTTCCGTTGATCTCTTCGGAGTCAACCAGAAAATCTGAAACATCAAGATGAGTATCATCGTTTAGGCCGTGAAAGGAAGGACCGGGTTCATTGGAGATGAAGTTAGTCTCACTTTCTTTCTCCTTTGCTTTTTGTGATTCCCGGTACAGATCGGCTAAGTGTCTGGGTGTACGACAAGTACGCTCCCAGTGATTTTTCATGCCGCATCTGTAGCAAACACTTTCTTTTTGCTTTTTAGAATCTCGGCCGTAATCATTTGCTCGAGATCTTTTATATTCCTTTCATTGTTGGACTCGTCGGGACGGTACTCTTTTCCTTGTCCCCGACCACGTCCACGGCCACGGCCACGACCTCGGTTTCGACCATATCCACGTCCACGTCCTCGTCCATTATTTTGGCTGGACGATGCTACATTCGCTTCTGGGAATGGAGCAGCTCCAGTGGGACGAGTCTGATGGTTCATCATCACAAGCTCGTTATTCTGTTCTGCAACAAGGAGAACTTCCATCAATTTTGAATAACGAGTATAGCCATTTGCCCGATATTGTTGTTGCAGGACTATATTTCCAGGGTGAAATGTGGAGAGCGTTTTTTCAATCATATCATAATCGCTCACATTTTCTCCACATAGCACCATTTGGAAATTATTCTGAACATAGCAGAATTATATTCAACAACACTTTTATAGTCCTGAAACCGGAGATATAGCCACTGGTATTTGGCTTTGGGCAAATCTATATATTTTTGATGGTCAAATCTTTCTTTCAAAGATTGCCAAAGATCCGCAGGATCTTCTTTAGTGATGTATTCATCTTTTAAACCATCGTGGATGTGATGAAGTAGAAAGATCATGGCTTTCGCCTTTTTCTCATCGGATGTCTCTTTCGACTTGTCAATGGCATCAAGAAGCCCATTTCCTTTTAGATGCATTTTTGCACCTATTGCCCATGTCATATAATTGTTTCCAGAAATATCAAGGGCGGAAATTTCGAGCTTAGCCAAATTTGACATGATATCTGCATAGATCATAGATCAGTTCATTAAATATAAATTCAAATTCAAATTTTGCAAAAAAATTGGCATTATAACAGTATAAATTAGCAGAAATTTAGATGGCAGAAAGTAAATAGCGAAAAAGTAAATTACAGAAAAGTAAATATTCAGGAGGAGGCAAAGCCTCTACTCCAAGAGGAGGTTTTTACCATCAACTCTTATATGATCTAAGGTGACATAGTCTACCATATGATCATTTGCTCGGAGTAGGTACAACCTAGCATCCCGGCTTAAGAAATTCATTTTTCGATTGTGGAGACAAAGCTACCATAACAATCGGCTCGGAGAAGGCATAGCCTACCATCCCGGCATAGCATATAAACAATAAAGACAGAATATAAGAGCAGTTCGTGCTGATAACGTGTTATAAACTAAACTGTACCACTATATATTATGTATAGTGGATTGATTAATAAAGAACAAGATGTGAGAGAGAGATTTACTATGTGAGAAAGATGGTGGTTGGTTTCGTATGTGAGAGAGGAGAGTTATTGTACGTGAGAGAATGAAGAGAGAAGTATAGAGTTTCTTTTGTATTGAACTTATGTTAATAATGTTACAAAGGCTCCTCTATTTATAGAAGTGATGAGGATGATAAGGGAAAGGAAGAGGCGGTGAAGAATGAAACTTACAACCAAAGTAAATAATAAAATATGAAGGGGATAATTATCCATTCTAACATATATATAATAATTTAGATTTATCTCAAATATTTCTAATTTAAGATTTGTAATACCTCATATCCTGAATTATGGTACTTAGTTTGATCGAAGTTCATGGTTTTTTTCTCTATATGAAAGGTAAAAACGATAATTTTTTATTTTTTTGACAAAAATGTTTTTTGAGCTTCCACCATGCATCCTCTCTTACCGTAGAAATCATAGAAGTTTCAACTAAAATTAGTAAAATAACAAAAAAGTAGAAATTCTTTTATTAAAAAGCAGAGAATTCATTTGTAAAGGAAAACAAATGTATCTGTAAATGAATGTATAAATATAATTATGAGAATAGATATATGTAAGTGTAAAAATGTATCATATATCTATTTAATTTAGCTATATAATAAACATAATTTCAGTTGATTTAAAAATGATTATATATAATTTAACATCTTCACATAAGAGAAAAAGCGTCTGAAGATTAAAATCTGATACTTTTAAATTTAAGTTAAAGTGGTGGTATTCAGTTAAGATTGATTTGAGCAATATACCCAACTAAAAACAAGTGTTTAGTTTCATCAATAAGATTGATCTAAAACAGATGCATGCACGTTGACCTCAAAATAAACAAAGACACTACGAGTCCAAATTGTTGTACGTTCTAAACATGATTCGTTTTGCAACATTAAAATCACAGAAAATAACAATGAGATGATTGATTGATGATTCATTTTGGGAGCTTAATTTCCAGGAGGCCTAACGTAACTAGGCTGTTTTTACAAAGCTGGTGATGGACTGACTCAAGAGAGAGATGATGATGATTGTTACATTGATTCTGTTTACTATGTTTCTTTGATTTTTTTTTATTTTGTCTTTGGTTTAAAACTCTGGCGATTTCTTTGCAGCTAAGTATTAATTTCACATTTTCAGTAGCTATTTCTTATCGGATATTAGCTAGTGATGCATTCCTTCATCGGAGCTCATCTTTAAGAACCACATTGTTCTCTAGCCATATAAGATAAAGAGCTAGAGATGTGATGAATAGATGATTTGTATTGAGTTCTGTACTGTGTTACATAAATACAGAGATGGAGAGAATAACTAAGGTAATACAATATCCACAATAAAGGAGAATGAATGCCCTGATATACGATCCTATAATTTAGGCAATCATATCTCAATCATCTCATGATTGAGTCTCCGTAATAAGATGTCTATAGATAGGTTTTTGCCTCTGATGCAACTGGAAAATTGATATACTAATTCTTGGAGATTCTTGTTGTTGCTTGCGTTAGATTCTCAGTTTTGACAGCTCTGATTTTGGATCATGAACTGTTGTTTGGTAGTTTCGTATCTGATGTAAAGATGTGCTTAACCTTTAGAACTCGAGACTGTCTTCCAACACAACATCTACAAGCTCCAGCCGCTAACAAATTCACGAAGATAAGAATGGTGAGTCTCAATTTCCTTCACTCCTAACACAATTCGCGTACTTATCTTTTTGTGTCGTTTCGAACACAATTCGTGTTGATTTTTTTTTATAAAGTAGAAATCCAACGTTGTAGTTTGACAACACGTAGACGGAGGATGCAAAATAGCCACATTTTAGTTATAAAATGCTTAACGTTTTGTTATAACCTTCATGATATTTTGCACACTGCAACATGTGTCTGAAAATAGCCTCAAAATTTCTAATGGTCCAATCTTCTAATATTCAAAGGTCTAACTTTTCAAATGTTCATTTTTTCTAATTAGATAAAATGATTAAAGAAAAACTAGTAATTATAAGAGAACTAACCATATAATAAAAAATAAAAAAAAGTTATAAGTGTCCAAGCTTCTAATTCTCAGTCATTTAAGTTTTAGTTATTTTTTTAATTAGATAAAATCATTATAAAAAAAACGATTTTCTTTATATCATCTCACGTTACACCATGGGACAAAAGAAAAGATAAGTATCTCCCATTTCTTGACCAAAAAAAAAAAAAAAAAAAGATATTCTCCATAAGAAAAGAAAAAGGATGGTCATATATTCTCAAAATAAATATGCCAATTTGTTTGGAAACCCTTATGCCGAATAAAAACCAACTAACCCTAATTTACTTGCTATATTTCCGTGGCGAAGAAGTAAAAAAAGGAGGGAAATGGAAAAACAGTTTCAAGCTCAGGCCCAAAAGAAAAAGAAAAAAAGAGAAACATACGTAACAAAGAGGTATAAAGAGAAATTAGAAACCGTAAAAATCGGAGAAGATTCAAACCTCGTGTGTGTGTCTCCCCTCTCTTGCGACAACCAAATCACAATCTAAACGTGAAAACGGAATTTCGAAATCAAGAAGAAAAATCTTAAATGGATAAGAAAAAGAAAGTATGGTTTTGGGGAGAGAACGACGGCGAAGGAGGAGGAAGGTCAAAGGAGGAGGAGGATGACGTGGCGGACCGTATGTCTCGTGACGGAACCATGAGCCAATACAGCCTTAGCAAAGGTCTCCTTCCTTCTCTCGGAGCCACCTCTCGTTCCTCCCGTGACGTCATTCTCCGTCGCTTCATCATCTCTCCCTTTGATCCTCGTTACAGGTCCACTTTTCTTCTTCTTCTCTCTTCAAGACTTATGATGTGTTCTTCACGAAATTAGGGTTATAAAGAACGTGATTTATCCCTTTTTTTCTCTCTCTGAGATTTCTTGAAATTTGACTAATCTTTATCATACAAAATTATTTAAAAACAATTTGTTTGAAATCTTTACTTACATTCTAGAGATTTGTCTAAGATTATGTATATCCTCACCTATATGATGTTTGGAAAAAAATGTGAATATTTCTTGCTAAGTTTAGCTACATTGCTCACGAAGCTGCTTAATTTTCAGAGCATGGGAGACGTTTTTGGTGTTTCTAGTGCTCTACACAGCTTGGGCGTCGCCTTTCGAGTTCGGTTTCTTGCAAAAGCCACGAGCACCTCTCAGCATTCTCGACAACATAGTCAACGGGTTCTTCGCCATCGACATCATCTTGACATTCTTCCTTGCCTTTCTTGACAAGACCACTTATCTTCTTGTCGACGATCCAAAGAGAATAGCCTGGAGATACGCTTCGACTTGGCTTGCTTTCGACGTTGTGTCCACGTTTCCTTACGAAAGCTTCGGGAGCTTCTTGCATGAGAGCATTCAGGGATACGGTATCTTCAGTATGCTTCGTCTTTGGCGTCTTCGAAGAGTCAGTAACTGTTTCGCCAGGTTAGAGAAAGATAGGAGATACAGCTACTTCTGGGTTCGATGCACGAAGCTGCTTCTTGTTACTCTTTTTGTGATTCATTGTGGTGCATGCTTCCTCTACTCCATTGCTTCACATTATCCAGACCCGGCCAAGACGTTCATGGCACTAACAGACGAAAACTGGAAACAGTCTCCTCTCGCTGTCCAGTACAACACGGCCATGTATTGGTCTATAACTACATTCTCAACCACAGGATATGGTGATATACATGGTGTTAACTCAAGAGAGATGACTTTCATTCTTTGCTACATGGTCTTTAATCTTGGTTTATCAGCTTACATCATCGGTAACATGACTAACTTGGTTGTTCATGTGACCAGCCGCACAAGAAAATTCGTAAGTTTATCTATTTACATGTGTAGTATTTGCTAATGTGAAAGATGTTGTAACTGAGGTTTTGTTTTCAGAGAGATACCATTCAAGCTGCTTCAGGGTTTGGTCAGAGGAACAACTTACCAGTTCGTTTGCAAGATCAGATGGTGGCTCATTTGTGCTTGAGGTACAGAACAGACTCAGAAGGTTTACAGCAGCAAGAAATCATCGATTCGCTACCGAAAGCTATTCGCTCAAGCATATCTCATTATCTGTTCTATGAAGTTGTAGACAAGATTTACTTGTTCCATGGAATATCCAACGATCTTCTTTTCCAGTTGGTATGTTGATGAGCTCATAAATCGTCTAACGAAATGGTTCGCTTGAAAGTCTTTAAACTTTACTGTATATTTCATGTAGGTCACGGAAATGAAAGCAGAGTATTTTCCTCCAAAAGAAGATGTGATCTTGCAGAATGAAGCACCAACAGACTTTTACATATTGGTTACAGGAGCTGTTGTAAGTGTTTTGATTTCTAGTTTTACATATGGCGTCAGATTTCTCGTACTATCCCTTACGCATTCCTCTATCCCGCAGGAGATAATCGCGCGAGTGAATGGAGTGGAGCAGGCAAGTCTCATTGTCATTACACCNTATTGCTCACGAAGCTGCTTAATTTTCAGAGCATGGGAGACGTTTTTGGTGTTTCTAGTGCTCTACACAGCTTGGGCGTCGCCTTTCGAGTTCGGTTTCTTGCAAAAGCCACGAGCACCTCTCAGCATTCTCGACAACATAGTCAACGGGTTCTTCGCCATCGACATCATCTTGACATTCTTCCTTGCCTTTCTTGACAAGACCACTTATCTTCTTGTCGACGATCCAAAGAGAATAGCCTGGAGATACGCTTCGACTTGGCTTGCTTTCGACGTTGTGTCCACGTTTCCTTACGAAAGCTTCGGGAGCTTCTTGCATGAGAGCATTCAGGGATACGGTATCTTCAGTATGCTTCGTCTTTGGCGTCTTCGAAGAGTCAGTAACTGTTTCGCCAGGTTAGAGAAAGATAGGAGATACAGCTACTTCTGGGTTCGATGCACGAAGCTGCTTCTTGTTACTCTTTTTGTGATTCATTGTGGTGCATGCTTCCTCTACTCCATTGCTTCACATTATCCAGACCCGGCCAAGACGTTCATGGCACTAACAGACGAAAACTGGAAACAGTCTCCTCTCGCTGTCCAGTACAACACGGCCATGTATTGGTCTATAACTACATTCTCAACCACAGGATATGGTGATATACATGGTGTTAACTCAAGAGAGATGACTTTCATTCTTTGCTACATGGTCTTTAATCTTGGTTTATCAGCTTACATCATCGGTAACATGACTAACTTGGTTGTTCATGTGACCAGCCGCACAAGAAAATTCGTAAGTTTATCTATTTACATGTGTAGTATTTGCTAATGTGAAAGATGTTGTAACTGAGGTTTTGTTTTCAGAGAGATACCATTCAAGCTGCTTCAGGGTTTGGTCAGAGGAACAACTTACCAGTTCGTTTGCAAGATCAGATGGTGGCTCATTTGTGCTTGAGGTACAGAACAGACTCAGAAGGTTTACAGCAGCAAGAAATCATCGATTCGCTACCGAAAGCTATTCGCTCAAGCATATCTCATTATCTGTTCTATGAAGTTGTAGACAAGATTTACTTGTTCCATGGAATATCCAACGATCTTCTTTTCCAGTTGGTATGTTGATGAGCTCATAAATCGTCTAACGAAATGGTTCGCTTGAAAGTCTTTAAACTTTACTGTATATTTCATGTAGGTCACGGAAATGAAAGCAGAGTATTTTCCTCCAAAAGAAGATGTGATCTTGCAGAATGAAGCACCAACAGACTTTTACATATTGGTTACAGGAGCTGTTGTAAGTGTTTTGATTTCTAGTTTTACATATGGCGTCAGATTTCTCGTACTATCCCTTACGCATTCCTCTATCCCGCAGGAGATAATCGCGCGAGTGAATGGAGTGGAGCAGGCAAGTCTCATTGTCATTACACCATTTTAAGTACTCTGATTGTGTGTTCTTCTTTGACATTGTTGTTGTGTGATGCTTTTACAGGTAGTTAATGAAGCACAGAGAGGAAATGTCTTTGGTGAAGTTGGGGTGCTATGTTACAGGCCACAGCTGTTTACTGTTCGTACTAAGAGATTGTCTCAGTTGCTTCGTGTGAACCGTACCACACTCTTGAATCTTGTTCAAGCAAACGTAGGAGATGGAGCAATAATCATGAACAATCTTCTTCAGGTATGCATGAAGTTTCTCTTGTTCTTGATTAATCAAACTTGAGTGTTAAGATTTGGTTCCATGACACATAGATACGTTGTGGTTGATGCATGCAGCATTTAAAAGAGTCGGAAGATCCAGTGATGAAAGGAATCTTGGCTGATACGGAACACATGTTGGCTCAAGGGAAAATGGATTTACCTCTCAGCTTGTGTTTTGCTGCAGCCAGAGGAGACGACTTGTTGCTTCATCAGCTACTTAGACGAGGCTCAAGCCCTAATGAAATGGATAAAAACGGTCGAACCGCGCTGGTAAGTCCCCGGAACATCCTTCATTTAGTGTAGAAATACCAAACTTCCTAAACTTCTTTCTGTATATCTCAGCATATAGCAGCATCAAAGGGAAGCCATTACTGCGTCGTTTTACTTCTTGAACATGGAGCAGACCCTAACATTAGAGGTAAGTAATCGAAAACGTCTCACTGTGTAAGATCATGTAGTTTGTTCTATTGATAGATCAATATGGCTTGTGCACTGTTTGCAGATTCAGAAGGTAACGTGCCATTATGGGAAGCAATCATAGGAGGACACAACGCAATCGCTAAACTCCTTGCGGAAAACGGAGCAAAGCTAAGCACAGACTCAGTGAGCTATTACTCGTGCTTAGCCGTGGAGAAGAACAACTTAGTAGCACTCAAGGACATCATCAAATACGGCGGAGACATCACACTCCCTGACGGAAACGGAACTACAGCGTTACACAAAGCAGTCTCAGAAGGACAAGTAGAGATTGTGAAGTTCTTGTTAAGCAAAGGTGCTGATTTGGACATGCCGGATTCTTACGGTTGGACACCTCGAGGTCTTGCTGAGCATCAAGGCCATGAAGACATCAAGACGTTGTTTCATAATCACCGGCCTGTAGAGAAGAAACCGAAAGGTGTACCTGGAACACCTGAGACTCCTGTTCCTGGGACGAAGCCATTGATGAAGCATAGCAGTGAGCCTACATTGCCACATTCAGGTGAGATTCCTATGGTTCAAGAGGGAGGCCAGCTTGTTGTTTCTCAGAGACGGAAGCTAAGTAACTTCAGAAACTCGCTCTTCGGATTCATTTCAGCTGCCAACACAGGTAAATTGTCTCAGCTCTCCATTATATGATCTCTATTACAGGTTGCTTCCTATTCAAGTAACAAATAGGTCACATTAACCCTAAAAACTAAACCCTAACCCTAAACCATGGCTCCCACTTTTTATTATAAACCCTTAAATGGTGTGGTCGAAAGAAATTGGCTATTTTTGTCTTCTTGACATGGTATTGAGGCATTTTTAGATACTCAAAAACTTGGTTTCGTTTCCTTTTTTCAGGTGATGATGGAGGAGAAACTACAAGAAGTCCAGCACCAGCAGGTATAGGAGGAGGTGCGTTTTATCCGGTGAGAGTGACGATTAGTTCGTCGGAAAACGGTGAAACTGGTGGAAAAGTGATATTGTTACCGAATTCCATGGAAGAGCTATTGGAAATTGGTGAAAAGAAGATGGGTTTCGTGCCAACTAAAGTACTTACGAGAGAAGGAGCCGAAATTGACGATATCACTCTTATCAGAGATGGTGATTTTCTCCTTCTTGCAAGAGATTCTTGATTCACATGCAACTAAAGTACTTACAAGAGAAGGAGCAAACTCTCTTTCGGTTTTGTTTTATTTTATTTAACCCCAAAAAGAAATCTAATTTTGTTTAACTAAAGTCTCAAGCCACACTGGAGTTGGGATTTATAGTGGACAATGTAAGCGCCAATCAATTATTTGTTTTTGATGTGGCTTGACACCATTTTTTAGATTTTTGTTCGTCTGTATATACTGTATATATATATATATATATATATATATTCACATGTTACAAAACAACAATAACGTTTTCTTCAAAAACAAAATATTGAGATCTAAATGATTATATGTTCAAAAAGTAGTTAGGAATAACTGTTTACTTGCCAATTTTAAGTTACTATTTACACATGATTTTTAAACCCGAAAGATTAACAGATGAGAGATTCGAGATACAAACCCAAAAGAGTAAATGAAAAGAGAATAAATTATGATTATGTGAACTAGACATAATAATAATTATCTTCATCCCTTCTTGCTTCTTGATTCGCTTTTTCAAGTGCGACAAGTTTCGACATTTTCTCATCATATCGACGCGTTTCTAAATCGCTTTGTCTTTTCCTTTTGCCTCCTGGAGGTTTCTTGATGCATTGCACTAAACTTGGAACATAATAGCATATTTGTGACCAACACCCTGTGCCGACTTCGAGATCCACTTCCCTTACGTCTCCAGCCTCTCCAAAGATAATAATTCTCTTACGGCCAAAGCCATTGTCATCGAAAACCACAGCGAGTTTCTTCTCCTCGTCGATTAAGAAGCTCCTTTTATAAAATGAAATCGTATAGTCAACGACTGACCGCTTATCCACAGTCAAGAACTTTCTCCACGACAACTTACCGGCCTCAATCTTAGTCGTAATCCATATCTCAATCTCATTTGATCCCTCATGCTCAAGTAAAACCCCAAGCTTCTCTTCTCTAACACAAGATATGTTCACCGTGTCTACATCCGAAGCGTTAAACGGCGGTATATGCAGAAGCGGCCCAAATCTCTCGCGTGTAAAATCAAAACAAACCAAGTGATATGAGTTCTGTTCTCTAACACGCCAGTAAGTGGTTCCCTTGAGAGAAACCCCAAAGGAGTTTAAATGTGATATACGCCAGTGTGGAGTGACATCAAGAGTCATCCATAAATCAGAGTCAAAATCGTACATTTCATACCACGCAAAGCGGTTGGCTGCACTGCCGAGGTCTATAAACCTCAAGAGTTTGTGGCTACGACAAGATTTGTTATTCTTATTCACGTATCCAAGAGCGTACGTATACCTCTCCTGTAGGCCTCGTGCGAGGTCAGAATAATATCTGGGTGTTATAAACCTTGTTTGCCCTAAATACGGATTCCAAACCACAAGCCTAGAATCGCTTCTCAAGACGCATAACAATAAACCCTCGCAGTGAAGGACTTGAAATATCTTGACTTTGACTTGTTCGTCAAGGCAAGTAAGTTTGCCTTTAGGCTCTATAGTTGGAAAAACGTCGTTGATGACAACACTCATTAGATAAACATCGTAATTTACCTTGACAATCACGTAAGACTCCCCTTCCTTTGTGTGGTTTTTGGATAAAGTGTCCCATCTTTTGCAAGTTGATCTCACTGATCTCATTGACTTCAGAGGAACTCTCGAGAGAATCTCCTCTTCCAATTCCCTTGGAAGATCTGACATCATCGTCATCGTTTCAAGTTGCAACTAGGGTTTTTCTTTTCGCACCTTATATATGAAGAAGATTAATAAAGGTGGGCCAGTTATGGGCTTCAGCATCTACTCGGGTTTTTGTTTTATCGATGTCACTGAATTTCCAACTTAGCCAAGAGGACAGATTTAAGATGAAACATAAGTCATGTTTTGTCTGTTGGTGTAGCCTCCTTGCGACACTGCAATCAAAGAAGACGTACATAATACATTACACTTATGGATACGATTTCGACATGAAGGTATGTAAGATAATGAAGCAAGAATCATTAAAACAAAGTTAGTGAAGATAGGAGATAAGTTTGGTTTTATGACTTGCAAGGGAATATAACTTGATAACCGGTCGGTCTTACGGGAATAAACCGGCTATAAAAAACTTGCGCCAGATATTCTAAACCGGTTTTAAACCCAAATTGGTTTTTTTTTTTCAATTTTTTTCTGGTCTGGATATTTCGTCGCCGTGGTGGAATCAAACCGGTCGAGATAAAAAGTGAAAGACGACGCCACGACGGCCGGCGAAGAGGAAAATCAAAGATCACCAGAACCTCTTAACTTCTTCCACTTTTGCTCCACAACAGTCGCCGAGGCAAAGCGATGTCGTTTTGGTCTCTCGTGTTTCCATCTCCTCCTTCCTTGTCTGCTAAACCCAATCCTCTCAATGGCTACGGGAAAATCGATCGTTTTCTCGTCCGAGCTTCTTCCGATGTTCCCGATTTCCTCTCTGCTGATTGGTACAACAACTTCTCATCGTTTCCCTCCTTTGATCCCTCTTAACTCAAATTTCTTTCATTTTGCGTTCTGGGTTTCGAGCTTTCGGTGTTAATATCACCATACGCTTCGTTCCAGATATAAAAACAAAACTTTAGCTTTGATCAATTGGATTCGAAAAATTTGGCTCCAAGTAGCTAAACAGTGACAAAAATTCGATTTTTGCAAAAAGCATTTGACAATATAAAAAGTTCGATTTACCCTGGTTTTTTACAGGTTGGAGAGTCGTAGGAAACGTCCTTTTGGCCCCAGACTTGATGTAATGATACACTCTTTGCTTTGTGTAAGCAAGTAATATTGTTTTGGTCTCTGTTATAGTGTATTGATCCGATTGGTTTTGTAATAGTTTAGTGCGGAAGAAGCTGTGGGACATCAGCTTGATGCATTGAAGTATAATGACCATCCTCGTGATGACTATGGTATCGAGGTCATGTACAGGGTAAACAAATTCTTGATCACAAAACCTTCCTTGATCACTTGATGCTTCTTTTGTGAATGTTTTGACATTTTTGTTGTTGTAAAAAGCAGTTTGCTGGATTCGACCCGTTTGAGAGATCTACTTATTTCGGTCCTTTCTTTGATCTTGGACAGGTTATATACCTTGAATCTTTCTTTTGGTGATCATATTGTTGTTCGCTACTAGCTTAATGAGCTCATCTTATGGCTTGGTGTAGTTTGAAAGGTTTAGGCGTATCTTTCATCATTCGTCTTACCGTGTGTTGCTTGGTCACAAGGATAGGAAAATCTTGAGCAGTTTGTTCGTTGAAGAAGTATGATCTCTTTTCTTTGAAGATGTTACAATCACTAATTCACTATAGAGCTTTCTTGTTCTCTTTTTGATAACCTCGGCTTTTTGGTAAACTGGTGTGTACAGAGTCGTTTCAAGCAGAGGGTTTGGATTCAAGGAAATCGACCCGAGGAAGAAGAGATCTTTGAATTCACAATGTTCCAGGTTTGATTCCTCTTGTCACTGTAGAGAATGGTTCATAGTATGTGTGGACTTTTGATTCGGCAATGATGATGACGAATATATATGAAATCGATGGCAGCGGATAGGCGGTTCATGGGATGGTTATTGGTTGACAGAGAGCTTGCTTCACGACGGAGATGTGTTCTCAGGAGGCATGGCTTACTGATCTTCATCTCTATTTTGGATTATGGATTTGTAAATGCGTTCATATATGTAAATGTTGGGACACAGTCCTGTAATTAGATGTTGCTGTGTAGGAAAGAGTTTGTATATTTTTCTTTCACATGTAAAACTCAAGAACACGTACGTAAATTGACTTTTATGTTCATTCAGTGACCAACAACAAGCCATATACGAACTCTTATTCTTGGTCACAAGGAGAGGAAAAGAATACAAACATGAAGAGGTTGGTTTCTGAGAGTGACTTATTCCCAAGTTTGAACATCACCAAGAAGATATGGATTCAAAGAAAATCTTGATTACATGATCGATCACACATGGTTTTTCTCCTACACAAGCGGTATTGATATAACAAGGAAGAAGATAAACAAAAGATGTGTAGTTGTTGTTGGATTTTGCAAAAAGGATCATAAAAGGTATTGAAGCACATGTCCACAAGTTACCAGTTTATACATACATACTATTTTGTAGGCCATGTAGCTTGAGCTGACATAATGATCCCAACGATAACACCAAATAAACCGAGAGCACTCCCAAAGATCTCAATCACAAGAATCTTCACGAACAGCGTCGAGTTCTGAGCATCAGACAACGCGCAACTACTTCCAATGATCCCTACACATAGCCTACAAAAAGCAAAATCCCCCACTAACAGTGAGATCTCCAAGTTACAAAGGTTCAAAAGAGGAAATGAGAGGACGAAGAAGAAGATAACATACCCGCATACGAGGTTTGCGAATCCAACTATGATTCCAGAAGCAAAGATTGCATATCCAGCTCTTAATGACTCAGGATCATACATCTTTGACGATGGCACACTCTCCAATTTCGTTTGTAATATGATTGCAACAATAACACCGTATATTGCTACAGCTTCACAAAAGATTACACTGAAAAACATTTCAAAAGAAAATCCTGAAATCAAATTTCCTTGTATGATTACAAAATTCATATTTCAAACGCAAAATCATAAAGCCAATTTGAGACGAATCATATGGTCAACCATTCTTCAATTTTGCTATGTTACAATCTAATTTACACAATTTCTCGAAGTCTTAAAGCCTTGATCGAAGATAATACCTGATGAGATTCTTAGAAGTGATACGAGGAGCTTCAATGGCGGCCCCGATCAAACTACTTCCGGTAATGTAAATTCCCCTAAACGAGAGAGTAGACAAGTCCGTAAACAGAAATGCTTCGTAAATCTCAATTGGGAGGGAGAAGAAGACATGACTTTTTATTTATTTTTACCAGGCGGCGCCGAGAACGGAGACGCCGATGGAGATGGCGATTCCGATGGCGGAGAACGTGTACGGAGAAATCCTCACCAGAGCCGCGCCCCAAGAACTCGCATGAGTTAAAGCCACGCCGGACATTCTCTCTCTCTCTCTCCCCGATATGATCTGATTATTTCTTTCTTCTCTCTCAAACTCGGAGGAGAAAAATTTACAGAACTTCCGATATGTGATCTGAGATTGGGGAAGTGTAGATCACGCGCTAACGAGTGCGCGTGAGCTCAGCGTACCAATTAAGTCGTGGTATCGGCCACGTAAGCGAATATGAAAGGCTATAAATTAAAAAAGCCCATTTCATATTGGACATGGTGGGCTTCGTGCCTGTCTGTATTACCGGGATAGTTTCGGCATTTCGAATACAGTATTTGGACAAGATTTTGCACATATGGCTACATCACGAAAATGTGGTCACCCATCGAAAAGTCAACAAATAAGAAACTTCCTTCAAGTTGTGTCCGAAGCAATGGAGAAACAACGGTGAAATTCTTGGAAGTAGTCACCATTTTGCTACAGCTATGTTATATGTGCAAATCTAGGGTTTCATAACGTAACGACGACAGTAAAGCCTCGCATCTCCTCTGATGTTTCTTCTCATCACCAATTAGTTTCCTTCTCTCTCACTCTATGGCTCCTTCTTCTTCCTCCTATTCTCGCAATTGGGTATATGATGTCTTCCCGAGCTTCAGCGGAAAAGACGTTCGCGTAGCTTTCCTCAGCCACTTTCACAAGGAGCTGGATCGGAAACTGATTACTGTTTTCAGAGACGACCAGATCGAGAGAAGCCGGTCGCTTAGTCCCGAGCTTGTACAAGCGATCAAAGATTCAAGGATCTCTGTGGTTGTCTTCTCCAAAAACTACGCCTCTTCGAGCTGGTGCCTAAACGAGTTGCTTGAGATCGTGAAATGCAAGAAAGAGTTGGGCCAAGCTTGTGATTCCTATTTTCTACGGTTTGGATCCTTCCCGCGTGAGGAAGCAGACCGGAAGCTTCGGCAAGATCTTCAAAAAGACTTGCAAGAACAGAACAGAGGACAAAAAGCAACAATGGCGCCAAGCGTTGACTGATGTAGCAAATACACTCGGATATCATTCTAAGAATTGGTATGTATAGTTCTAAAACAAAGCATTTTATATGTTTATGTATATTGAGGAGTAAGTGTTACCAACTTGCCTTGGTACTTGTTGTTTCATTCTTGCTATGGACAATGAAGCAGAAATGATCGAGGAAATCACCAATGATATTTTGGGTAAGTTGAAGTTAACCTTACCAAAGGATTTTGATGACTTTGTTGGAATGGAAGATCATATCGCAGAGATTAGTTCGCGGCTGCGTTTGGAATCAGAGGAAGTGAAGATGGTTGGGATATGGGGTCCTTCTGGAATTGGCAAGACGACAATCGCGAGAGCTGCGTTTAATCGGCTCTCTTGTAACTTCCAAGGTAGCGTATTCATAGACAGGGCTTTCGTATCTAAGAGCAGGAACATTTATGCAAGAGCCAACCCGGACGACTATAACATGAGGCTGCACTTGCAAAGAAATTTCCTCTGTGAAATTCTAGGCAAAAGGCACATAAAAATCGATCATTTAGGTGCGGTGGGAGAGAGGCTAAAGCGCAGGAAAGTTCTCATTGTTCTTGATGATTTGGATGATCAAGTGGTGTTAGATACTTTGGTTGGTCAAACTAATTGGTTTGGAAGTGGGAGCAGAATCATTGTGGTTACAAAAGATAGGCATTTTCTAAGATCCCATGGGATTGATTGTGTTTATGAGGTTGGTCTCCCGGCTGAGAACCTAGCACTAGAGATGTTGAGCCGGTATGCTTTCAAGCAAAGATGTCCTCTCGCTGGTTTCACTGAGCTCGCAGTTGAAGTTGCAAATCTTTTTGGATATCTTCCTTTGGGTCTTAAGGCTTTGGGTTCGTACTTGAGGGGAAGAGACAAGGAGTCTTGGATCATGCATGGTCTTCGAAAAGGCCTGAACAAGAAACTCGAGGAAGCACTGAGAGTTGACTACGAAGGGCTAGGTAGCAAGAAAGATAAGGCGATATTCCGTCACATTGCTTGTTTATTGAATAATGTGGAGATCAATGACATCAAGCTGCTTCTTGAAGATAGCGGCTTAGATGTTAATACCGGTCTTGACAACCTACTTGATAATGCTCTAATACGTGAAAGATGGAATGTTGTGCATATGCACTGCTTAGTGCAAGAAATGGGTAAGGAAATGGTACGCGCACAGTCTAAGAACCCTACAAAACGAGAGTTCCTAGTGGACTCAAAGGATATTTGCGATGTACTTGGTGGTAACGTTGTAAGTGCTTCCTTTAATAACATACTATATAGTATTATATTTAAGGCCTTGTTGTAGTTACTTGTTAAGATAGTGATTTTACCTCTCCACTTTGTTTTATTTTTCCTAGGTTGCTGAAAAGCTTTCTGGTATATCACTGAATCTATCAGAGTTGGAAGAGTTCCGTATGGAGAAATACGCGCCTCGGGTATTTGCCCCCTAAACTCAGATCACTCTGTTGGGACAGGTACCCTTTGAAATGTTTGCCTTCAAGTTTCCGTGGTGAAGATCTCGTTGTGCTCAAAATGCGGAACAGCAAGCTCGAGAAGTTGTGGAATGGAGCTCAGGTAAGTTTGAAGAGAAATAGTTATTATATTTTTTTGCGTCATGCATGATATTTAGTTTTAGTGTAACTTTCTTCATGTTTGCTCTGTTTTTTTTTTTCTCCTCTACAGTCGCTTTCATTGCTCGAGCATATGGATTTGCGGGGATCTACATGGCTGAAAGAAATCCCAGATTTGTCAATGGCCACCAATCTCATGACGCTGGATCTCAGAGGTTGCCAAAGTTTGGTGGAGCTACCAGGAAGCATTTTAGAATGGAATAACTTGGAGCTTCTTCCAAGAAGCATCAACCTAGAATCTCTCTATCGGCTTGATCTCGGTGGATGCTCACGGTTTAGGATCTTTCCGGATATCTCAAGGAACATCTCATTTCTTATTTTGAACCAAACAGCGATCGAAGAAGTTCCTTGTTGGATCGAGAATTTCTCTAAGCTCATAAGCCTAGATATGTGGGGTTGCAGAAAGCTAAAACGTATATCCCCAAACATTTCTAAGATGAAACTTCTTGAAAAGGCTGATTTTTCAAACTGCGAGGCATTGACTGAAGCGAGCTGGCTTGACCATCCAAGTCTGGAAGTAAATACTCACACGAAGTTGCCAGTGCTCAATTTCATCAACTGCCTCAAGTTAGAGATCAAGAAGCTCTCATTCAACAATCAGTCTTCAAGTACTTGATCTTACCAGGTGGACAAGTGCCTTCATGTTTCACCACCCAGGCTATCGGAAGCAGCACTCTTGTTATCCGTCTTCTTCAGAGCTCTCTCTCTCTCAAAAGGTGTTGAGATATAGAGTTTGTCTTGTGGTTGATGCCCAAGAACCGAAGCGCACAAGGGATGGTCCTGTTACCTCTAGCTGGGTGTGTTGTCACTTCACTTGCAAAGATGGGAACACGTTTCCTTCTGCTAGTTTTCGAATCCCAATTGATTTGCCGCGTCGGATAGATAATCATTTGCTTATATTCGACTGTTGTTTCCCTCTGAGCAAACACAATGATCCGCTGCTTGAGCTTGATACAGAGATACATTTCACCAGTGACTCACTGTGCAAGATAAGAGGATGTGGTGTACGACTCTTTGAGGCTTTTCCATCGCTGAATCTTCGTGTAATTGTTTGGAAAGGAGATGCAAGTAAATTTAATAGTGTTCTTGGCAAGAAGACTGAACAACACGGTGAAGAGACAGAGAGAAGCAGGAAACGAATCAAGGTAACTAACATTTTTTTCAAGATAAGTGTTAACTATTTCTATACAGTAAGTTCACACTGGATTGTTCCATTTTGCAGATAACATGAAGGATTTAATCGAGAAAGCCAACCGCAAGGAACACAGAATGTCACTTTGAACCTAAGATGATAAAGGCCAATCCATATCTCCCCACAATTTGTCAATAAGTTTTCAGGTAATCCCAAAATCTCGCAAACACATCCTATGTTTCTGTAGTACCGTATCCATTGTGAGCAGATCACATTAACCTGTGAATCTGTAGACTACACAACTTCAAGAATCTGTAGACTGTAGTCTGTAGTAGTGGTAATTTTATTCCTGTGTGATTTTTGGCATCCTCTCATAGTGCTCCATGTGTTCTCTTGCCATGGTAAAAACTGTTACAGATTATTGTAGTTGGAAGGAGCATGAAATATCTAATCAAGAATCTAGAAAGCTTGCAGAAGCTTTTTGATTAACGCCAAGATGATATAGTTTGGTCATGAGAATGGTGTTTCCAAGTTAAAAATATGGATGAATCGTCGCAGAAAGAGGTGGTTAAGAGTGAGTGAAAGTGTGTATATATATTCTCTGCTTTATTTTGTAGCTTTCCTTGTACAAAGTTACGAGCTTTGATTGTGTATTATTAACGGATCTTAAATATATCTAACATTTGATTGTTGACCTTTGTATATTCGGTTTTTTTGTCAGGTTCAAATGCACTAAAATATTAACAAATTCGTGATCATTCACGGTGTCCTTAATTTGAAAGCTTCTACAAGATTTTTAGCTTCTTAGTTAGATATTTCATGCTCCTTACAACTTCAAGAATCTATAAAAATTCTACAAATCATATTTTTTTGTACTAATAGGCTGCCTATTATACGTGGACAGACTTAAAGGAAATAGTACAAATATACTTGTGGTCGTGTACTTATAGTGCTTCATCTCTTGCCAAACATGTGATCGTGCTTGTTTATATATCTATGAACGTACAAATACTTCTCGTATAGTTCGAGCCAGTAATTACGGCGTGTGTGTCTTTTACTCTTTGGGAACTCCATTGACCCTGGTTCTGATCTAGGGGGAAATGTAGATCACACGCTAACGAGTGCGCGTGAGTTTTATACCAGTCAAGTCGTGCATGGTATCGACCACGTAAGCGAATATGAGAGGCTATAAATTAAAAAGCCCATTTCAGATTGGTCTTTTGGTGGGCCTCGTGCTTCTTTATTAGAAGTACATGAAATGACCAAAATTCTAAAGAGAAAGTGTTTGGCAACAGATTTAATGAGGGTCAATTTAGTACATTGTAATGTTTGGATACAAGAATAAGAGAAAAAACTATTTGGATAAAAAAATAAATGGAAAATATTGTTTGGATACAAGAATAATAACTTAAAACAAACCAATGGTTTAGAAAACTCCCGTTTTCCAGCTCTTAAAAATCTGCAAAAAAAAAAGATTTAACATAATCTAACAATAATACAAAATCGATAGAATATGTTTTTTGGATTTTCGGATTTTTATAGACAAGTTCGGGTTTGGGTGAAAATCTTAAGACCTAATTTTATAGAGATATAGAAATTGTTCGGGTGCTTTGAAATTTTCTCTTCGGGTTGGGTTTGAGTTTGTTTTTTTCAGTTTAGGGTTTTCCGGATTTTTGGGATTTCGGGTTTTCGGGTTTAGATATATTAAAAAAGTTTGAGTATTTTAAAATTTTGATTAGGGTATTTGGGTCGGGTTCAGGGTTTTCAAGATTTTTTTTTATTTCAGATTTTTGGGTTTAGACATATTAAAAAAGTTTGAGTTTTTAAAAATTTTGAATAAGGTTTTCTTGGTCGGGTTCGGAATTAGGGTTTAAATTTTCTACACAAAATCAGAAAATCACACCGCACAAACGTGCGGGTACTCTACTAGTATATATACATTTCCTCGGTTGATGGTGAAGAGGCCATTTAAAAAGCAAAACCCTAAACCTTTTCACACAAGAAAAGAAAAAGAAAAACCTAAACGATACTGAGAGCCACCTTTTGGCGTTTATCAATGATGAAGCGTTTATCAAAGACGAAGATACCGGAACTTCCATGGGATTTGGTTGAGGACATACTCTGTCGAGTTCCAGCCAAATCTGTAACACGATTTCGATCTACTTGCAAACAATGGAACCGTTTAATCAAAGACAAGGATTTCGCAAGAAAACACTCTGGTAAAGCCCAAACACAGTTTCTAGCTCTCGTATTGACCCATGACTTCAATATTCATCCGTTAAGCATCAATCTCCATGGAACTACTCCATCCGTTGAGGTTAAAAATGAGCATCTTAGCCTACCTGATCCGCATTCTATCAATGTGTCAGCTCACTTCCAAGTCTTTCGTTGCGCTGACGGATTCTTGTTATGCACGTCTAAAGACGAAAGGAGAATCTTGGTTTGGAACCCTTGTACAAGCCAGACCATTTGGATCGAAGTCGGCGATCGTTGCAAGCATGGCCGTCACTTTATTCTCGGATACCACCAAGAAAACAGATACAGTGAAAAGATTTACAAGATCTTGAGCTTTACTCCTGGTTGCAGAAATTGGGAGATCTACGACTTTAGCTCTGATTCTTGGAGGTTTCTTAAAAAAGATATCGCTCCAGGCTGGGAATTTGGACACTTAAATAACCATGGCGTGTCTTTGAAGGGAAAGATTTACTGTTTTGCTACACGACTATATGAATATCAACGCGGCAGCATATTCTTGCTCAGATTTGACTTTTCCACAGGGAAAGCATCATCTGAGCATGTTGAGCCTCTTCCTTATTTGCATCCTTATCATCGTTATAGAACTTTGAATCTTTCCGTTGTTAGAGATGAGAAGATTTCCTTGTTATTAGAGACTTATGATACACCCAAGACTGAAATATGGGTGACAGGTAAGATTGGTGAGAACAAACGGGCGTCGTGGAACAAAGTCTTAGCATTTGATTTGGCCTATAGTTTTATTTCGGGTTTTGATAGTTTCTTGCTCGACGAGGTGAAGAAAGTCGCAGTGTGTTGTGAGAGAACCCACGACGTGGAAGACCTTCCCATACACAACGTGGTAGAACTTACCATACACATAGACAAGATACACATTGTTGAGGAGGATGATAGATTTACAACAATGGATATTGGAACCGGAGAAGATCCGGCGGATTTGTGTTTGCCAGTTATTATTCATTTTGTTCCAAGTTTGGCTCAAATCGAGCTGGTTGGAGGAGGCAAGACAAGAAACAGACTCAAGATGTAATCTCTTTGTCTCTCTTTTTTTTATTTTTTTATTTCGTGTGTTTCTTTGAATTTAGTCATGTTCCCTTTATTTTTATTGTGTTTTCTTAGTTTATCTTTAGATATGTTCTGTGAATGATCCATTGAACAGAAATTTCAATTGCCTATAGTGTTATTTGCTTCAACATATTTTTTGAGTTTCATGTTCAAATCATGTCTCGCGCAGAAAGATGTCTAAAGAATAGAGAGTTACGTTTGATTTCAAGCTTTTCTAGAAAAATGAACAAGTGATTCGTGATAAAAGCATGCATGTACAAGGCTTTCTCATTGTATCCAAGTGCTAAAGAGTATAGTCATCGGTTCTTTAACTAGATGTGATAAAAAGCAGGGGTTTCAAAAGGCTTAAACAATGGTTAGTGATTATTAAACTTGGAAACAGCTAGGGTAATTACTTTACTATTAGCGCCTAGTGTTGTAAACATAAGACTAAAGCCACTGAAAACAAGTTTATTTATCTTTATGACCATTTTTTGAACTTGGAAAAGTCTGAATGCAAAAAAAGAAAAAAACAAATTATGTTTGTGACAAAGAAACGAAGGAGAAGAAGAAATTTCGATAGAGATGTTTGTGGCCAAAGAAAAGAGAGAAAATAAAGATAAGAGAATGTTAATAGATAATCTTCAGCTTTTCGAGTTTTAGCATTGTCAATTTCTTTCTTCTTCCTCTTCTGAGTATTGCTTACATGTAAAAGTGATTAGATGGATTCTACAGGGCTGAGCAGGAAGTTCAAATCCAAGTCAACCACAGAGCCAAAGGGATATCCTGGGATGTGGCAGTTTCCTAAAGATCCGACAAGTGTTGCATCTACAGAGTCCCTGAAAGACTTCGTAGAGTAAACACAGAAGCATACACTCCCCAACTAGTCATCATTGGACCTCTTCACCATCATATGAAATCCCAAGCTCTCAGGTCTCTTGGAGATATCACAAACACAAAGTCAGTGGGCTACGTAAATTGGAAGAGCATAAGAAGATCTACCTTGCTAAATTCGCAGAAAGGTTTGATGGGAATGAAACCATTGATGGATTCAGAAGAACAATCAAAGAAGAGGAAGAGAGAATCAGAGAAAGCTACTCGGAATCAACGACATGGATTGAATCTTCAGAGTTCGTGGAGATGATCCTGCTCGACTCTGTTTTCATACTAGAGTTCTTTTAAGGAAGGGTTTTAGAATTCGTGGAGTGAAAACAGGGGATCCTCTCATTGACGAGCCTTGTCTTACAGAGACAATCAACAATGATCTCATGTTGCTAGAGAATCAGCTTCCTTACTTTATCCTCCATAATCTCTTCCATCCAATCTTCAGTAGATCGTCTCGAACAGACATTCCGCGAATAATCATCACTGCTTTGGATTCAAAATAAGATCGGAGACGACTCAAATTTCAGTCATTTCACTGATTTGGCCAGATGTGTCCGCGTTGAATCACTTCAAGGGCCTGCTCAACGGGAATTCAAACACTTTGAACATATGTTTAACGCGGATAAGCTACATAGTGGGGGAGTGAAATTCGAGGCGTTGGAAGAAGAGTTCCTGGAGGTGAGATTTGAGAATGGTTGTTTAAAGATGCCTCGTCTTTTGATCCATGATACTTCGGAGATGACTTTGAGAAACATAATGGCGCTTGAACAATGCCACTACCCTTACACCGCACATGTCTGTAGTTACGTGACTTCCTGGATTACCTCATCGACACCGATAAAGATGTCGAGTTGCTTGTCGAGAAAGGTAACCCTTTTATCCTTTATATAGGTCTATGGTGTGTGTGTGTGTATTATTGATTCGTGATTTTTGGTTTGTTTTGTAAGGGATAATAAAAAACTGGATTGGGGAACCCAGTTCGGTTGCAAAGATGGTGAACAAGCTCTGTTTGGGCACCATAAATAATGGCTCTTACTATTATGATATAGCGGTTAAAGTCAACGCTCACTATTCAAACCCACTCACTAGGTCACGCCCATCCTGAAACGCGTTTATTTCGGTAACATGTGGACTTGGGACGGCCACTGTCGCCGCCACGTTACTATTGCTGATGACACTCGTCCAGACGGTTGCTTCAATCATTCAGGTTTTGCAGAACGCTTAGACACGCCGTTGCATTTCTCTCCCGTTCTTCAAATCATTTGTGTTGTGCGTCTAAATAATCTGTTTGTGCTCATAAGTTATACTAGTATTATTGGGAAAATAAACTATTGATTATAGGGCAATACTCACATCTACCATGGACTAATTTATACTAATATTTGTAATACTAGATAACAGTAGCTCACTAAATTCTCTGTGAAGTTGCCTTGTTATAATTTTCTCATGTTATAAATTATAATCGTCGGACTTGCAGCAAAACAAATGAAAAATAAAATCAGACTGATATATCATTATGCAAAAGTATAGCAAGTTTAGTATGACAAAAGCAAATCCTACCAAACAAGAATTTATTGTATGCCGCCTCATTTTATATATAACTTAACTCAAATTGCAACAACTTAACAGAATGCGGAAAAAAATCTCCAAAACCCAAACTATAATAAATTTGTAACAAAAGACAGAACAAAACAGATAAATAATAAAATCATTCATCACCATCTCCACCTCCTCCAATTAGCTATCCAAACCATCCAAGTAGCTCTGTAAATCTTTTAAACCTTCCGCCGAGAAGCTCCTTTGAACCCTCAACCTCGGTGCGACCAAGTTCGGTGGCGGCTGCGGCTGAAGACAAACAACCACCGCCGTCACATTATCCCCACTCTTCCTCTTCAAAGCCTCCTCAACCAGTTCTTTACTACACATGACCGGGTCATTGTGCTCTTGCAGTCTCCTTCTAGCGAAATCAACAGCGTTCTGGCTCATGAACACATCCCAAACCCCGTCGCACCCGATTATGAGGAACTCGTCCTCTTCGGTTAGTTTGGTTGTCATGAGCTCAGGCTCTGCAATGAGAGGTCCACCGTTAGAACCGTCTTTCTTCTTCTTCATGCCTTCCATATGAAAGTCACCGAGCGCACGAGCCACATTTAGTTGCCCGTTTAGATACCCGTCGTATATATATCCACCTGATGCCTCAATGCGTCTTCTCTCTTTACTGCTCATAGGTTTGTGGTCTTTCGACATTTCAATGGCCTTTCCCTGACGGGACAATACTGCTCTACAATCTCCAGCATTTGCCACAACCAATGACCTGTGACACAGTAGAAAGAATCGGTTTCACACCGAGAAAAACAAAATAGTATCAAAATGACACAGGACTATAAGACCATAACTTGTATATCAAAGCTCGAATTAAGCAGAGGAAGAAATGTAAAGCTGAGACGATAACTAGCATATAGTCTCAGCTTCAAGCAAAAGAAAAGATGTAAAACTATCCGAGCATTGATATACAAACTTCAACCAAAGGAAGAAATGTAAAGCTGAGAAGATAGCAGCAGAAAATACAGGCAGAAAGTAACAACTAAAAGCAAATTAGTGATACAGGATTGTTCTCAAGGTCAAGATTATGCACACTACGCAGTTGAGGATAAGATGCATCTGTTCCTCAATACTTTCTTCATTACTTAACCTAAGTGCCTAATATAGAACAACTAATATAGGAGACAATGTCCTGCACACTGCGCTAGCCTAAGTGCCTAACTATGCCGTCTTTGGTAGTTGTCATTTAGAGTTTAGGTTATACGTAGCTGAAAGATAATAAGAGTTGAATGAGCAAGCAAACCTGCCAAAAAGAATAGCTGCAAGAGCAGTAGTTCCTGAAGAAAGGCTCCCATCTAATGCACAAGCCTCTGAGAAGGCCGTGTCTGTTTGAAGAAACGCCGAAGAAATCACCTTATCTATTTCACTAGGAAACTCTTGATCTTCAACAATGTACCTCGGTATATGGTGACACGCGAATTCCGCAGCATGCTTCCCACCATGTCCATCAAATACCTAACATAAACACACAAGATTAGAGATTCCATACCTTGAATGCTGAGAACATACCTAATGATTACAAGAAGAACAAGAATCAACAAACATACCCCGTAAAGGGCACTTGGTCCGTCTCCAGAGTTCTTGAGACCATAACTATCCATTAAATCATCGACGCATAGGTAAGCATCTTCCATGCTTGACCTAGAGCCGATATCAGACCATGCTCCAGAGCGCATAACAGGGACAAACTCAAACTCAGACTTGTTCTTGGCTAAAGTAAACTCGTTCTCAACAGATATATCTGACACCTTTGTCTTCACCTAACCAAGTTTTAGCAGTCAGAAAACCTCAAAAAACATCTCATAGCAACACATTAGAAACAGAGAATCGAATTCGGATGAAAGTTTATAGCCAAAAAGTACAAAGAGAGAATCGAATTGAGAGGCAAATACCTTTCTTCTAGGGTTTTCTTATAATTAACTTCGTGAATAATGTTCATAAACCCTAAGAGCCTTTTATACATTAGGCTAAAAAAAGCTAATATTTCCTATTTCGTGCAGTTAAATTCCATTGCAATTTGCAACGGATAGCTTCAAAGCAGATTAGGAAACCAAAAATGATCAAAGCCAAAAACGAAACCAATTTAATAACAAAATTCAACTAATTTAAAGCACTCAGATGTTGCATTTAAGAACTTCTGCTAACAAAATGTCAAAATCCGATTAATTGATGGCAAAGTTCAATGCAAAGCAGTAATAATAAATCCGGGATTATCATAAAATTAAGTTTTGAAGAAAGGAATCTTACGAGAGATTGGTGTCGAACCAGAGACTTCTTATTACACGGCGCCAATAAGCGCTCGCCGTCGAAGCCCTGCCGGTATACGGCGACGGAGGAAGAAGAAGAAGAGAAGGAGAAAGGATTCGGCGGTTTGCCGCCGTAACTCGAACTCCCATTCTCCGGATCAGAAATTTCTTTAGTTTCCTCCATTACGCACCATCATTGCATAAAAATTCTACAGCAATTAGCGAAAAGAGCAACCGAGTCAACCCTCCGAGTCAGCGACTTTATAACCGAGTCGTTTAAAGCGATTCTCTGAGAATGCAGCTAAGGTAAGAGATTCGTATACAGTGGATTCAGAAATCAACAACAAAATTGAATCAATTTGATCCAGAATCATAGAAATTCAGGGGTTTAAGCAAAGTTAGGGTTTTGTGGCAGAAATTAGACCACGCATTTAGAGAGAGAGAGAGAAGAGAGAGAAAACTGTTCGCCGGCGGAGGCGAGAAAAACGAGTCCGACGGTTATTTAAGAGAAAAAAGGAAGGTGCAACATTGAAACATGAAAACGTCGGCGTTTTTAACTTTGCTGAGATTTTCTTTTCTTTTTCTTGTGAGTTGTGACCGTTTTGAGACTATATGATAAAGAGATTAAAGAATCATCCGCGTGGTAATTGTTAGGAAATATTCGAATATTATTTCGCTATTAGAGACTTTTTGTGTAGATTTTTTCCGTGAAAGCGATGGTTTATCTTTTTTATTAATTAAATGGACCGACAGTAAACTGGTTGACGTGGGAGCATGTGATGACAGATGCTGATTGGCTATCATCCTCTAATTTATATATTTTCATGAGGCGTGATACGTGTCGTGTGTTTTTAATATATTGTTGAGAGGTAGCAAAAATATTCACGACTTTGTGTAATATGGGATCTAACTTTTCCAATACTATTGGATTGGGTCCATTCTTTTATAAGTTGAAGTTAGTTCTTTGGGCATGCACTTGAGCTTCAATCTGGGCCGAGAATGGGCCGACTTATTGTAGACTTTTAGTAGCAAGTACTTGAAGTTTTTCGTTTTGTACTACATGCATGTACATGTACTGCTTTCACTCGTTTCACATCCAACAGAGTACTACTCCAACACACAAAACTGAAAACTTCCAAAAATTATTGTGAGATTGAAAGTAGAAAAAGAGACAAAACTTAAAGGGCCCGATGAAAACTAATCCCACACAGTCATATACAGTATCTAACTTAAGAACTAAATAAACATCTATATTTACTTGGTCCAAATTTTTGATGTCTATAATAAACTTGATATGCAAGTAGTAGGAAATCAAAAAAAAAAAAAAAGAAAAAAAAAGAGAGAAGAGTTAGGTGATCCATATAAGAAAATACAATTCGATATGCAAGTAAATATTTCACTTTTAATTTATTTACAAAAGTTTTTCTGTACTACAATTTGTTTTTTAGAGGCTAGTTTTACACGTGGCTAAACACTTTCGCGTACACGTAATGAACTTCCAATTTACACGGAGAAACAAGCAGACCTGACACGTGTCACCACCGCACCGACCGGAGGCGCATCACCTTTACCAAGTCCGGCTAACTCCAAACGCCGATGACTCGACGGACGAGGAAGATTCTCCGGTACAATGGTCTCGAGCGAGTTCTCAAGCCATGGCGGACATGTCCTTTTGTCACTCCACCTCCGCGGTGTCACCTCTTTAACCGGAGCTTTAACAACCGCAGCTTCCACAGACGCCACGTCACTGATCTGAATCGTACCGATCAGGATACTCGCCGCCACGCCTAAAGCAAAAGAACCATTGTTCTTCCGTTGCTCTGTCTCATCCTCTGCTCTCCTCCTAAACTCGTAATAAAAATTAAAGAATAAAATGATTTTTGATATATGAACTGATTAGCGGCGAATAAATTGTTTTTGCTGAAGAAAAAAAAGAGATACCAAGAGATCCGTGATGTTGGCTTGACTAGTGGAGATGATGATTGTGTAGATTTGGAATCTATGAGAGGAAGATTCAGACAGCAGCTTATTCTCCCTGCCATTGTTTGTTCCTCTGTTTTTTCTTTTATTTTTTTCTCTTTAAACTGTGTAAAGCAAATTTGATGTCTCTCCCAATATATAGAGTGAATATGCCAAATCACAACCGTTTATTGTACAATTTGACTAGCGTGTTTCACATATTCTTCCGAGAGAAGCAACCACACGACATGTCAATGTTACTACCTCCTCCAAAAACAAAGATTACTAGGAACACAACCGAACCCGAGACTATTATCAAACAAACCAAAACGATTAGCAACAGCTCCAAAACTAGTAACACAAGCCTAGGAACTTGGATCCACTTGGTGGCAAGATGAGACAAATGTATTGAAGGAGCTAAGATGTGAACATGACTAATTAGGCTTTGACGCCACCTCCACGAATCAAGCAACCTTCCAACATTAGAACTCAGGCTGCCCACCAAGGCACTAACACAAGAAAATGACTTTAGAGCTTCAAAAATCAAAATGCATAAATTTTTTGGCAGGAGAACCATCATCAATCCAAAATGACTCTAGAGATCCTCACTGGTCATAACATAATGGAGTTTCCAAAATTTTAAAATATTGAGGGGTTAAAAAATTAATTACTGTTATTTCATAATTTGATTAGAGATTAGAGAAAGTTAATTATAGTATTGACAAAAACTCTTCTTCTCTTTCTCTCTCACACATCCGCCACTCTTTTTAGGGTTTTCTTCTTCACTATAACTCCGCCACTCTTTTTCCCTTCACGATAATAACACAGTCATGCTTCGCCTAGAGAGAGATCTCTCTTCCCATCACCGCCTCTGATCTCCATCATCGCCGATTCAGGTATCCACATCTCTTATGATTTCTCGCAATCTGTCCACTGTGAATTGAAAGTTTTAGATTTTCCTCAATGCTATCTTCATATTGATCTCGATTTATCCTTTACTTCTCTAAAGTATCGATTTTTCGATGACCCTTTTATTCATTTTTCATGTCGCTCTGATTTTGTTTCTCAAATTGCTCTAATCCATCCTCGAAATGTGACTACTGAATCCGCCTAGTCATTTCAATTTTGCAGCTTTCTTTGCTTACATTGCTATTGCCTGCTATGTCCAACAATCTCTTCCCTCAGCTATGCGTTAATGTCCCTCCTCCGGAGATGATTTCTAATCCGGAAGTGAGATTGTTCTCACAACCAATCTGTAACTATCAAGAACCTCCTGCAATGCAAGTAGGAACTCAGATCTCTGTGAGTCATGATCAAAACGTAATGATGCAGTCATCATTTGTTCGTAGTGGTGCTACTGTAGGATCTGGTTACATGGATACGACTCAGTTACTTGGTAAACGGAAATCGCCGGTGCAGCCTATCTTCAACGGCACTGCTTCTCCTCAATTGCTGTCTGCACAAAACAAACGGATGTTACCTACGGTGAATAAAGGCCCCGTGATGCCGGTGCAATCATCTTCTGTTTCCCCTAGAACACAGTATTTGCCTGCATCATTCGTTAAGAATGCTTCTGTTTCTTGCAACAAACCGGGGAAGCAAACTGCGGCGAGGGTTAAAGCTTCGCAGAAGCCGCTCCCGTCGAAGCATCAGAACGAATCATCGGAGTCTGTGAGGTCTAAAATGAGAGAGTCGTTAGCAGGTGCACTTGCAATGGTACAGTGCCAAATGGAGTCGAAAAGTTTACACATTGAGACTGGAGCTAAACCGCTTGAAGCTCATGTTAGTGAGCCAGTGTCCGCTGCTTCTGATGGAAGCACTGCAATGCTATCACTCGGTGATCTAAGTCCTGCGGGAGTTGGCTCTTTTCAGACAGTTTTGCCGGAGATTTTGACAAGTGGTGCTGAAGAAATTACTGGGGAAGGACCTGAGGCTGTGAAGCCTTTTCCGCAAGATAATGTTTCGTATAGTGACAATCTGTTTTCAAAAGATGATGATCTTCTGCAAGGGAATGACCTCTCTTGGGCTCTTGAGTCGGATTTAGAGTTTACAGAAACTTGTGGAGATGAAATGATTGGAGAATTGAGTAATGATGATGGAAGCCAGGAGAAATTGTTACTGGATCCGCAAGTTTTGGCGTTTAATATAGAGGCAGAGCTCTTTAAGCTACTTGGTGGAGTGAACAAGAAGTATAAAGAGAAAGGAAGATCTCTCTTGTTCAACTTGAAAGACAAAAATAATCCTAAACTCAGGGAAAAGGTTATGTATGGAGAGATTTTAGCAGAGCGATTGTGTTCCATGTCAGCAGAGGAGCTTGCTTCAAAGGAATTGGCAGAGTGGAGACAGGCGAAAGCCGAAGAGATGGCTCAAATGGTTGTTCTGCAGGATACAGAGGTAGATATCAGAAGCTTGGTGAGGAAAACACACAAAGGAGAGTTCCAAGTGGAAGTTGAACCAATGGATAGTGGCTCAGTGGACATCTCTGTTGGAATGAGTTCGCGTAGCTGGTCTCGACCAAAGAACACTAAGAAGAAAACCGCTTCCATCACTAAAGCACTTGGAATTACGAATGATACTAATGGTTCTAATGAGTGCACTGGCGCAAGTAACGGAGTCACAGTAGACGATGAGATGCAGGCTGCCACTGGATCTCTACCTCCAATTGTTTCTCTTGATGAATTCATGTTATGCATAGACTCAGAATCTCCATCTGACTCTTTGTCTACAGATACTGGAAAAAGTAATGATGCGGAGGCAGTTCTAACTTTGACACCACCCAAGGAAAGTGTTAATATTGATCTTGGTGCATCACCAGTTAAGGCTGAGGATGGTGACTTAGTATCGTCAAAGCCTTATTCTGATTCGAAATCTGAACTCACTCCTGTTTCCATTCCTGTGGGTGAACGAGTATGGGAAGGCGTACTCCAGTTTAGTGTTTCTTCTGCGAGCTCTGTCATCGGCATTCTGAAAAGGTTTGTAATCAAACCTATCTCAGTATTTCTTATATCGTTTGCATTTCCAAATTTTGGTTTGAATGGAAATGACTTCGCCATTTACAAACTTTCTGAGTTACAAGCTTTTTCATTGGTTTTCTGCAATCCATGTAGATACATTCGCATTGTAGGACAGTTGATTTATGTTAGTCTGTACATTTACTGATACAACGTGTAAAAACCTTAACTTTTTTTCTCTTGGCAGTGGCGAGAAGACTACTACTAAAGAGTGGCCTATGTTGCTTGAGATCAAGGGTAGAGTCAGATTAGATGCATTTGAGAAGTTCGTTCGAGAGCTCCCAAACTCTAGGAGCCGTGCTGTAATGGTATGACTCTTCTGGTGCACATTCATTGCTTTCAATTTTCACTTCCATGGAAAAGTTTTCTGCTTAGTTAAACTAGAAGTCACTGTTATGTCTGATAACTGTTAGCCCCTACCAAAGTTAGTAACCAGTGTAGTACTTAACCGAGCTTAATTGTGACCGGCTCTCCATTATTAAGGAAAGAAGAAGATGAGAAGTTTATCGGCTGATCTGATACTTCTTGTGAACCAGAACAAAGGCACAACTTATTTTTGGTAGAATAGGCCTCCATAGTCGAACATGTTGTGATGTTCATACATGTTTCTTCTTGATTCTATACGTATTATGATGAACACAGTTTCCCAGCATCTATCATGCGTACTTATATATATCTTCTCTTGTGTTCCAGGTTTTGTGTTTCGTCTGCAGAGAAGAGTGCTCCAAGACAGAACGAGAAAACATTTCCGAGGTATGAGCTTTTGGTATTATGTACAACTTATAGACCGATTTATATTATGTACTAGTTATTTTACTGTCTTCGTTGGTAACAGTTTTGGGGGTAATGCAGGTGGTGGATTCGTATGCTAAAGATGAGAGGGTCGGATTCGCCGAACCGGCTTCAGGAGTGGAGCTTTACCTTTGCCCGGCCCGAGGCAGAACCGTCGAGATTCTAAACAAGATTGTCCCAAGAAACCAACTTGATTTCTTGAAATCTTTAGATGATGATGGTCTTATAGGTGTTGTTGTATGGAGAAGACCACAATATAAAAAACCATCACTAGCATCATCTAACTCTCACAAGAACCACCATGAAAAGGGTTCTTCATTAACCACAATTAATACGTCTCGTTACAGAAACATGCTGCCACAGGTCAACAACCGCCATGACGATGGTGGTGGTGACGTGCCGCCGGGGTTTGGTCCAATGGCCATGGCTCGGAATGATGATGATGAGGATGACGACGACTTGCCTGAATTTAACTATTTTTCTCGTGGAGATGTTGTCATGAACCGGGCGAGACGGTCTGATTCTGTAAGAGAGCTTATTCATAAATATGGAAAATCTGAACCAATGTGGAACCACCAAGGTTTTAATGATGATGAAAATGACATATTACCAGAGTGGCAGCAGCCTCAACCAAACCCAAATCTTGGAGTTAATTATGTAAATGGTGGCTCGATGGTTAGACCACGTAGCGAGTGGTGGCCTCATGGTCAGGGTGGAGGATTTTAGTTGTTTTTTTTTTTGTTCCAGTTTTGAAATTTTTGTTTTGTTTTGTTTTGTTTTACTTTCATTGTAGCAGCACTAGCATAAATGCACTTCAAAATTGGTGATTCTGTCCTATCAATATACCCATTTATATAAGAAGAAAAAAAAGAAGAAACTTATCATATAAAATTGAATATGGTTCAAAACATCATCCGTCATTTATCGGATTTAAATTTTACCGATTACTCGAATAGGCGATTATGCCAAGAAAAAAATAAAAAAAAATGCGGACAATTTGAATTAAAGAAGGGAGGAAAACAATTAACACGCCAAAGAAGAAAGAACGCGCGCCTATAGGGAGAAAGAGCACTGTGGATCAAACTTGTATTGTCTCATCGGACTAAGTGGGATGCGATGAGCAGCGGAGGGAATTTCCCACCGAGAGGTCATCCATGGCGGACGCGGTGTTCCACCGGGAAACCGCGACGTCCGTCTTTGCTTTCGACACAGCGGCGGGACCTGATTTTGAACGGAGGAGATATCAGATTTCCAGTTCCACCGCCTATCAAATGGTCCTCCGTAGGTGCTGCTACTTTTTACACTTGTTCTTCTTCTTCAGCAGATGTAGCTTCTGATGCTAATTATCGATCATCGGTTTCCTCCAAACTCGACCCGGCGGTTCTGAACGGAGGAGCTATCAGATTTCCAATTCCACCGCCTATCAAATGGTCCTCCGTAGGTGCTGCTACTTTTTACACTTGTTCTCCTCCTGCAGATGTAGCTTCTGAAGTTGATGGTCTCGATGCTAATAATCGATCATCGGCTTCCTCCCGTTCCGACTCGGTGGATATTGCTTCTGTTGTTGATTCCCTCGACGCTAATTATGGATCATCGGTTTCCTCCAAACTCGACCCGGCGGTTTTGGCTTCTGTTGTTGATGCCCTCGATGCTAATTATCGATCATCGGCCGTTGCTGATTCTCAGCTGAAATACGATGTGTTTATTAGTTTCCGAGGACCAGATTCTCGTGATGATTTCGTGAGCCACCTCTACGACGATCTGCGTCGAGAAGGAATAGAAACTTTCATAGACAGTGAAAAGCTTGAGGCGGGAGAGGAGATTGAGCCGGCTTTATCGGATGCGATCGAGGGATCAAGGATCTCGGTAGTGGTTTTTACAAAGGAATACGCCTCTTCCAAGTGGTGTATGAGAGAGGTGGCCCAGATAATGGAGTGTAGGAGGAGCAGAGGCCAGCTAGTTTTGCCAGTCTTCCTCGGTGTAGAACCCAAGGAGGTTAGGTGGGAGACGGGGAGCTACGCTGTGGCCTTTTCTAGGCATGATAAGGCTCCCCAAGGATCACTATTAGCTGAGGAAGTAAAACGGTGGAGAAAAGCCATGAAGGAGGCAGCCAGTCTCTCCGGATTTGATTCCAGTGCAGTGAGGTACGATTCCATGTAAATAAAGATATTTGATTTTCTCAATTCTCATTATTCTTTGTTAATTATGTTAACTGCTGCTGATCCTATGAGTTGGTTTAGTCGTGAATCTCTCACAATTATTTCTTCACAAATCATCAGGTTCAGCGTTCAGGTTTTATTTCCTCACTCGCATTGTATCTAGTTTGTTTCAAGATCTTAGATTTTTTCGAAAACAATTGGTCTTTCTCTGTGGATGTACTTTGTTTAACTTGGCAAGCTTGTGCTATGTGACTAGAAGTAAGCATGTGCACCGAAGTCATCAATTACAGTATTTCATTTGCATTATTTTCTCAGTATTCTTTTTTTCTTTCTGAGTTTGTTTTTATTGTCTGTGCACTTGTAGGCCTGCTTCTAAGCTTGTGGATAAGATTGTTGCCCGCATTTTGGAAAACCTAGAGAGCAAAAGCTTGTTTGAAGATGAGGGCTTGGTGGGAGCTTATCCTCTGGTGAAGGAAGTGGAAAGGTTGTTGGAAAATGGATCAGATGAAGTGCAGACCATAGGGATATGTGGAATGGGTGGTAGTGGGAAAACTGCCATCGCTGGCGTTGTTTTTAATCGTCAACATCAAAAGTTTGATAGCTGCTGCTTCCTTGCAAATGTCAGACAAGAATTTGAAAAGCATGACCTTATTGGCTTAAGAAACAGGCTTCTCGGTCAAATCCTTGGTCAGCCTGATATAAACATATCTACACCTGACATTGGATCCGGCAATACAAGGAATCGTCTACGTCGGAAAAAGGTTCTTATTGTTCTCGACGATGTTTGGAGCATCACACAACTGGAGTTTTTGATGAAACAACCGACTTACTTTGGTCCTGGAAGTAGAATCATTATTACAACACGAGACATGGATATTATCAAGAATGTTGACGATAAATTCTCTATGATGGGACTATCTGACAGTGATTCGCTTAAACTGTTTTCATCTTGCGCCTTCAAACAGAGCTATCCTCCTGAAGAATACTTTCAACTGTCGATGAGGGCAGCTGATTATGCAAAGGGGCTACCTCTGGCTTTAAAAGTTCTGGGTTCTTTTCTCTGTAAGAAATCTGTGCTAGAGTGGGAAAGTGCACTAAGAAGATGTGTTAGTTCTCTAGATGAAGAAATCTTCAATGTACTCCGTGTAAGTTACGACAGACTCAATGATGAAGAGAAAACAACGTTTCTCAATCTTGCTTGTCTCTTCAATGGGGGAAAACGAAGTGACATAGCTGCTCTTTTGGATAGTTGTGGTATCTCTGCGGATATTGGGATACGTGCACTAGTTGATAAGTCGATGATTACCTTATCTAACGACAGGATTCAGATGCATGACTTGTTACAGAAGATGGGTAGAGAAATTGTAAAGCAGGAATCTCCTCGGGATCCCAGCAAACGCAGCAGGCTGTGGAACTTTGAAGAAGTCCATGGAATGTTTTTGGCTGATGGTAATTCCACCATGAACTGAAAATTTATATCACATTTTTTTTTTTTTTTTGAAAATGTAATGTAAAATTTATTCAAAAACCAAACTTTTGTACAAACGAGTGCAAACTAGTGACCGAGAGTTTCTTTACAAAACAAATTTTAGATTTTTAAGAGAGTTAGGCTCGAGAGCCAAACCAGAGTTGACGAGCTTCTTCATACTTGTAGTCCCTCGTGTCTCTGATAGATTGGATTCGGTTTCGAACAGTTTGGTCAATAAGTTTTATGAGTTGATTCGGAGACGAAGGGGCCTCCCCATGGCGCCGAGAGTTCCTCTCTCTTCAAACACTGTGAACCGCTGCTTGGAAAACGTACCTGGCAAGGGAAAGGGTAAGCCGATCTTGGCTAGTGTCGGAGAGGAGATGGATTAGATTGGTCCAGTCTGTTGTATAGCGACTTTTGAGTAGACCTTTGCTTAGCGCGTTCCAGACCTCTGTCGAGTATCCGCAAGAGAAGAAGAGGTGGTCTCGAGTTTCCATTGGGGCTTGGCAGAGGACACACGCGGTGTTAAAACCCGGAGCCCATACATGAGTTCGGTCGCATGTCGATAAGCGATTGTGAACCGCCAACCAGACACAAAAAGAGAACTTCGGAGTAGAGTGAGTGAACCAAACCCCTCTATATCAAGAACTCTCTACACCTCCTTCCCTGATTAACATGCACGTTTTCTTGGAGTTGAAAAACGACCTGTACTCGTCCACCTTTGTTTTCCAGAGGGGAATATCTTCCTTGTTTACGTCTCCACGTGAACCACATAGATTTAGAGCATTTGCTATCTAAGTTAATAAGGGTGAGCGGTGACGTCTTCTTCTTCGTGATGTTAGAGCTTGAGCATCTGTTGCATATCTAGGGATTCCCATGTCGATGAGACCTCTCTCTCCTGTGACTTGAAATAGCTGGCTCATGTGAGACCAGTTATCAAACCTCCATTTTGAAAAAATCTTTCGCCTTGTCTCTGTATTTCAGGAGCTTTCTCCACATCCAAGATCCCATACTTGTATTTTCACTTACCGACCAGAAAGATCCCTGCCGAATGAGATATGATTTGATCCAGTTGACCCAGAGCGAATCATGAGATGAGAGTATCCTCCAAACCAGTTTAAGGCAGCTAACCATATTAACTTCTTTCAGCGGCCTAAGTCCTAAGCCACCCTCCCGTTTTGGTCTACAGACCTCTTGCGAAGATATTTTCGCTTTGCTAGTGTTTAGTACCGGGCCCGACCACAGAAAAGCAGAACACAGTCCCTCGATCTCTTTAAGGCATTCCAACGGCGACGGGAGCCGAAACGCGGACAGCCAAAAGTTTGTCAAGCTTTGAATGACCGATGAGATTAGTTGCAATCTTCCCGCGAAGCAGAGAAGCCTTGCAGTCCAGGAAGTCATCTTCTTACGATTTTTTTTCTATCAATGGGTGATAATCATTTGAAGACATACACTTTGTGAGCAGCGGCAGCCCTAGGTGACGCACCGGCAATTGACCAGAAGTATATTGAAATCTCTTATTGTTTGTAAACTGTTATGTTAGACAATCACATGAAAATGTAAGAGAAAGGAAAACATGAGCACTTTTTACTTTTGGATTAAACACAGAGAGTTATTATGATTTATGACCATAACTGTGTAGATACTTCAGTCAGAACTAGCGAACCATTTTATATTCCCTACCTTTACAACGTAATTTTACATTTTTAACGACCAAAAAGGGCCAAAAGAAGTGAACAAATAAACAACCTGACCAAATAATAAAATAATTTTCTTTGTCAACAACATATGCTAATGACCAAAGTCACTAAACTAAACCTTGCAGTCCCCTCCTTTGCAACAAACAGCTTATCCACATTTATGAATCCCACAGAGAAAGAATCAACGCTTTTTTCAGTCTTGCGATGTAGCAGAGTATTCAAAAAGCAACCGTTTCGAAGGTGCGGATTGAAGGAGGACACGCAAGCGGCTCGTGAGCTGATAGATCAGTGTCCATTGCATCGCCATCTCAGAATCTTTCATCTGTCTTACCACAGAGGCCTGTAAACAAAAAAGACAACAAGAATCAGGTGGTTGCTTAAGGTTGGAGAAGAAAGAAGATTGTAAAAATGTTTAAATGCCTGACATGAAGGCGTTTTCCGAGCTGCACTTCTACTTCTGTTCCAAGTGAGATATTACTTGCTAGAGACTTGAGAGGATCAATAGTTGGATCAACAGAGAGTAAACTCGGGATCTGTGGAGCATACACCAACCTCCATCTCGCCTGACCAAACTCTCCTTTTCCTTCTATTCTTGGCATTAACGATTCGAGTGTCACGGTTGCGAGTTTTTTGAAAGCAAGTTGTCCATCTCCTTCTAATATCGATTCTGCTAATTGGCTCTCAAACACCTTTGCAGCCTGGGGAAAGTGAGATAACAAACAGAGAATGTCATCAAGAAGGACTAAACAACAAACATTTGCAAATTTTCAGCTACATTTTGACTTCAAAAATTTACCTCGGAAGGTGAGAGAGCATCCTGTTCCACAGAACGAGTTGAAGTCACCACAAGTTTGTCCTGCCAATTGCTGGCACGACTTTGGATCCTAAATTGCCATTCTGAACCTACTAAAGCTAAATCTAGCAGAGGATCTAGTCCATGTTCAGGCTCAAACTTTGCAACGTTGAGATGCTCTCTCTTCAGGCGTACCTGTGTTTTAGAAAACAAAATAGATGTTCATTACTCAGAGGAGCCTGTGCCAAGCTTTGCAAGAAATGATGGAATAAATGAAATGAGTTCACCAAGAAAATCAGAACAGAGATTTGGACAAAAACCTGAGTAGCTACAAGATTGACATCTCCATTCTCGAATGCAAGGATACCCTTTGGTTTGATGTATTTTGGATGAGCCATACCGTCAAGCTCAAGCTCACCGCTAATAGCAAAATTAAGAATCAAAGGATACACTATCCTCAACTCTGGTCCTAAAACAAGTTTCAGATCACTCAGACGAATATCCATATTTGGTTTCATTTTCAATTCTTCAATCTCCTTTTCAACAGCCTTTGATTCACCTGTTGCGGGTAAAATAATCAGAGATCACTACAAAACTTTACTTACAAAGTCCAAATACTATAAATTTTGCTAGTGGAGACATAAGTTACCCGCTGACTGGGAGAATTTCATCCTTGAAGAAGCCGGTTCTGTACCAAAAAACCGAGCAAAATATCGTGACGCAACTGCTTGATTAAAAGAAGCACCAGCAATCCTAGATTGATTAGCTGCCAATCTATTGAAAGGGGCAGCTCCACCACCCTTATCATGAGGCAGATAAGCTTCTCCGTGGCTTAATTTAATGTTTCCCGATATAGTTGGCTGCAACATTGATCCACTAATTTGCAGCTGAGTATCAACCTGACCACTGATTTGGCAACCCCATTACTCTCATTAAAAACCAGAAAATGTAACATGAGTCTAGAAGAGAATAATGGAAGAAATGATTGACAGCAGCATCGATTGCAGAGTATACCTTAGGAAATTCTTCGCTCGTACTTCCAGAACTTCACATTTGAGCTCTATTTTATCACCACTAGATGCTTCATTTGATCTAAGGGGAAGATTTCCTTTAACAACCAGCTTTCCCCTTCGACTGACCCTGCTTTCCAAAGAGGTGATACACAACCTGTTTGATTTGACATGTAAGGTCCCACCGAAGTTTGTGAGAGGTTTACGGAGCACAGGTGAAGATATAGACGCCCTGTGGAATGATGCAGACCCATCAAGCACGGGATTCTCCACTGTACCACCGACCTGCTCAGCGGGTAGGGTATGCATAAATGAATCTAGTCAGACTTTCTATAATGTTTAAGGACATGGACATATCAACTGAACTATCTAATGATGTAAAGATAACTTAACAGGAGCACAAGCTAATATTTTTTTACCAACCTGAAGCCTGATATCAGCATTGCCTTGGAGCCAATTAGCATAAGGAGATATGGCTGTCAACAATGTCATTCCCCCATCCTTGATATCTGCCTCCAATCTAACTTCTCCTGCATCTAGAATGTTCCAGTTTAAGCCTTTGAGACTCTCAGCTAGTTGGCTGTCCCATCCCTCTTCGCTCCTATCCCTCGAGGTTCTCTTCTCATCATCTTCCTTTTCTTTTGCCCAGCTAGGGATTTTCACTGCACCACTTCTATCAGCTTCACTGTCTTCTCCGTCAGAGGTATTTTTCTGCGAAAAGCTAACAGGAACACTTCCTTGTATATGCACATGACCATTTTGGACAAACGGTTCAAAGTTGGAGTTGAATAGGAAACGGCTGTTAGATGTCAGCGACGCAAAACCCTCGGCTCGTCCAAGGTCTATACCCCCAACCGCGCCATCCAACAATCTAACTTGTACATCACATTCTGGTTTTTCAAGGCTGCCTCTAAGATCCCCTTCCATGTGCAAGATGCCTTTGATTGGCGACAGGAGTTGCCTCAAAGAGTGAACAAGATCACTAGCTGATGATTCAACAACCTCAACTAAGGTAGGTATCAAACTAACAGGGAAATTCAGAACAGCAAAATGAAGATTTGTTTTTGGCCCCAATAAGGTCCCATCCGCATGCAGAGTAGCGTTTCCTTTCTGAATAAGCATCTCCTTAAGACGTAAACCATCATCATTGCTATATGAGCCAGTTGCCAGAACACGCTGTGTTTTGTAAGTCCCCCACTCCCAATCATCTCCATGAAAGTCAAATTCGGCCTGATATTAAGAGGACAACGTTTGTATTATAACCAAAAAGATTTATAAATTCTTTTCGAAGACAATTGAAAAACTTAGGAAAACCAATGGAGTCTCCTTTAAATGATGACAATCTTTACCCTTCCATTTAAAAAACTATTTGAAAAGGTTATTTTTTTATACCAAGGTGTCTCCATTGCCTCCACCACTAGCATCCAGTGAACCATGCCAATGACCTTTGAGTTCCGCTAAACCAGGAAGACTTAGATCTTCGAGAACGACTTCACTTTCTGGGGTATAGTACCCACGTACCTCCTGATTTTAGGAAATCATGAATTAGAATAGGAAAGAAAGAAAAACGAGATTAACCGTATCTACGCAATTTTTTCATTCATACTAAAGAGTAAAGAATATGTTTCATATGTCAAGAAGCCAGTTAGTTACTTTCAAATGGAAGGAAGGCACCATATTCGGTACATTACCTCAAGCAAGTCTCGTAGATTGTCAGCTTGTAGACAGAGATTTTGCACACTTTGGATAAAAAGATCCTGCCACACCAACCAAGAAACTCGCATAATCAGAGGCATCCAACTCAAAGAGGAGACGAGAACATACTTTCGTACTACATGAATATGAACATGCTGATGCAGGTTCAATTTTTCTTGAACCAAGATTGTAGAAACATGGCTACTCAAAATATAAGCATGTGATTTAGCGAAAAATGTTAGCCAACCTTTGATCTTGAGTGAACAGCTGGATCTGTACTTCTTGAAAGAAGCCTTGCAAGAGGAAGCATCTCAGCAACCTCTGCCTTGGGCACTTCAAGTCTCATTCTCCATCTTCCCATAGAAGATATAACACTTCCTAGATGACCAGTCATGGCTCTCATTAAGAAACTGCCAGCTTCCTTCTGACCAAGGTCCCGATCACGGGAGCCTGGTAATACATATTCACCTTGAAGCTCATACCGGCTATTGCTTTGTTCCAGAATAGTTTTCTCGACAGTGATCTTCAGGAAGAAAGACGAGAAAGGTAAGCAGAAATATCATAATGAAAATTATCATATAGCCTTCACAGCTATAAGAACTTATCAATTATACTCTGCTTTATCTCACTCTAACCTTTAGTCCTCTGAACAACATGAAACACTTATAACAAGTTATAAATCATAGAAATTAAAAAGGCTTGATTTAGTTATGACCTTTTATAGTGGCAAATAATGTACTATGATATTATTAAACTAGTCATCAGTTGCGATTATTCTCTAGATTTCTTAGAGAACTAAACCAAAAGAACAGGGATCTGTAGGGTTGTAATACATACCACATCACCGCTCCATCTTACGGCAACATCTAGAGCTTCACCTAGCACTCCACTAAATTTTGGCCGAATTACAGACAACAGGCCATGTCCCCTTCGCTTCTGAAGATTTAGCTGAATCTCTGCCTGCAAATAAAAAGGAAAGAATTTTCAATATCAGTGTGTAGAATTTGAGCTCTATGGCCTCAAAATTTAATAATAATCATTCCACAGTTTTTTGCCATCAGCAGTGGATTAAAGCCTTAGGATAGTTTGGCCCATGAGATCTTTATCGCCAATTTTCATGGCAATTTCCTAAAGTTTATGAATCGTCCCTATACTAGGAGGATGTCATCTTATGAACACATTCTATTAAGTGAGCCTAATCTT